CTAGTACTCTCAGCTCATGCACCATTGTTAGGAACGCTACCAGGCAGGGACGTCGGGGCTGGTAGGCGATACTACATCAATATTACTATTACTATTGTAGACTTTCATTTCTGCATAATCGTAATCGACGCGCTTTGTTCTGATATAAGACGTGTGATAAGCACATATAAGTAGTACATCGAGCCGTCCATAGTCACATATCACTATCATAAGTCAGACAATCTTACCAAAAATACAGCAACCACGCGTTTGTGACTTAAGTAAAACATTCACGTACTTCGTCATAAGGGCAGGGGCAAGCAACCCCCTGCTTTTCATAAGGGTATAAAAGCGATGTTTTAACTTATGAATGAGAAAGTCCTTACCAGTGGCAAGCGGACGCTGAACTTATCGCGGGAGCACTTATTTCCGGGCTACTTCCGGCTAAGCGGCGCATAATTTCCCGATAAGGCAGCTGTCGTTTTCCTGATGTGGAGAACAGTGGCGAGAAGTGAATAAAATGTGGAATTTTTTTTCACATAAACAAGTCCCCCAGTAATATGGTTTGAAGTGGTGCGAAGCACAGCATATTGCTTTGCTGGGATGGTACGCTTATCGACGCTAAAAACGAAAAAGGCATTCATGGGGCAATGAAGGCGCCAAAATAGTCTGATACGCAAAGATTCTACTAGCTACGTACATCTTGATATCTGTGAACGATATCAAATGACACGAGGACAAAGCCAACAATCAGCAACGTATGAATTTAAATGCAAAATGACTTGAGCGGGAATTAAATATATTACGCCGCCATCAAAACCAAACGTGATCTAGGTTAAGCAAACTTTGTAAGCGGAAATGCCTCCTACTGAGAAAATGAAAGGAGAAAATTGCTACGACGAGGATCTATTAGTAAAGGTAAGGGATAACGGCCTTGCGATCCTTCGGGTACTCGGGGAACTTCTCATGGTACCACACATGCCCGCGGTACGCACGCGGCAACATCAACACAACCGCACCCCACACCATGATCCACGGCGGCAGAATGGTGCGCAGAACCGAACCGAACGACGAAAAGTCAGGAAGTGGCGCGCCCGCAGCGGCCCAGCCGATCCACTCGATCCACTCGCACAGGTAGTTCGGGTACGAGATCCACCTATACAGGTACCCGTGCGGGATCGCATAGTAGTCCTTGTTCTCCGCGTCGAGCGCGCCCTTCTTCGCCTTGCCCTTCGCCTGCGCGTGACGGCGGAGGTCGAGCAGCACCTCGTCGTGCACGATGTTGTACCAGAATCCGAGCGCCCACACGGCGACGCCCAGCCAGAACAAGGGGCGGGAGAACGCGTCCTTCAGATAGGCGTGCGCAAAGTCGGATGAGAGGTACGTCCCCAGTAGCGTGCCATTGAAGGAGTTGAAAGATGATCCCGAGAGGAGGATGCCCGCGTGCGACTTGGAGCGCGAGGGTGTGCGTAACGGGGAGATGATGGCGCGGTGGAAGTAGTGGATGAGGAAGAGCGCAACAACAAGGAGCTGGGGACCGGAGAGGGGAAGGGACGACTCGCCCGCGGAGAGTGGGCGGTATATGAGGGAGTAGAGGAGCGCGGTGGGTGCGACGAGTTCCATGACGATCCAGACTTTGATGCCGTCGAGGATGAAGATACTGTTGCCCGACCTCGCGAACCTTCCGAAGGGAGCGTCGGAGAAGAAGGTCAAGGGACAGAAGAAGGATGGGATGAAGAAGAGGCACATCCTGCCCACTAGATGAGATGATTAGTGAGGTATAGAAGAGACAGAGACAGACATCACTCACCATCGTAGAGAGGATGCGTCATGATCAAGCTGGTTTTTTCGAGATGTCGGGGATAATCGAGTAGGTGTTCTGTGCTTCTGACGATTCAAGCCCTCCTATGGCGCTTTTATAGTCTCATTCCTCAGGGGACGGCTGAGCCAAGGTATCGAAAAACATCTCGGTACCGAAGTGTACGTGCACAAGCAAAGGTCGGTTGGATTCGAGGAGCTTGAAACGAGCAGTTGTCTCAGTTCCGTTCCGAATTGGCAGGGGTAAGCTCGAAGCACTGTGCAATGTTTGATATGAAGCCTGCGAGCCGTCCCGCGAACGGTGGATGGCGCGTCAGGCGTGGAAACTCGTTGTCCTAGAATTCCCGATACAAGCAGGAGAAACAAGTGTTTGCCGATACCATCGTGACAGTGAGGGGCGTGCAGCATTGTGGCATACTTGTTTCCGAGCCAGCTGAGAGGTGCATGAGTGGTAAGTAGATCGCAACTCGCCAGGCTACGATCAGATTTGACGTCCCAAAAATCCCGATTGAAGCAGGAGAAACAACTGTTTGCCGATACCGTCGCGATTCGCGGAAACGCTGCGGGCCCTAGACAATCATTGACTCGTGCTCCATGTCTCCTGAGTCGCCCCGGAGCCGAAGACAGCGATGAGATTGAGAATGTGAAAGCTGGACTGGTGCACTATCACGATGCGTGGTGGTGTCAAGCAAGTCGAGAGTCTACCGAGACTGGTAGAGGACGCAGGGGAAATGGGAACTTTTTGGTATCGGTGTCGCCTCGTGTCGTCGGGTGTCGGCGGGTGTCGGCGGAAGTTGGTTTCAAAATAGCGACGTCATTGCTGCGGGATACCAAGGTTAAGACGCGTGACGAAGTCGCGTCTCGCTTAGCGTCGCAGTCCATACTCCAATGTACTTTTTCGACGCCCCAGACATTCGTGCCTTCTCATTCCTCGCGTCTCTCTCTTCCTATTCCTTGCGTCTCTCTCTTTCTAAAGCAACCTCTACGGCTCATAGGACCATCACACCATCTCTCAATCAACAATACGTAGTGATACCCATGGCACCCCGCAAGAAATCTCTGCCAAAAAACACAGACGACGGCTATGTAATATGTCCGTTGTGTCCAGAGGAGATGTTCCTCTACCCAGCGATTGTTGGCGGTAGGAAGAGTCCCTATTTCGGCCTATGTCATGTCAAGGTACGTCTCCATCTTATGCTATGTTTCCCTCACGTTCTGATCTCCTGCTATTGTTTCAAGCCTGCGGCAAACGATAGGTGTATACGAAGCAAGGCGGATGTAACGGACTCACTTTCGCAGGTAACATGGACGACCTTAGCGTACTGCATGCCGTGGTCGAGCGTGAAGGCGACGGTTGGTCTTGGTTCCCCTTTACGAAGTTCAGAGTCCTTGTGGCAGTTCGGATTAGAACAGGTCAACGACTGAGGATAGATGTTGATATATGCTATGGCTATGATGTCATTCCGGCGGTCTGAAACAGAATCTGATGACTCACCGATCCCTTTCTTCCATCCTGTCTCCTCTACGTCACCCACCATGTTGTTGAGTCGTTGTTGAGGTGACGACATGTGCCATATTGTATTCTTGAGGCCAGTCCACAGAGCGTTGAGTAGAGGGATCGAGATGCGTGTTCGGCTAGAGAGCCAACTTGCGTGCGCGATGGGGATGACAGGCGGAGCGTTGGCAGAGCTACGTTTGCCTTGCTGAATAAACGCGAAGTCCTGTCGGAGCACACAGCAGCGATCGACGAAATCGAGTATTTGTGTGAATGAAATGGAAGAGAGGGTGGGATTGTCTGTGACAAGCTGGCTGAGCTCTCCCAGAGTGATATCGTAGGACATTTTTTATAGCGATATCGATATAGAACGACTATATACTGAACATGCAGGCGATAATAGTCTATATCGGGGGCCGACGCGTCGTTGGGCGCGATCCCGTCACGGGCGCTTGATTTCCCGTCACCGCACAGCCACCGGAAATCGCCGACACCGCGCGACACCGCGCGTCACCGACACCGCAAAACCGCTCAAATCACCTGCAACCTGGACTGGTACTCGGACGTCACGCGCCAAGGGGTGCTAGTGTGGCTGTGTCGACACAAAGCTGAATAACCTTAAAGCTCCGCCAGAAAACCGAGCCGCGGGATTCGTTCGAAACTGGCTAGGACTTATGGTTACCTGTAGTACCTTACCATGCGTGTTACATTAGCGTTTGCTACATAATCTTTGCCATGCATTCCGCCTCGTCTTGAGAGTATGTCTACTAACACGGGAAAAGGGAGTGACATCAGCGCATCGGAAAGTGAGGTCGCATAGACCGAACCATCGTTGAGCGTAAGGTATGCACCTCTGCTGCAATGTTTATTCGGTAAAATAGCGACAGGGATAGTCGGCCGGAGAAGGTAACGGGCGTGATAAAGAAGATAAACGGACACAGCGTGTGTAGATAGTCCATTAGGAAGGTATAGATTAGCGTGGCGGCGACACGGTGGGTATATAGAGTATACACGCGGGTTCGAGAAAAATAGAATCGCCAACCACATCTAGTGAAAGAACATATACAAGCACGATGACCAATGGAAAGAAAACAGATTACGGATTGCCTCTAAGGGTGGTCTGCAGGCGAAGCCCCACACCTACAACCTGACCGTAGAAATCTGGCAGAAAAAACGCAAGCAAGAATTGAAATAACAGAAGGAACAGTTTGGCGGCGAACATAGCGCAGCCGTATGACGTGAGGGTGATATCTTGTTTAGTATTTTGCTGATCATGTAGCGTTAACCAACAGCTTGACCCAAGAGCGAAAAGACATACCTGTAAGTCCGCAGTGGATTCCGCTTCTGTTGACGCCCAAGACCAGTCAAGGTATCCTCCCGTGACGGCATCCTCGTCGGATGACTTTACTGTTGATTTGAGAACCGCTGAGAATCCGCTGGAATCGACGTTCCGTAAAGGCCGTGGGGTATCATCATCATCGCTAGCTGCAGTGGCTAGAGGTGTTTGCGCCTGAGAAAACGGAACCTGCAACGGGCGAGGGGTGCTATCTTCGGCGTTAAACTCGCTCTCTTCTTCATTGGTCCCGTTGTAACACCCATAGTCTACGGATGGAAGGCTCTTGAGCGGGGAGCATATTGATGATACTTTCAAAAAATGAGATGAGATTCAACAAAGAGAGGAGCGTGAAACACGCACAGTCATCAACGGTATGACTTTCCTCATCTAGTCGCGACATCTTCTTGGATCCTATGAGATGTGAGTCCTCGAAAGAAACCAATGAGCGGAATATGTCACCTTTAATGGGAGCAGGCAGGTTCTCCTTGCCTTCGTAGTGGCCCATAACCATGGACGAGACGTTGCGCCGCACGTATATCTCCTCCGTAATGGTAACTAGTGGTATGCGCGGAGTACTCATGGCAACAAATACATTTTGGCTTGTCGGCGACTGCTCGGAGGATACGAATTGTTGTTCAGTTCTTTCGAGGCGTGCACCAAGCGGGTCAGTGTCAGGAGGGAGAACGAAAGAAGGGCGTAGCGTAGATGCGTTGGCAGTATCCCCCGAATCTGTGACTTGTTGGTGACCGAAGATGAACATAGGCGGAACATCTCACCGATGCCAAGTCCCGGATAGGTCCCTTTATCATCGATTCTACCCAGCAGCCCATCAATAGCTAGGGAACGGAGGTCGATAAGGTTTTGACCATAGTTGAAAGTACAAGATTAACACGTACCATTCGAAGAGGGAATCATGGTCTCAGCTGGCTTAGGCTCAGGCACTGCGAATTCAAAACAAGGACTGTCAGGGATACGGGGGGTCGGAGGAGCAGCTCCCCGGTCATAATCAAGATGAATCCACGAGGGGTATTCGCGTGAGTGAGACACCTTAACAGTTCTAGGCGGTTTAATGCTCGAGAGAGACTCATTGATCAGAGTTGGCGAGCGTTCAAGCTCCATGCAGTCGCCAGAAACGACGGTGTCTGCGTCATCATCTTCATCCTCCTGGGAAAAAATGCTTGATTGGTCAAGTCCAGCTGAATAACAGATGAGAAACGGACGCCGCGAAAGTTTGAGACAGCAGACTATACCTTCTAGCCAGTCGTAGGACTCCACCCTGTTTCCGCCCTCGTCTGTGATATGACTGAGACAGTCGTCAATTACCTGGCTGAGGGGCGACAATCTGGGTAGAGCATCATCCATGGCGAGTCGTAGTAGACCTTGTGTAATGTTCAGATCAGGGTTGGATGAGAACAACGAGAAAGCTGCGAGGCTCACCCTCAGCTGCGGCCACACGATCTTCCTCCGTAGCATAGACACCGCAAAACTTGACACCAGAAACGCCCGCGAGATTACCTTCTGGTAAGACCTCGGTCTTGCGCACCGTCTGCGACTCCGTGCTCTTGACGTGGGGTTGGTTGGGAGTACGGTTATCTGTGGGACGAGGATCAGTACGACTGAACAAACCGACGAGCTTACTCCAACGGTTTTCGGTGATTCGATTGCTTCTACTCTGTAGAATGGCGTGACCTTTACTACCTGGGACAGTGGACCGTCGGTCGAGCTGAGAGGATGGAGGGGAAAGTGGAGGATAGCGAAGGGAACTCCTACGCAGCAGCTGGTCAGTAGATGAGACCTCTGAATCAAACCGACCTTTTGTGTCAGCGGGGTAGTCTGCCGTAGCATAAGACGTCATCTTATTTCCAACGTTGGACGGAGAGGAATATGTGGTACGAGGTCCTGGTAAAAGCATGGGAAAGGCGAGATTAGAGCAGTTTAGGGTGTATGCGCGATACAGTGTAGGGAGAGTTCTTAGGCTCGGTGGCGTCCCAGCGGCGGATTCGCGTGTTTATATGCTGAAGGACTTAGGAGAGTGCGTGTAAGAGGAGACCTGGTCTGAAGCTCGATGGGAATGTCAGTCAGAGACAGGAGAAGGATACTTATGCGTTCATCCCAGCCCAAACCGATACATGCGACATGAGTTCTCGGTGCTCAGTCGCGCCTGATGTTTCGTGAATTGAAATCCAACGCATCCGAGAAACATGGACAAGTGCAGGTTCGAACAAGTTGATTGCTTTGGATGTGAAGGAAAGGTAGAGAACCGCGTCACCAGACCGGACGTGTCACTGTCAGTTCAAGTCAGTTCCCCGTGTGGGGCGGGGTGGCAGTGCCCCGTGCCGGCGGTTACCGATTACCATCGACCCGGAAGCATCGGTCCGAGCTCTCGCGCGTCTTCACTGCAAACTTCCCTGCTTCGCGTCGGCCGCCTGTCAGCTTGAATGGATCCAGCAAGTTACTATTCCTTGCACCTAGGATGGAAAGCCACCGCTCTTGTCTTCTATCTCGGCTCAGCTTAGCGTGTAGCTTGTCAGTTCGTGAAGTCCACTCAGGGAACAGGCTATCCTATACCGCGGGCCCACCCACGACTCCGTTTGGCTTCGAGACGCGATGCCCGCCATTAACGCCAACGAGCAGAATCTTATCCTCGTCACAGGAGCTAACGGGTTCATCGCAGCGTGGACTGTGCGGATCCTATTAGAACGCGGATATGCCGTTCGAGGGGCTGTCCGCTCTTCAGCCAAGGGCAAGCATCTGCAGGAGACGTTTAGAAGCTACGGAGAGAAGTTTGAGCTGGCGTTTGTAGAAGATATAACAAAGGTACGTGATAGATTTGATTATAAGTAAACATATGGATTGACGACTACCCAAAGGACGGAGCATTCGACGAAGCCGTCAAGGACGTCGACGGTGTCATACACACTGCGTCTCCAGCTACGTTCTCGATCAAGAATCCAGATGGTGGGTTATTACGCAAGACTTTCATCTCCATTCTAATCCTCATATCAGACATGATCAAACCTGCTGTGAACGGGACTGTTAGTATCTTGAAGAGTATCATAAAGTTCGGGTAAGCATGCTGTCTTCGCATCTCGAGACGCCTTTCACTTGGAATAGGTCCAAAGTGAAACGAGTTGCGGTAACTTCGACTGGCGCTGCAATTGTCACCGACTCAGTGGAACCGCGAACATTCAGCGAACTCGATTGGAATGAGGAGTGTCTGAAGAACCTGGAACGTCTGGGCTCAGACGTATCTCCGAATGATATATATGCGGCGTCTAAGGTTCTTGCTGAGCGAGGTGACTAACGTCCCTCATGCTCCATAAAGGATTATGCTGACGTTGACGATATAGGAGCTTGGGACTTCTGGAAGGATAATCGACCCACAGTGCAGTGGGATCTCGCTGTCCTACATCCGGCCTGGGTGAGTCAGATCAAGGCCACTCTGTTAGTATTAAATTCAACCTTCTTATAGATCTTTGGTGTACGTCCGCATATTTGCCTATACTCTGGCATTGACCCACTATCCAGCCCCCAATACACGAAGTCTCAGATCCTGCCTCGCTGAACATGATCTCGAAGATATGGTACGAGAATGTCGTCCATCCGACGTCATCCGGAGCGTCGAACAAGACACTTGCCACGTTGGGCGGATGTTGGGCAGACGTGCGCGACTGTGCCGAAGCACACGTCCGCGCTCTCGAGATACCCGAGGCCGCCGGTCAGCGGATCATCATCAGTACTGGTGAGTGTTATATGTATTGGTCAAAGGCATTGTATGCTGATCATCACGGACACGCAGGCCCGTGGAAGATGCAAGACTGGCGTGCGTACCAACGTGTTATTCCTCCTTTTTCGTTCTCAAATACAATAGTTGACGCTGGAAACGATTTGGACCCCCCTGTCAAGATGGCCAGTCCGCTTCCGAAGGGTAATCCGGGAGCTGGAAGTGCCAACTCCGCAACTGTGCATCTTATCAACTACGACATGACTGTGTCGAATCGCGTGCTGGGTATGAGGTATCGCACAATGGCCGAGACGACGCGAGACACTCTGCAGGACCACGCAGACCGAGGATGGTAGACGCCAAACCACAGCTTTACTCAGATGGATAGGGTTCCGTTGTTGTCTCATATTTCATTATCTCCTCAATACTGAACACCGAAGCTTCATGGTCGTCATGATTGGTGGGAAAACTGAGTGTAAGAGTGTATAAGTTGCTTCACAACGGAGTGCAACTTACTTGTGCACTGGCCTTGGGCAGTCAGATAAGACGGATCAGTGGGAAAAGAGCGTCGCCCGAGCCCCACGGTGCGATCACAACGTATTGTAACCAGTCAGTCGCTTTAGTGATGAAGTCAGTTCTCCCGGCAACTGCTGCATAAACCGAGTTCTTTCAATGATTTGAATATACTCAGCATCGCTCTCATAGTGGCACCCCAATAGTACTTTGTCCAGCGAACAGATGCAGCAATTAGTTGCTCTCACATGTTTAGGTCGGCATCAGATCGTGCAATTTGAATGCTGTCCATTAATCTTGCTGCCAAACACAGTTCCTTGACTGCTGGGTATAAAACTACTCCCTTCTTGTACGAATTCCGCAAACCGCACTGGTGGCGGAGAGTCATCGTTACGTTCGTTTAACACCTACCATAACAGCATCATGATAATCGACTCCCCTACGAGCATTTCTTTCCTTTTTCAACTTTCTGTGCAGCAATATCAGAGTGGTACGCTCATTTATTTAGTGACACATCTGAATCATCTTTGCTAACTCAATATCAATCAAACCATTGTAGTAGCCAAATCAATCTTGTTTGATTGATTTCGTACGCTGCATCATAGAGCCGATCTATGTAAGTTTAGCCTACTTTCTGCCTTATCTCTAATGCTTAAAAGCGGACAGTATCCGGAATGAAAGTCGTGCTTCCCGGCAGAGTAAGAGGGTTAGCTCTATATACTCGGTGCTCTAAGCTCATATCGTCGCTACTTTCTCCAGATGTGAGTGGCATGGCTCAGATTGTGCTCAGAGCATCTCAATTCAGATCATCAATACTACCGCTTTTGGTTAAGAAGTTGTAGGTAATCTACCCGCGGAAGTGCTTCGGTTTGCTACTAACCGCAGTTTTTTAAGGCTCTGTGCTTGGATATGTTATTGAAATACTGCCAAGTCTATCCGCATTCATCTCTCAAGGTTCGGTTTTGTAACAAACACATCGCAAATGAGCTATGATTCACGAGTAAGATACAACCAGGAGTTATCACCGCGTGTGTTTGTGCTCTCTATAGAAACTCCAAAGGGGTCATCGGCATCTTAGCCGGCGGGATGATTGTAACGCAGCTGTTCAACACTTTGGCAATCGTTATATTTTTTACTCGGCCCGGTGGTGAACCATGTCAGTAACTCTCAACTTGGGCGCTTTTTCCACTCATGCCTAAGGTGTCCTTAGGGCCAGAGGCCGATGTTCTGGGTAATCGACAATGCATCCCGATGTCACGTAACATTAGCGACAGTGAACCCTGGCTTTTCATAGTATATGGGCTATTCCTTGGGCTCATGGTATTGTACCGGTTAAAGGGGCCCTTTTGGAACTACAGAGGTCGAAGACCTACGATTGGATATTCAGGAACCGTAAAGCGGCTGCTCCGCTACTGGCTGTTGTTTCTTTCATGGTATGGACTTACGCTTCAGTTCATGAGTGTATTGTACTGAAGTGCACACGTTCAGGCACATCCTTGGAGCTATCGTAAACGCCCTCAATGTATATGATTCACCGAAAATTATTAAACCTACAGTCACACTGATGTTTTTTCTTTTCTGAAAGGGTTTATCACTTCAAGTTAACTGGTCAATTGCAGGGGATGTGACTACGTTCTTCAGCATCATCAGCAGTGGAATCGTGGGGCCTCGGTTTATTCTGTCCCTCCGTGAAATTTATATGGCGCAAGTGAACGGCATCTCTGGGACGAAAGAGGAGACCATAAGTACCATAGCATTTAGAAGACCGCAGCATCCAATGGAAAATGATGGACAAGCTATGACCTGTGATGAACCTCCGCGCGAGCGATTCACAGACGTCGTTTAATGAAGTCCATGGTGAGCCCTTACGCTTCCAAACTTTCAAGACAGAAGTCGTGCTCGCTAATACTGTCATCAACCTCTACAACAAGTTATACAGACAAAATACAGGGACAAATCGCAGTATTGCGTCTCAGTCGGATATGCAAAAATGTGGCGAGGATGTTTCAAAGCCTTTCTGAAAGCGTTATCGAAAAAGAAAATTCAGCAGCTGATACCATGGATATGTACAGTCACGTCAATCTCCGCTATCTATGTCATTATCCAAATAGTACACGCTGTTCATAATCGAAGAGATCGAATGTTCAGCGTACTAGTCTCGGTCAACCCGGGGATCAGTGATCTGGGAAAGATCTAGAGGTACAGTAAAAATTAAAGGGATCTTGGACGAAATATCGCTCGCATGGAAACCTGCCCTGCGGACTTGGCTGAATTTCACGGAAGCTTCGGAACTACTTGGTCCGAGTACTTGTCTCTGAGAAGGAACTTGAAGGCTTCGAACCGCAGACACGTGATGTTCAGGCACTTACCCCCACAAGACGCGTCTAGGATATGCATCCTGCCTTCGTCCCCCCACGGCGTCGCACCGTCGCTTTTCTTGTTTCTTGGTGCACTAGCCATGCAACGCCCCTTGGTCGATAACTCAAATCCGTGCTACTGCCCCAACATACCCGCCTCCGCCTACCTCAAAAGCCTCAAACGAACTCTCCGCTCCGGTGCTCTCCTTCAAGACGTCATCTGGCCCACATTCGCCTGGAAGCTCAAGCTCGGATACGACCCGGAGCCTCGCTCTCGCATCTCCGCTCCGACTCGCCCTCGTGCTGTGCTCACTGAACCGCCGTCTTCAGATGCTCCCGCGTACTCGTCTCCAGCGTCTGCAGTCAAGGCTAGGCGGTGTCAAGCTTCCGATCACGAAGATACACTGAGGACTGGACAAAAGCGCTACTCTGATGCTGTGGGCGACATTCTCTGGTCGCGAGATACCGTCAAGCGGGCGAAGCTCGATTCATCCGACGCAGTCTCCTGGAACTCTTCGTTCGCTGCTCAAGACAATCAGCCAGTCCGCTTGGATTTCAATCGGAATGTCAACGACGCATCCATGGCCCAACCTCAATTCGATGACGAGATGGATTGGCGCGAGAATCGCGACGACTGGGGTACACGCTCTCCGACTCCCCGCCTATCGATGAGTTTTCCAGCAGGATAGCTGACTATATGCGCTTTATCAGAAGCTATCTTTGGCCCTGAGCACGTCTCTGAAGACGTGAATAGCAACCTCGACCTCATCGAACGTCTCGATAGACTTTTGTCGGCATCTGCGGTGCGAAGCAAGCTGGCCGACCACCGGATGGAGGAGACTACGCATCAGATGATAGCTGACGCGCTCTCGGAGAACGGTGCAGTCTCTCTTTCGCGTGTGTGAATTTTGGTTTATGCTCGTGTGCGACATATAAGGCCTTCTCAGCCGAAAGATCCTGACTGCGCTTCGCGGCACTCAAGTACACTCGCTTCATCTCACGCCCTCGATCAGCGACGCGGACGGTCTGAACATAACGGGACCCGAGCTTTTACGGGGTGATATCTGCTCGTCTCTTCTTGGCTAGTTGCACCTTGATGCTGTCTTTACTAGCTTTCGGCGGCCCACGCCGCTTCCTTTCGCTGACTGCGATCTCTTTGCGATTCGTGTCTCTCAACGACTCCGACCTAAGGCATATCCAGCACCTTCCGTCTCTCCAGAAGCTATACCTCGTGTGCAATGGGATCGGAAACGAGGCGTACGTATCTCGTCCCTGTTGCTTAGATTCAGACTCACAGCGCATACAGAGTGTTCCTGTTGACGAGTCTACGACATACTTTGACGAATCTTGAGCTGGCGATGAACCCACGCATCGACGACGACGCTGTGCCGGTTCTGATCATAATGGACAAACTGACGTACCTTGCGCTTGGAGATACCGGAATCACCATGGTCGGCCTGAGACGCATGGCGGCCGCCATCACAGAGGAGAACCGCATCGTCGACATGGAGATTCCGGCTTGCTGCAGCGAATACATCGACAGTACGTTCTCACTCTACCTATGGCATAACAAATATTACATGCTGATCGCCCGACGTGCTCCAGACATGCACAATCTCTACATCGTCTTCCCTACCGCTCCCCTGACTATGGACCCAGACGCGTGCGAGTCCTTGACGGACGAGGCGCTCCGGCGTAATCTCGCTGCGCATGCGGAGGTAAATCCGGATATCATCGCTACCGGCACGCGCAAGGAGATGGTCGGGAGGCTGAGGGCTTTGCTGGAGCTGCGCAGACAGGATCTCGTCGTCAGCGAGCTGGTCATCGGCGAGGAGGACGACGACATGTGATGGCCTGTGGTCGGCAGACACTGAACGTCTGATTCCGATGTCGACTGGACGATAGCATTACTTGCCTCGACGATATTGGACAGTGTACATAGACTAATGCGAGCACGGGAAGTACTTGGTAAGATAATAAATTCCTTCAAGGATGCAAATTCGAGATTTCGGGCTGTGTATCAAGTGCGTGCAAAGTAGAATGCATTGCGATGTGCGTGTAAGACAACATTGGATATATAGATAGTGCGCGACAGATCTAGCGTAGCACAGATTAGGTTAACAGAAAGGACGCGACGACGAAAAGCGGGGGTGAGAGCGGTACGACAGCAGGGTACGAAAAGCATTGTGGCTGATACTGAGAGCATGACAGCGAAAGGAAATCAGCGTGACTCCGCCTCGAGGCCCCACAGGGGCCTGAGGCCGAGTGCGGATGATACAATTAGTGGTTAGTACGTGCGAAGAAATCGGGAGGTATTGGTGCTTGTGGAATATGGGGATACTGCAGTATCGATTAAGGGGATGGAGAGAGAGAGAAAGAGAGAGAGAATGGCGAGAAAACAACGACGATGACTTTGATAATGACGCCCGTGTGACGGTGACGATGCGAGGCGAGATGCGCGATTGTCGGAATTCTACGATGCAGTGCGTGTGTGCGTGAGTGGAGCCGATGGAAAACAAAGCAAGCCTCGCGGACGCTCGGGAGCGAACAGCGAGTAGTAGCGAATAGCGAGATGAGGATCCTTATCGATTCTGCAATCTGCGAGAATGATCAAACGCGAGGGTGATCAGCACCCAGTCCTCGAGCCACATCAATGGCACCAATTAATATTTGGCATCGATAGACTCACAAGGCTCCGAACTTCTAAAGACCCGAACCGGAAGGCATCCTGCGGCCCCCTCCCCCATAGCACTCAGTGCGAATCGTAGCTCCCCGAGCGAGACGATCCCTGGCTCTGGCCGTGCAGCTGAGCCGGAGACTGGCTCTGAGCTTGTGTCCGCGGCTGCAACACAGACGCGATGGAAGACGACGACTGCGAATCCGGCGAGCCACTCGCGCGTTGCTGCTGCTGCTGGGCCATCGTTCCCAAATGGGCGTAAGACGCGGATGCTGATGATGATGTGGACGCCTGTGGACCCATGTGGACGCCTGTGGCACTCGAGGCACCGGCACCAGTGCCATCGCCGGAGGCGTCGGACGGGTTCGGGTTGGGAGCCTCGGCCACGCGCCGGGCGGCCGGCAGTCCGCCTTCCTCATGCACGTACTGCACGCCGGGCCGCGGGCGGAAGAGCGACGATGGGCCCGGTGTTGCGCCTGCGGTCGAAGTTGGGGGGGAAACTGAGCTTGAGGAAGCGGTGAAGCCGCCGAGGGGGGTAGCGCGTGCACTGCGCGCGAGCGTGTCTGCGACGAGGCTCCCGCCGAACGAAGAGGAGGACGCGCCGAAGCGACCAGATTGAACCTGGCCAAACGCAGAGGACTGGCCAAAGGCCGCGGGCTGGGCCTGGCCACCAAAGGAAGGCTGGCCGAAGCGGACGGCGGACGGCACCGGCATCTGCTCCGGCTCCGGCGTGGAGAAGGGCTCGGTGGAGAGATCGCGGCCGGCGTGGTGCCGCACGTCGGACATCATGTGCTGCTGGAACTGGAACTGGCGACGCTGCTGTTCCGCACTAACCGGCTGCTCCTCAGAAGGCTGTGGTGTCCGCGAGGCGAGTCTGCTGCCGGGCGAGATTCTGCGGGGCGAGATTCGTGGGGAAGCCCGTGGCCCTGAGCCGCTGGGGAGAGGATAAGGATAGGTCTGCTCCGGGCGGGGTCTCATTCTTCCTCGTCCCTCTCCGACGAGATGTCCTCTCTCTCTTCCTCTCTCTCCACCACCTGCTACTGCTCCTCTGCCTCGTCCTCGAGAGCGCAGCTGTGGATCGATATTGAGATCGTCGTGCCCCGCTGAAGGAGGATGACCGGGGGATGGCATCGACATGGAGGTGTACATGGGCGTGGGCATGGTCATAGACCTGCCAGCGTGCTCGGGCCTGATGACTCTCGACCTCGACCTCGACGGGCGATCGGACTCTGCAGATGAAAATCCGGAGCCGTCGTCGTCTTGGTCGTCGTCGTCGCCCTCAGCATCCACCCCCCCTCCATCGTCTGTCATCTCCTCGTCGTCCTCTTCACCGACGGCGAGGCGTCCACCCTCCTGCTGACCCTGTTCCCTTGATGACATCCCGGCTGCTTTCTGGCTCTTGTTGCGGCGCTTCCGCTCGCGCTTGTAGCCCTCCCCTTCGGACACGTTCAGCTGCCAGTACGAGCCCTTGCCCGGCTCCGTGATCGGGCGCGCGACGTGGCGGAAGACCTTGTTCAGACTGAGATTGTGCCGGATCGAGTTCTGCGTTGTGATACAGTATCGTACAGAATAAACGATAGCGCAATCGAATAATCAGCTTCCATTATATCCAACACACACACAGAACGAAAAGAAAAAAACCACATACCTTCCACGCCTTCTCAGTCCTCCGCTCCTTGAACCACGCAAACCTGTCCTCCAGCGCATTATAAATATCCTGCAGCGTCAGCTGCTTCCGCATGCTCCCGTAGATCGCGAGCTTGATCAGCGTCGGGTACGGCTGCGACGGCTTCTCGCCCGGCGGCGGATCGGGCAGCGACCACAGGTTCACAGGCGCGTACGGCGCGAGCCCGAGCTGCTGCCGCAGGTACGGCCCCGCGTCCGGGAAGTGCGATGCGCTGTCTTCCGGTGCGTTCGCGCCCGCGGGGAACTCGGTCTGCGAGCCGCCGGGGCCGTACGGCGCGGCGAGGGAGGTGAGCGTGCTCGCGGCGGCGGCGGTGCTGGGGGACATGCTGCCGCTCATGGAGGAGCCCGAGGACGAGCCGCGCTGGGACTGTGCGGCGGCGGGGAGGTGTACGATGGGCGGGGCGAGGTGGTGGTGTCCTCCCTGGGGGGGTGCGGGCGGCGGCGGCGTTCCGATGTATTCTGAGGGAGGGGAGCCCATCGATTCGGGCGAGGACGTGTACATGTGGGCCTGGGGATGGGCGTGGGCGTGGTGCGATGGCGCTGATGACGAGGACGATGGGAGGGGGCCGACGATGTCGATCTGCGAAGGGGCGCCGCGCGGGGGAGGGGGCTGGTGGTGGTTGTACAGCGCGTCGGTGTAGGACTGCACGCCGGGGCGGTACATCGTGGACGATCCTGCTGGCATGGGGCGTCCGAACTCGCCTTGGAACGCTGGATGGAGAATGGTGAGCTTGTGTAAGCTTGTGTAGACACGTAGTAGGGTGTACATACCTATTGGCTGTTGCGGTGCACCGCGCTGTGCGCCCCCATATGCCGAGCGCGACGACGAAGCACGGTCATACGGCGCATGACGAGCAGGCGGCGTAGGTGAGCGAAAGGGGGAAGGCGAGACCTGGGATGGGGCATATCGACGGTATCCCGCGCCGTAGCCAGGGGGAGGGACAAAGGGCGTCACGGAGCGTGAGTGGGAGTATGTAGTGTCGACGGAGACATCGCGCGCGTAACCCGCAGACGAGGACGAGGACGACGCGCTGTCGCGGTATCCCGAGCTCTCGATGCTCCGATGCGAGATGGCGGGGCTGACAGCGCCGGGGAACGGTTCTTGCTGCGGCTGCGGCTGCTAGAGAAAAGAAGACGTGGTGAGCACGACGCGGTCAACGGCGATGACGAGTGGCACGTACGGGGTAGCCCTCGAAGCTCGGATGGGGATAGGACGCGGGGTGGTAGGGCGCTGTGGGTGCCTGCGGGTAGGACGACTGGCGCGGACCAGGCCCGAGCGGGGGAAGGTATGGCGCGTCATTGTAGGGTGGGGCGTGGGCGCCTCTTGGGGCCGAGGGGGAGGGCTGATGGGCGTGGGGACGATAGAGCGGGCGGCTAGCGGGGGAGGGACTGAGAGCGCTGTCATGGGGAGACTGGCCATGCGCGTATTCGGCCGGGCTTGCACTAAGCCCGGCACCCGTCGAGGAAAGCGCGCCGTGGCTGGCGGCGTGGGGGCCCTCGGACGAGTCCGAGGAATCGTAGCTGAGTGAGCGCGGGATGGTGGCGAACGGGTGCTGGAAAGGCTGAGCCTGATACAGCTGCTGTTGCTGCTGCTGTCGTAGAACGTGCTGGTGGAACTGCTGTTGCTGAGCCTGCTGTTGCTGTTGCTGCTGGACCTGCTGCTGCTGCTGCTGCTGTACAAGCTGGTGCACGTCGACTGCAGAGGGATCAAGCGTGAGCGAGTGGAAAGAGGAGAGGTCCCAGTCGGTGCTGGAGGCAGAGGCGGATGGCGACGTTCCCCAGCTGGGCTGAGTGGTCGAATAAAAAGGATCGTCCTCGCCTGGCCCGGCCATGGCCCGACTGCACGCCCAAATACATCGGGACCCATCGTGCCAAACAAAAAATCAACAGGAACATATAGCGTCAAATACACAGAGTTTATCCACAAATTCAAGGGATAAGAACAGCCGATCATCCATCATACGTCCATCAGCCGTCGTATGGAGGAACAAGCGAACGACAAAAACAGCCGCCGGGGCGTCGGTGTCGGTTGTCCGTGTCAGGCCAGCCAAGTGACATGGACATGTCAAGGGTCGTGTTCGCAGGACACGAAAAAGGGGAGGCCAGCGTTCCGCGGCATCCGGACGGCGGACATATGTAACACACGCGGTCACATGGTCAATGCACCAAACACATCGACATAACGACAACATAAACAAGTACGTAACCAGCACAGGGTCAGCATGACGGCATACACCCAGCATAAGCAATAACGCGCACCTCAATAGGGCAGGGTCGATAGTGAACGGGGGCGCAAACGGGTTGACGTACAGCCCGCCAGCAACGATTGATGAAGACGACACTTTGAAAAGCGCGAAACGAGTTTCAAGAAAAAAGAGCAGAGAAGAGTTTCGAGGACTCAGAGAAGAGTTTCGAGGACTCAGAGAGGACTCGAAGGGGGCCTGTGGACTGAAGCCCTCCCTCTCAAACTCGCCCGTATTTATGCGTCCCCACAGCACCCTCGTGCCCCCATCTCCCACGTCCCAACATTCCCATCCTCAGTAATTTTCACAACTTGTAGGTCCACCTCTCAAACCAATCCAGCTCCCGGATTGCTCTCCAACCCCGTTCCTGATTACATCATCATCCTCCCACCCACCCAGCTCCCAGCGCCTATTCTCCGGCTTTCCCCGCTGCCCAAAAATTACGCGGAATGGGAATTTGGGAAGTTGTGGGTCCACATGTACCATCGCAGGCATTTCTCGCTCGATTGGGGCGGGACTCCACACCCAGTTTTGCCTTTTATGGGGCGGCGGGAGCACAGCAAGCGGCGCGCGCGCTGTTCCGCGTGCCCGGGGTTCTGCTTTGTTCTCTCGTGGTGTTTGCGGTGCTGGCTGTCACCGTTTGACACCGTCCGCGCTTCTGCTTTGTCTGAAAACGGAGCGTGCGCGGTGTGGGTGCACGCCACGGCGGGTGTGGGTGCAGTGCGTTGGGCCTGGTGGGCGTCGGGTTGGTTTGATCACTTTGATTGCCTTTTCGCTCGCCGACGTGGGGCAATCGGTGGGTGGTACTTTGTCGCTCTTTGTACTTTGTCTTGCCATTCTTGGGTTATCCGCTAAACGTCAATGGGCACGCGCGGTGCCCCGGTCCGCGCCGCTGGCAGCGGTTATGCTCGAGCCTGCTCAAGCGTTGCCCTCGGTGCCACTCCGCCCCATCGTCCCTTGTAAAAACGAAAGTCTACGTCCCTGCGCTTGGCGCCTGCCCATCGATACACGAGGTCCACCCTGCCCAATGAGCAACGCGTTTCCTCGCGTATCCTCACGCTTTTAATCATGAGGTCCAATCATCGCGGAACCCTTGAAAATTTCCCGACATCGACCGGCGCGGATCACCTCGACTCGCATCCCGCTTCGACGCGATTGGACAGAACGCATCGGAGGCCGCCAGCTCGCTTGATCGTGTTCGTAATAACAAGCCCATTCATTATTTCCAGTGGCCAGACTTTGCATTTATTTGCCCGTCTTTTACCATATAGACCACGCACGATCCTGATGAACACCCCCTCATTCCCTCGCAATTCGACGACGCGCCAATCACCATGACTCCGACATTAATATTAACATTAATATTGGCTAGGCCGATGCTACTCGACGAGAAGATGCGGACGCGCGTCCCAGAACGCGTCCCCGATTATGTCACAGTGCACAAGCGAGATCGCCATCGTGTCTCTGCTGCTGTCCTTTTTGTCTCGTTTGCCCTTCCCTTTTTTCTTGCTTGCCTCCCTGAGTGATTGTGCTGCTCGAGGCTGATCACCCTGAGCGAGCGTCGGCGCTGGTGCCGATGCACCTTCCTTTCCGTCGCCAGCCGTGCTCAAGGACGCGGAAGCGGGGCTGGACCCGCCCTCGCCCTCGGTCTCAGCCTCAGTCCTAGAGGCTGGCGTGGGTGGCGGTATATTCTCGGGATCGAGCGTGTCGGAGTCCTCGGCAGACGGCTGAACAGTCCGCAGAAGAAGTGCGCATGCGCGTGTGCGTTACATTCCGCTCGTGTCAGCTTTCAGTACAGCACGCAGCGTAGCACGTCACGCACCTGAACAATCTCGCGTACGAGCACGCTCCCCTTCTTGAACTGCTCCGGGAGCGCGTTGTAGTTGATTCCGAAGCGCGAGAACAGGATCTCGTGCTTTTGTTTGGAGAATGTGCCCTGCGTGCCGCACGTCCGCAGGTATAAGCGCGCGCGATCATAAAGGGAGGGGACAGAGAAGAAGGTGGAGAGACGATGATAAAGGATGCATTACTGGGGACGTAAAGACGCACCTTGAGCGTCGCGTGCGCCTGCGTCGTGCTCTGCCCGCCCTGCTGGACGAGCGCCCAGAAGGTGGTGTTGTACAGGTTGTTGATGTGCGCTGTCGCATCGAGAAACGTTTAGTCAATGTTTTCATTCCAACCAAACAAAGCCACGTCCAAGATCACAAAGAGGGATAAAATAAAGAAACTCACTGTCGACCTGGCGCCACGCAAAATAGTCCCTGACCTCCCGCGCGCTCGGGTACTGCACGATGCGCCCGTCAAACGACGGCGGGTAGCGGAGCGGCGTGTCCGGGAAGTGCTTCGGCCAGTGGAAGACGTAGCACGATGTGAAGTACGAGGTGAGCGTCGTCAGGATCTTGGCGTGCCGGCGGTTATATAGCTGAGTGGACTTGCGGAGGAGGAAGCTGCCGGTTTCATGGCGCCGGTGTAACAGTAGCGATGGCGGAAGGAGTAGGAGGGCCAGAGGCGGTATCTTCACTGATCAGCATACTTGCCTTGGGGAGGCAGAGGAGGGTTAGTGGCATACCTGAACTCGTCAGACTCGCCAAAGGAGAGCAGGATGTCTTTGTACTCTTCCATGACGCTCTGCGCGGCCGCATCCATGACGCGGAGGGCGCGTTCGTCGTTGGGCTTTGAGAAGCCGTGTTCGTCTGAGAATCTGTGGAAAGGCCGAAAGAATTATCAGTTGGGTTGTTCTCGTCGCGGTGGTGTGGTGACGTAGTTCGATGGATTGTATGCAACATCCATGCGCGTATGTAGGGAGGACTTAGGGGATGGTGCGACGTGGATTGGGATGCCTTGACGCGTTCATCGCACTGAAAGCGTCTGCACGCGTATTTCGTGGGCAGAGAGATGATCAAGGGGGATGAAAAGGGATCACTCACCGATGAAAAGAGTGACCATCGAGCCTACAGACGAGGAAGGTACCCGGGAGGAGCGGGTCGGGCAGCTCGAAGTTGCGCACGTACGCATATTTTGAACCGGCCATAGCTACAGCAACTTGTTGACGCGTCTCTGAGGTCTTCAAGGTTAGCGACGAGAGCGCCTACTGAAGTTTGTTGACCTCGGTGCGGTGTATAGGATGTCCTGTTAGCAGGCTGGGCTTATCCGATAGCGCCTCGGGAGCATCTGGCAGAGATAGCGCCCAGTCACTCCGAGTCAGCTCGCTCCGATAGGTAGGCGGACTCAGGACGCCCCGGAGCTTTGGCCGAAATAGTTTCCGGAACTGCCAAAAGAAGCAGATCATCGGGCCTTCATCCCAGCTCTCCCGGCGGTCCGGCACTTCACATCTGTCACATCTGCCCCCAACCCCGGCCGAGGACCACAAGCAGACCTAGCTGCTCTTCTGCTTGCTACCTCCACCATCTTCATCGCAGACACACTAAAACTTTGCACTTTCCTGCCTTGACTTCGACATCTCCCTCACTTGACTAAGATTAGATAGGAGGGCACCACTCACCTGGTTCCGAGATAACAATACACCACCACATCCTCGGAATCGTCTCCGTCGCCCCCGACAGCTCCGAACACAGCACAGAGCAAATCTCGTCACATACAACATCTTTAACCTTGAGCTTATCCTCGTCTTGACCTCATCATCCACACAAAGTCCGCGGATAGTTCTCCATCCGTCCAGACCATCCAACCCTCCACCCTGCCCGTTGACTAATGAGCACCTATACCAACTCCTACTTCACCCGCCGGCGCACCCTCGGCCGAGCCTCGTCCCCGCCCACATGGGCGTGTTATGAGCAGATCCCGTACGACGACGATGACTACTCCGACTCGGACAGCGTCTCCGAGGACTCCAACGACGACGACGACGACGACGACGGCTCGTGCTCCGAGGACGGCGAGGACTACATTGCGGCTGCCGTCGCCGCCCAGGACGACACCCAGAACATGGACGTCGACGGCGCACGGGACCCCGAGAAGGAGAAGAACGTGAACGTGGCCATGAAGACGAAGGACGTCAAGGGCAAGCAGAAGGCCGTCGAGGTCGATCCCGAGGTCGAGGCGCAGCAGCGCGAGAAGCGCGAGCGGAAGAAGCAGAGGGCGATGGAGCGCGAGGCGAGGAAGGAGCAGCGCGAGCGCAAGCGTCGCCAGCGACAGGTGTATACGCTCCGCCCCATCCTGACGATCCAGAAGAGTCAGGGGTTCGTGTGGAACCAGGTGCGTTTTATATTCTGCTGCTCTTGGGTATAGATCACTCTTGTTGACGCCCACCATCGCTGTTTGGCTCGTAGGATCTGTTCGTCCCACCACACATCAAGGACCGATGTACGCCCTCGTCATCTCACCTCTTCATCTCCAGCTGATTTGTTTTGTTCCATCTCGACAGATGTTGCCTCCACCTCTCCTCCTGGCGCTAAAGGCTTCCCGAACTCGTGGTCCTCCACGTCGACCATGAGCGACAACTACGAGGTCGAGGTCGTCGAGATCCGCGTCAAGCCCGGCGAGCTGTCCGACATCATCCCGGGGCCGTGAACGACTCCCTTAACGGCTCTCTGCTCCCGTCTCTCTTCAACTACGTAGTTTTCCACCACTGGTTTTGGCACCAAATCACGTTTTATGTTTTCAAGGATTGTTTTTAGACGTCCTTTATATCCATCCATCCATCCATCCGCCCAAGTCTTATTCTACTGTACACTGCTCCGAGGTCTGTGTTCCATCCTTCATTATCCGCTCTCCACGTCACTGTTTCTCTCGCATCGCATCCCCCGTGTAAATACACCACCTCCACTGCGTCTCCGCTGCTTGACGACCTTTTACATACATACATGAATCGTTTTCGTTCTTCTGTTACTTTATTAGATGATTTTCTGCTTTACACGCTCTTCATTCCTCTTTTTACCGCTTCAACGTTTTGTCAATGTACTCTGTCCTGCCCTGCACATCGTTTCTGTTTGTCCTGTAGCTCCATAACCGAATGAATGAATTGAACGCCCTCTCACTATTGATACATCCCAAAATGACCCATCGTAAGTCGTGTGTCGTACAGATAACAAAGAATCGTTGCACAGCACTGCGAAGCACCGCTACAACGCTGCTGCAAGCACACTGCGCCTGCCTGCCCCGCTCGCTCAATCCGCACCGACCAAATCCAGCAGCGCATCGTCCACCTCCTTCATCCTTGCCGCAGCCGCATCGGCCGCCTCCGCCTCTGCATCCGCATCCATCTTCTCGCGCTCCCTGTCACGCTGGTCTCTCTCGTCGGTTTCGCCCATATCGTCATCACGCTCGTCCTTCCCGAGCTCAAGCTCGAGCTCGAGCTCCGACACCCTCCCAGCCCCGGCCCCGGTCCCGGTCCCACCTCCGTTCTCGGCCATCGCCTGCAGCTCGCGCACGATGTCGGATTCGCGCGTGAGGCGGTAGGACGGCTTCGTGTGTGGCTTGTAGTCGAGGTGGCGTTTGGCGTAGAAGCACATGTATGCGTTGTGGTGCGAGGAGAGGGCGTGCGAGAGCGTGGAGGGGGTTACTCTGTTCGGTCGGGTAGGGTGGTTAGTGTTGATGACAGGATGTAGAGTGAGGGGAGGAGAAGAAGGGGAGGAGAGAGAGAAGGGATAAACGCACTTGTCGTCGTCGAACCGGTACCACTCGTCCCCCGAGCGCGCGTAGTTGGTGTAGTGCCCCTGGTCCATCTGCGCGCCCTCGTGGTTGATCACCGCGAACAGATCGTACTCGTACATCGCGTCAGGCCCCGGATATCTACCCCATTTTCCAATTAAACTAAACGCACGTAATTGATTCAATGTAAGAAAAAACACGCACGAAGGCTCCTTCACTGGCCCGTCTTTCGCCGCCTTACCATGGCCATGACCATGCCCACTCGCCCTCGCAGATGCCCCCGACCCCGCCCCCGACCCCGAGCCAAGCGCAGCAGCCGTCCACGGCGCCATATTAACGCCCGCAGGGAACCGGATCGGCGCATCGAGTTTCGTCGGGACGCCGACCATCGCCACCGCCGCGGCGCCGCTGCCCGCTTTGGCGCTGCCGTGCCCGGCGGGGGTGCGGTGCTCGAAGCGCTTGAATTGGAAGCTGAGGATGGGCGGGAGTTTGCGGAAGCTGAGGCGTTTGGTTGCGTCCTGTGTTTTTTTAATGTGGAGGGGGTGAGGATGGGTGTGGGGGAGATTGTGGTAGGGATGGGATGGGGTGAGGATGGGTGTGGGGGAGATTGTGGTAGGGATGGGATGGGATGGGGATGGGGTGGGACGTACATGCGAAGGCGACGTGCAGTTGCTGCAGGTGTAGTCTTTTGAGCCGAGCTTTTCGGGTTTGGTGTAGCTGCATATATCGTCAGCTCCCTACTTCCACGCGTACGCTGACGAAATCCAACCCACCTATTCAAACAACTCGCAAGCGTATTCCCCTCCTCCCTCCCTCCCGCGCCCTTCGAGTTCCCACTACCCCGCAACTCCAAGCTGATATCAAGCATCATATCGACCGTGCTCGTCGTGTTCCCGCAGCGCTCGCACGTCACGTCGCTCTGCAGCTGCCCCGCAAACGTCGAGTGCACGATGCAGTTGCACGACACGTTCGTGCTCCCGCGCGCCGTCGCGTGGATCTGGTTCAGCGCGCTGATGAAGAACTCGTGCGCGTCCTGCTGCGCGTGCCCAGACAGGTCTTTCGCCGTCTTCCACGTCGTAGCGAGGAACGAGGTCGGGCCGAAGGGCGGCGGGGGTGCGCCTGAGCTCGGCGCGAGGCCGTTGGGGTTGGGGTTGAAGGCGGCGGTGGCGGTGAGTGTGGGTGTCGACGGCGGTGCGGCGGACGCGGAGGGTGATTGCCCTGACGGTGTGAAATATGAAGAGGGCGCGTATACCTCTGAGAAAAGCGCGTCCATCTCGCAGCATGTGCAGTCGGTGTTCTTGCATAGGCGCGCGTTGTGCTTGTCCGCGAGGAAGAAGCCGCGTAGGAGTGGGTTGTGCACGAACGCCTGGAGGACGACGTTCATGAAGCACGTTTGGCCGAGGTTGAGGAGTCCTCGCCTGCTCTGGCAGGGGAGGGGAGCGGTGGATTTGAGGAGGTCGGTGTCTTCTGAGGAGGGGAGGTGGGGTTTGTAGGGTTCACGGGACATCTTCGAGACTGGAACGCGTCATATTTTTGTGTCTTAGACGTGCAGTGGTGGAGGGAGAAGATAGCGAGCGTACCTTGGAACATGGACTGTGTCTCTTCGACTGCGAGCTGGGTCTGCAGGCGTGCCTCGTCCATGATGTCGTTGAAGATGAAGTCTTCGCAGTCCGCACAGTACACGGACCCGGAACGCGTGTCTGCACCTACAGGCCATCGCATATGAGGTGAGGCAAAGAAACACCCAAGGATCACTCACAGAACGAATGACCAGATTCCCTCAGATGGTCCACCATATGTCCCTCTGCCCAGCATCCCCCAAACGAACAGCTCAGGCACACGAACGGCCGGGCGAGCGTCATGTAACACGTATCGCACGTTGGAACGCCAACCTAGCGAGACGGCGAGCGCAGCATTACGTGCAGTATTAACATCTGTGCCATCATATCTCAACGTTTGACGACAAGATGCTGCCCACCTTTCTGCGCTTTGAAGGCCGTATAGCGTCCTGCTGCCTCTTGGCGCGCCACGCGACGACGGTCTTGTACTTGGCCAAGAGCGCCGAACGCGTCTGCACGTCTGTGAGGAGCGAGACGATGTGCGAACACGCGCCCGTGTCGGTCTCGAAGAGGTCCTCTTCGAGCTTGGCCTGGATGGACTCCTGGAGGGCGTGGATGTCGAGGGCGTCTTCGTGCGCAGGAAGAAGATCGGCGAGCGTGCTTTCGGGTGATGATGACATGGTCGTGTTGTGTGAAGAGCTTTCAAACCTCAGAACATACAGAGGTCAAGTATGTCAGGGTGGTGAAGAGACGTTCAATGTGCCCCGCGACGAGGACAAGGACGCGGTTCTGGCCAATCAGACACGTTGCGTCATCCCGCGGATTTGCCCCTTTCGAAATAGCCGCCGGTGTACGCTTGACAGCGGCCATTTTACCCTCGGCGCTTCTTGTCTCTTGCCATTGACGTCCGCGTCTCTGACAGGACCGCCCTTTGGTCCTCCACATTGACCATGTATTGACCACAAGAGTCTCCAAGCGCCTTCTTACTTGGATTGACGCTGACAGCTGAAACGAGCTGGCCCGTTGGGGGCACTCTCAGGCGATACGATCTCTTCACCCCAGACTCTTGCATAACTCCGAGTACTAGTATGCAGCCTAGAGCACAGATCCTCGCGTTTAACTTCTGTCTCGGCACCGGATGCAATTTAGGAGACATCGAGCACGAGTCAAACGCCTGCTAGTACCTCCCCGCTGCATTTCCGCGAATCCGACGGTATCGGCAAACACCTGTTTTTCCTGTTTGTATCGGGATCTCTGGTCCATCAAAGTATGTCGTATCACTATTTACTCACCATCTTTGCAGCTTTTAAGACGGCTTGAGAACAAATATTCTCCGGTGCTGTAGGCTCTCTCTGTCAAAATTCGGAACGGAACTGAGACAGCCGCTCGCTTGATTGTCCTAGAGTCCGACAGTCCCTCGCTTGCATACTTACCTTCGGTACCGAGAAACCTTTCAATGACTGGACTCAGCCATCTTCTGAGGGCTGAAATCCTATAAAAACCAGAGAAGAAGGCTCGAACCGCCAGAAACACAGAACACATACTCGACTATCCTCGACATCTCGAAAAAACCAGCTCGATCATGACCCATCCTCTCTACGATGGTGAGCGGTTTCTGTCCCTGCCTTTTCACTGTACATCACTAATCATCTCATCTAGTGGGCAGGATGTGCCTCTTCTTCATCCCATCCCTCTTCTGTCCCTTGACCTTCTTCTCCGACGCTCCATTCGGAAGGTTCGCGAGGTCGGGCAACAGTATCTTCATCCTCGACGGCATCAAAGTCTGGATCGTCATGGAACTCGTCGCACCCACCGCTCTCCTCTACTCCCTCATATACCGCCCACTCTCCGCGGGCGAGTCGTCCCTCCCCCTCTCCGGTCCCCAGCTCCTTGTTGTCTCCCTATTCCTCGTCCACTACTTCCACCGCGCCATCATCTCCCCGTTACGCACACCCTCGCGCTCCAAGTCGCACGCGGGCATCCTGCTCTCGGGATCGTCTTTCAACTCGTTCAACGGCACGTTACTTGGAACGTACCTCTCATCCGACTTTGCACACGCCTATCTCAAGGATGCGTTCTCCCGCCCGTCGTTCTGGGTGGGCGTCGCCGTGTGGGCGCTCGGATTCTGGTACAACATCGTGCACGACGAGGTGCTGCTTGACCTCCGCCGTCACGCGCAGGCGAAGGGCAAGGCGAAGAAGGGTGCACTCGATGCGGAGAACAAGGACTACTACGCGATCCCGCACGGATACCTGTACAGGTGGATATCGTACCCGAACTATCTGTGCGAGTGGATCGAGTGGATCGGCTGGGCGGCTGCTGGCGCGCCGTTGCCTGAATTTTCATCGTTCGGTTCGGTTCTGCGCACCATCCTGCCGCCGTGGATCATGGTATGGGGTGCGGTTGTGTTGATGTTGCCGCGTGCGTACCGTGGGCATGTGTGGTACCATGAGAAGTTCCCCGAGTACCCAAAGGATCGCAAGGCTGTTATTCCTTACATTTACTAGTATTGCTTCGCTGGAGCAATCTGTCTTTTTTATTCACTCAACAGGAGGCGGTGATGCTTAGGAGGTTCACTTACTCATTCTGATGTCTGGGTTATGTCCGGATTTCGCTTGCTTTGCTTTCTCTTTTGCGGTAGATCTGCATTTTACTGAAGGATTGCTTTATTCTTATATCGGCTACTTTGTACTAGTAGCCGAGTATAAGGATATGCATGGCTCGTGGAATCCCTACGCAATTTCCCTTCGAGTACCCCGGACTTGCCCCGGACTCGCACAGGCATGCTTCACCTTGGCTTGAACGTCATCAGCGTCGCAGCGCTGAGAGACATTCAAATTTCTGTCAACTTTTTTTGTTCAGTAATCATGTGTTGTCATATTATATACGATCTAGTAGGCCAATCACTTGGGTTTTTCAGTCAGAACACATTGGAGTCGCCAGGGAATGGAGGTCATCGCCGCTACTTCCGAATGCCGATTTAAGCTCCGCAGGCTCCGGGAAATTCGGGCCACCGCCAGAACGCGACGCCATTGGCTCCGTCCCCATCTCATCCTCCCGCCTCCTTGCATTGCTCCCATTTCGCCGCGATCTGTCATGCCCTCCGCTCAGCCACCATCGCCTGAAGCATCCATCGCTCAGAACAGCCCTCACGTCCTCCTGCCGTTCCTCCAGTCTCAGTCTCAGAATGCTCTCACCCGTCTCTATCAGCGGCCATCCTCCTGTCTCTCCATATTCCGGTTCGGTCTCAACTCGTTGATTGTCCTCGCGAAGTCGGCAGCTGACACGGGAGTATAGTCTTCTCGCGCCATTATCAAAGCAACTCGTGATGAACCTCCTTTGGCTGGACAGTCCAGTGCTGGCGGGAACGATGGCGGCATGGGTGGTGCTGGATGGCAAGAAGTGCGTTGTTCTTTCCTGGATGTTTTTCTGTCTCGCGTTGCTTAATCTATATTGTAGACTATACGACGAAGCTCTGAACACCTTGATGCGTCTACACATACTACAAAGCTCTGGGGCCAAGCTCGCACTGAATCCGACTTTTAAGGCGAGTATGCGGCAAGCAATCACGTGTAGGTGCGTAGCTCAAACGCCTACCTGAATGCGGTATGACGATAGCGTGAAGTGGGACGACTGGGAGCTTTGGAGTGCCAGCGCAGAGGGATGACAAACGGGACGCACCGAGTGTGGAGACACTCGACGGGTATGCGGTACAACGATGGGAGGTGACTCATTGTGATTTCTGTTCCGTCGCTCGCTGATCTTAGTCCCTTGTCAGACAATTCTACATTACATGGTGTCTTCAGGCCAGGGGCAGTACCCGACGAAGCCAACACAGGGTGTTCTGTATCTCCTTCAGCGCAGCGGGTTGATGGCGAGCTATCAGTAGGCCTCGTCTGGTGTCGTCGTCTGGTGTGTTGCTTACGCCGATCTAGTGGCTCTACCCTTCAGATTACATCTTCTGGGTTCCAATTCCTGCTCTATTCACCACGCGACCAGTTGTGGGATCTACTTCTCCAGTACCTGCATATGGTGGAGGTACGCATATAAGTACTCAAAGGATCAAGGGACCTTTGTCGACCCGTACTGCAGGAACGTCAGATGGACCTTGTTGAAGTTCTGAGTTTCTTCTTCATGCTTTCAACAATGGAGCTTGGTAGAGTGTGTATATCTCCACCACATATGCGAAGCATTCGTCGTAACCAACGTTTGGCATTCAGGAATACTCAACAGAGCCGCTCAGTGAAACACAGAAGGCTATGCTCGAGGATCTGCGGGACTACGGACTGGTTTGGCAGCGAAAGGTAAGCATTAGTGCTTGCTGACCGGTTGGACACTGGTGTATCCTCACTCTTTCCAGGCCTCGTCAAAACGGTTCAGCCCAACACGCCTTGCGACCACACTCACTTCTGTTTCTCCATCTCTTCCGACGGCGGGCGGATCCCGAAACCCTGGAAGTGCACCGGGCGCTTCTTCGGTAGCCAACAGTACGGGCATCAACACTAACGATCACGGCTTCATCGTCCTTGAGACTAATTACCGTGTGTATGCGTACACTGGTGCGTATCTCCTTCACGATAATATCCAAGCTTTTGCTGCATAATTGCTGATACCCTATCATCCTCGCTCCAGACAACCCACTGCAGATTGCTGTCCTGAACCTGTTTATCACTTTGAAGTACCGGTTCCCCAATCTGGTCGTAGGCATGCTCACGCGCGAGAGCGTGCGTCGAGCGCTGGGCAATGGTATCTCCGCTGAACAGGTGAGCTCTTTCCTATCTTCAGTCTTTCTATCAACACTTTTGCGGACGATTGGACATGCATGACGTTTTTGCGTCTATTTATCATGTCCATTCATTGATTTGGTACCGGTCCCCGGTGCATGCTCTGCCAGTGCGGTTCATGCATCCGTTACGTGAATGTCCTGGGTATCGGACTGCATGAAGCACTGCGCTCGCACGACATAGGAATCGTGACCCCTAGCCCTTGATCGCCGTCCGATTTCTTGATCATCTCCGCCGCCATATGGTGTTTTCTAGGCTGCATCCTGTACATGCCTTTCTTTACATGCATAGCGATGCGTCCATGGTTCTGATGGCCGTCGCCACTTCCGCTGATCACACAGTGCTGCTATTTTTTACGGCATTGCTGTTGGATATCTTATGTCTGAAGTCAATGAGATCCTCCGCTGTGATCGCCGTTCTCCACGCGATTCAGATAGCGGGTTCCTCTAACCGACTCATTATATGATATGATGTTATGTCTTCCTCGCCTCGTTTTCTGTCTCTTTTCCACACATCTTTGCGCCCTTCTGGTTTCAGCTGATGACTTACTCACGCTGGAATGATTTTGTAGATTATTAGCTAACCGAATTCACATGTGCAACCCAAATGCGCACAAACGTAAGTGCAATCCTATAGTGTTCTTTCCACGTTTGCCGCAGCTGTTGAATGCCGACGGCGATCTTCACCCATGGCAATAGAACCCTTTGCTACCGATGACAATACAGGATCAAGTCCGTCTCTGGGAGCTGGAACGGAACTGACTCAAGTCAGACAAGGGTGCGTACCTTCTACCTTTTTTGCCAAATTCTATTTCCGTAGCCATCCTCTTCACATACACACGCGCATATGCTTGGACTCGTCATTTCCGCGGCTTCGCTTCTCACCTTCTGTTTCTTTTCTCCCCGGCCCGGATCATATCACACCTCCCCGCTCTTGGTCTGTATCAAACAACCAAACCTCTACTGACACTGGATCTCCGAACGCAGGCTTCCTTTACAAAGACTTTGCGACCCAGGCGGACTTCGTATATGTCCTCGCGTGTGGCTCTACGTGGTGCTCTGGGAAAATACGAGCAAACGCTACTTCTTCCTCATGCTTGACGGGCACTCCAACGTCCGTGGGCTCATCTAGCGGTGTATCGGTGGCTGCCGGGGTGCCTGTTCGGAACGTGTTCGACGTCAGTGGCGAAACGGGGTGCGGCACTGACTTAGAGAAGGTACTTTGACGCAAGCTTCATCTCTGGCGGCTAGGGATGTCAACACCGTACCGCTGTGGTATGGAACCACCTTGTTAGCTCTAGGCTTCTGTTCATCACGATTCAGGTCTACGCCGACTAGTGTTTTCACCGTATCTCGGTAGCGCCTACTAATTCACATTAAGTGGACGGCGACCTCGAGGCTTCGTTGATAACAACTCCTCGGTCTCGTACCAAACGTTTTAGTGCCAATCATATCGAAGTTCACTAGGACTTATCAAATTTAATGGCTTGACGGGCACGTTCAGTGGGCGATCATTGGAGAAGCCAGTTACGACTGGTTCTTCCCAGCATCAACGTGCGAGCCTGATGATAGTCAATTAGACGCCATATTTTGACGCTCTCATGCCAAGTCGCGTAGGAATGTGGCGACAACGTAAGCAGCCGTGTTTTAGTTTTCCTCATGATTGTCTCAGTGCTGCCTTTATCCACATTCAGGCCGCAAAGTGAAGACACCTTCATTTCTATCACATCTTCTCCTTGAGGTTGACCCTGAAGACATAAGGACTTAGTACTCAGTCTTAATGCGCTGATCATGAAGCAAGCACCAGTACTGCACTATGACTTTACTTCACACACGTGTAAGTCTTTTATCGATCCTGTACCTGAGCGGCATTGCGTCATAGATCATCTCTTAGATCAATGTAGCACTATGACACGCCGAATATCTGCATCCTGAACGGTTAGTAGCGGTTAGTTGGCATGGCCTTTTCTCTTTGCCCTTCAAACTCAACTTTACCTGGAAGACTGAAATGTACATCGTAGATCTCCCCGGAGACGGCGGCATAGACCCCACGGCGATCATGTTCCCATGCACCACCCGTAAATGGTGCCACAGGAACGCGATCACTGCTGCACGATTGAGCGTGTGCCGGAGGGAAAATTTCCCCAGATCAACCTGGTGTGACTTTAGGTAACGGATGCCTCGTTCAGATTGACGTTCCCTGATCGGTGCTATCCTAGTCTCGCGGGCGCGGAATTCCATCGGATCGATTGGCTCACTGGCACCAGTGTGCGCAGGCCGGGGAACTCTGATTTTACAGGACACATGTGCCATTTAAGATTTATGCACCCTGTTCATAGACGGTTCAGCGTCTTGCGGAAATTCTGCCGGCCCAAATCCGCCAGCTACGATGCTAGTCTTGTGTGCTCATTTTCCTGTGGACACAAGTATAATGGGATATTTCTTCCTACGGGTGGCTCCGAATAACTGTAAATACCCATAGCCAATTCGCCGTTTGATGTGGCCTTTTGTGCGATAGTCCATTCCACCATTATCACATATATGTGCGTGTCTTTCAAGTATGATGTTCTTGCAATTAAATACATCAATATTGCAACAGACAGATAACCACAGTGAGGATCAGTGTCAACAGCGACAGTGTCCACATTGATTGGCTGCAAGACTATTTGTTTATGCGCTTAGCGTATTACAAGCCTGAAATATTCACCAACCGGCGCCCATTACTGAGGAAAAATACAGCAAGAAGCAGCCTCGATCCGCGGCATTCCGTAGCTATCTAGACGGCGTCTTCAGTTCGTGTTTGTCTTCCTCAACCACGGATAGGCACGTATGAGACACCTTACGATCACCTGTCCAAAATTCCTGTACGGAATAACCGATACCCTACAGCTACATATCAAAGAGCTGCACAAAGCCCATTCAAACTCACAAAACATCGTCCGTGAATCATCGGACTAGATAATCGTTACACGAGTCGGACACACCCGCTCGATTGTTCCGCTACCGTTTCCCCGCTTCCCCAGCTTCCAATATCTTGCTTCTTTGCGTTCCGTTCCGTTCCTTGGCCGAGGACTTAAGACTGTAAATTATCGCATCGCCAGTTATTTTCCCTTCCTTCTGCGAGATTACCAATGCTCGCGGATTGTGTAGCTAGGCTGAACTCATCACTTCGGTTCCTGGACGCCTGCGATGTCCCACTTAGAAGCCTGGGGAGAGCGGAACAGCCCTGCGTTGTGCTGCTATAACGTATCCGTCCGCCGAAATCTAATATGGAACTGCGGAATTAGCTGGATCAAACTGGAGTACCCACCGCGATATCCCGCACTCGGATTAGCGGTTTGCAGTGCACCAATCACATTTGACGTTCTCGAGGGGGTGCACACTATATGCTCTATAGTACTTACTCCGCCGAGTCCGCGGCAGCTGTGCATCAGGTTTGCATGGATTCACACTGTCTCTTTCCGATCTCGTTGATGCAGATGTAGATGAGCAACACCAACCATTCGATCTCCGAACGCCACAAAGCCACTGGACCTCCCCACAGCACGGCGATCTCGGCAGGCCGTGCGCACATCCATCATGATTGATCATGGTATCATGCATCATATTACAAACGCCGTTCGGAACGTTCACAGTGCATGGTCTCGGCCGAGGAGATGCCTGATACGATTGGCCTCGTCAATATATGAATTGTAGAGTGCGTGTTAATCAATGCTCTTAGTAAGTGCTAAGTTATGATGTGGAGCTACTTTCAGTACGCTGCATTTCATGGGACGTACTTGATAATCACACCCAGGATCTAAGAGCGAGGCGAAGAACTTTGAAACCCTAGGAACACACACGAAAGGCGAAGACGGGGAATATTATTACAAATCCCAAAATCGGTTCTTAGCGCAGGGGGTTTGCTAATGCCACGGCGGAAGAACGGCGGCCGCGGGTGGACAATCGATATTACAGCTACGAGTCTAGGTGGGGCGAGGAACGGACGGTGATTCCTGAAGATCTCTGAAGGAGACAAGCAAGTGAATATCGACCATTCGATCAAGGCAACAAGAAGCTCAAGCATCCAGGTACTACCATACATACGTAACACAGCACCACGTTTCGAACGGGTGCGATCCCCAAAAATACCAAGTGATAGCGAATAGTATACAGACGAAGCGCGATCGGCTGGCATAGTAGCATCCAGACATCATCGATCCATCCAAAGTGCTGAGATATCTAATAGATCAAGATACGAAGCACCAAGCAAGCAGACAAGCAAACAAGCGGCGCAGCAGCACATTCAAAAGGCCACAAATCACCAGGCGCGCGAAAACCAAACGCAAATGCGCCCGTCTGGCCAATGGCCGAGCATATATTATCAAGGCACTGTACATACAACATGGCAATACGATAAGTAGTAACTATATACTACAATAATGACGAAGCTCATGAAGAGCAGAGGTTAGCGACGAACTCGGAGATATACATGTAGAAAGGATGTGTCGTCGTCGGGGAGTAACATAACATAACAATAATGCAAGGAACCATGATCAGATTCAGGCGTGAACGCGAACAGATCTAGTATAAGAGTGCTCATTAAGTAGTTGTGAAATTGCAATGTGTCGAGGGTGGGACAACGTAATGCAAGAGATGGAGATGGAGATGGAGAATGAGATAAACAAACAACCAAGACTAGGCTCAGGCGTGAATGCGAACTCTAGAGCCGGAAAGATGGAGATGCGATGCGTCAATATCAGCAGCCAGTGCATATACAGGACCAATGCGCGCGGGGAATCCACTAGTAGATCCCATCTATAAGATAGAGAAAATGCATAACCGAGCCATTTGAGTCGTTTCAAATAATCGTGTTTCGTCCAAGCCTGAGCCCGAGTGCTCGCACGAGCTCAAGCGGCAGCAGCGGCAGCCCCGTCCTTGCGGCACCACACAAAGCTCCCTTCGAGCGCAGGCGTGTGCGCCGCCGCAGCGGTATCGCGCCAGCGCCCGACGAGACTGCGCTCGTAGATGTACCCGCGGAACAGCCATCGCCCACCGCCGTTCGGCGCCTGAGGTCCATTCCCATTCCCGGTCCCGTTGGCAGTAGCGGGCTGCGGAATGCGCACGAGCGATACGAGCGCGTCCCACGACCGGACGCGGCCGATGTAGGTGTACCTGCCCCAGGCGGCACCCTGGCGCTCCGTGGTCTGCGCGAGGCGAGACAAACAGCAGAAATGAGTGGTTAGAGGCGTGTCAGGATGAAGTTGAGTGGAGGGAGCGTACCTCGCCCGTGATAATGATATCCTGCACCCCGCTCGGGCGGCACGCGTACGTGTCCTCGTACACGTCTTGCACCGCGTCCGCGTCCGCACCCTCAACGCCCGAGGCAGACACTGCCTTGCCTTCGCCTTCGTCGGGATCCTCGCACCACTCAAGCTCGGCACCACACAGCCGATCGCACGCCGCCTTCGCATACGGACGCGCAGGCGAGTCCGGATTAAATGTGTCGTACTGCGTGCGTTTGCCAGTCGCAGGGTCATGCAGTATAATGTACCCCTCCCTCCGCACGACCTCTATCCCAGCAGGCAACCACGCATCCAGCTCGCCCTCGTCCTCCATATCCGTATCCACCCACCCCTCGTCCTCCTCTCCCTCCTCTCCCGCATGCCCACCTCTACCCGCATGCCCACCTCTACCCGCATGCCCATGCGCCTGGGCCGACATCCCACCTGCACCGAGCGGCTCCTCACCAACAAGACAATGGTGCTCCTGAAACCGCGCCGCAAACCTCTCAATGCTCGCGTTAATCGGCACCTGCGCACGCGGATTCACGAGCGTAGTGAGCGTCTGCATCACATCGGGAACAAGCGTGCGCCCCTCCCAGTACCCTGCAAGCGTGCCCGGCGCATACACGACGCCGCGCAAGGGCGAGTCGCCCACGCGCGGATCGACGCACCCGGTGAGACGAAACCAGTGCTTGTCGAGCCGCGCGCTCTTCTCGTCTTCTTCGTATTCCTCGTATTCTTCGTCGTCTTCGTCTTCCTTCTCGCTCGCATCCCCGGTGTTTTGGCCCTCGTGCACCGGGTCGAAGATCGGCGTCGTGCCACTGTCCTCGTAGCCCTCGCCAAAGACCCACGTGCGCGTGCCGTACTGGAACTCCCGCACGTCCTCCTGCGTGAGCCCCGTCCACCCGTGCGTCGCGCCGAGACCTTGGGCAGCTGCGAGCGCGAGCGCGTCCGCACGCGTCGCGGGCAACGTGAGTACATGCGGCGGGAGCGGCGAGCGTGACTGGCGCGCTTCGGCGCGGACGATGTAGTTGAGGAAGGCCACATGCGAGAGGAGCGGTGCGGAGATCGTCAGCGTGCGGGCGTACAACGTGAGCGTGTGTGCCGAAGGGATGTGGTGATGCGGGAGCGGATCGTGGGCGTGGGCGTGATCATGATCCTGGTCTTCGACTGGTGAACCGGGGGGAGTGGAGGCGACAGATCCAGACCTGGACCCAGGCAAGCTAGGGATGTGGGCGTGTTCGTCGTGGTCTTGCATGGGCGCATCAGACGAACCGTCCCATACACGATAGTTGAGGTGATCGCACAAGGGAAGGTAGAACATGGACGGTGGAGCGTGGGCGCAGGGCAGGGAGTGGCCCCTGACGATGAATGGGTAAAAGAGGTCCATGACGAACTGGCGGAGGCGAGCGGGCTCCGTATCCAGGGTTTCTGCAAGCAATGAACCAACGTTCGTCAGGGTGTCCTCCTGAAGTAGCAATGACTAGACGCACCTCGGGTACTCGTCATCCACAACAACCAGCCTACCAGCGCAGTCCCCTCCAGATCTTGAAACCACGAGTCGCAGGTCTTGACACGCAGCCTGTACTCGAGCACACGCCAGAGCCAGTTCCTGACGCCCGCCCAGCTCACGAGTTGGGCCATATTTCGACCGTCATCTTCGAGCAGCATGATATATGCAGTCCACAGATCTTCTTTGCCCGCGTTGTGCCTGGTGATCTGGCCACGACGGATGCGGTAGAGGGCGGCCCAGCGGTGGTGCATCTCACCGGCGAGGCAGAGGTTGGTGGACCAGTTGCGGCTCAAGCGGCGGTCGAGGGCAGATGTGTCGAATGAGGCACGAAAGAGAGTAGCGGCGACCTGGGCATTCTTGAGTGGCGAGAGGGCATGGTTGAACTTGCGAGAGGTGAGGAGGAGCGGGAGGAGGGTGGGTGGGCCTGGGGTTATGGGGTGCTGGTCCTGTTGGGGCGGAGGAGAGAGGTGGAAGACGATCTCCTGGAGGATCTCTGGGGCGAGACGCTCAAGGGGGGAGAGAAGGCGGGTGGAGGAGGATCGGGGATGGAGAGCTGAGTGCATTAGCAAAGCAGCAGCAAAAAGCGGGGGAGGAGTAGGGGATATATATACCTTGTCGTCCGGGGGGGCAGGGGCTCTGCAGGTGGGGATGTCATATGGTGCATATGTACACCCCAGACCCAATCTCGAGGTGAGGCGAATTCGAACGGCGGCGAAGCGGAGGCGCGGAAACGGAAATCATGTCCGCCTGCCATTCCAGCCATCTCGCCTCAAGAGCGTGCACGGTCAGCGGCATAGCGGACATCGGGGATGGACAGACCAGCGGCAAATAACAAGCCAAGGGACAGAGAAGCTCCAGACTGAATATCGAATCGATCGGAGAAATGCGGTCAGATCTGCTCATTAATTTAATCATTGCCAACCAACAAGATTCACAAACAGAACAGAAACAGCAACAGAAACGGGCACAGAATCGCACCAAAACAGAAACACTGCGCTGTAAAGTTTTGATCCCCGTCCCTGTCCCGCCACAGCCGACGACGCCGCCTCGACGCCCTCCGTCCGATCCATACACCATCCTATTTTTACACCGCAACCGATCCCACCCCTCCCACACACTTGCCCACATCCCCCGTCGGCGCCGGCAAGCTGCGTCCCTGAACGACCTGTCCAAAACCCGCCAGGCGTCGCCTCGCGATACGCGCTTGCCGGCCCGCCCAAACGCTAACCACGTCAAATACACCAATTTATGGGCGTCTCGGTCCTCAGCGGCCCTGAGCCCGCATATTTAGACGCTGGTGTGTGGGTTCAAGCACATTACATGACGTACTTACTCTACAGCGCACACATGTAACAACGGAAATGAGACATGGTATCGCCAGCTCATGGGCAATTCAGCTTTTGTATACCTGGTTTTTTAATACTAACAAATGCAGCTACTAAATTCTTGTCCGAGGCTCCGATCACCAGCGCCGTCTGGTCGTCTTCGGTTTTTCTCGCCCTCCCCCTGCGGCCTATGCCGCGCGTGCAAAGCGAAAGAAAAGAAAAAAGAACCCTGCCAAAAGAAGCCGGCCGCGGGTGAAAAGAAGACAGAAGGACGGGGATTTCGACGACAAACTGTCCAAGGCACACACGCGCTCGGGATTTACCGACCACAGAGCACAAGCGAACAATAGCGCGAGGCTAACAGAGAACGTTTCCTTTCGTTCTGTTCCTGCTCAGCGTTCCCTCACCAACCCACCCCGGCTTAAGCTTCTGCGCAATCACGTCTCCCCCAACCTAACGTTAACCGCATCATATGTACCCAGTCGCGTCCTAGTTCTCGACTGGCATCATCTGCATCATCGCCCTGAGGATCCGCGCCACGCCCAGCGCAACCTCCAGCCTGGAGCGCGGGGCCATTTGAGTGTTTGCTTTGGGATGGACTTCCCCAACGCTCTGGTAATGTTGTCCGTCATGTTGCCACGGCACCGCAGATGCAAACACCCTTCGCATCAATGAATTCACTCGGCGCGTTTCATTTTGCTCATTGTGCTCCCTATTGCGCAGGGGCAGACCGCATAACCGGCTCTCAAAAATGGAGGGGGGTCTCGAGTGTTTTCGAAAAGCGTAAACCTTGAAGAGGGGTCAAGTCGAACTGTTGGGTTGCCAGCAATCGGTTTTGTTCCTCTGGCATGGTGCGTACATGCTGGTTTTCTGTGCCGAACTCTCGCTCGCTCTCGGCACTCATTTGCAGCGTGCTGCCGCATAACATTCCGCTGACATCCTTGCGCATCCAGATAGCTTTACAAGAAAAAAGTTTTTGCAGGACAGAGAGAAGTCCTGGAAGACAAGCTGAGACGGCACAAAGATAGCGCGCACAGCGCGGTAAAAAAGGATGGGCCACTCACAGCGCCCTGTCTTGGCTCGTTGTTTGCCCTCTTACAGAACATTGTTGTCTCGCGCTACGCGATCCCCGGCCAGCATGAGGCTGCATGCTACGTGCCGTCTGCCCCCGTGATGCATGCCCTGCATCGCTTGAGCGGTGTCTCACGACACACACGCGGTCTCTCGGGGTGCGTTTTGCTGCACTTGAAATATAACCAGACTTGTAAGAATAAAAATACGACGAAAAGGAGGAGCGGGGAGGTGAGCTGGATCATGGGTGCGCCTACCGAGAAATTCGAAGTGAGCCCGGCTAGCAGCTCTCATGTTCGTGTTCGTGTTCGTGTTTGATATTCGCTTTCGTGTTCTTTCCGCTCTTCACAGATGCTGCACGACGCCACTTCCGCCGCCCCCCGCCTTCTGTTATTGATCTTCCTGTCTCTAGCGCTTGTTTTTTGCGCAGGAGGATCCGTCGATTGATGTGATGCGATGAGGTGGCGCTGGTGATGGAAGGCGGAGACGGCGGCGGCGAGTTGTGAGTTTCACTACTAGATTGTAATAACGCCCATGCTTCGCATTGACTCGGACCGCTGCTGATCCGTTGACATGCGCCACTCGTAGAGTTGTTATAAGTCTGGACTCGGTGTCATGCCAAGAACACTGACCCATTCAAACTCCAACCTTCAAGCTTCACGTCTCGCAGAGTTACGTGTCGTTGCCTACGCACTTAAATCGACGTCTCTGTGGCGCGGTTACTCAACCCGTCAGATACGGTTCCACAAATCGTGTTTATCATGGGCGCTTTGTTTGACAGCTGCAACACCCGCGCGCTGTGCAGCGCTGCGTACGCACCAGACCAGCCGACTAAACAATTCAGAACGAACGTTCGGCCGGAGGCGTCCCTTGCACGACCCCTCGATTGACGGCCCAGCGCCACTTTATATTAAAAAGCACGCAGCACCGCGTACTCGCGCATAGTATGCATCTCGCGCGCGCGAGTGCAGTGCGTACTCACAGTGGCAGGCTCGGACGCTCCCACGTCCTCTCGATTGGGTGCCGTACCTGGTCACTGGAGCCTGCGCTACCGATGGTACGCCCGCCTTAGCAGTGCTAGTGGAGCTGTGGGGACGGCGAGACGGGGAGGTGCGCGAATCGATCACCGCAGCTTGTCAGTTACCACGCCGCGCCGCGAACCTTACCTTGTCCTTGTTCGCTCTGCTTATCAGTTGGTACCGGTACTTGCTTATCAGTGCTTGTGGTGTGCTGACCCTGGGCTGTGGTACTCCAACAACTCCCTTGATTCTAGTTTCCAGTAATGATAATGTCAGTCAGGTATTTTGTGTGGTATGTGTTATGGCATGGTGTGTCATTGTAGCTGCGCACGCTGAGTAGCGTGTTGTCGAGATCAAAAATCAAAGTATAAGAAGCGACGGGTGCACTGTCAACATGTGCGGTATGCCCAAATGACGGATGGAGATCCTGGTACGCCGCGTTGAAAGGCGGGCCCAGACAATCGAGCAGCCTGTCCATGATTAATGCAGGGAGGTCCACACCATGCAAATATCAATCAATGCACAATGTGGCGCAAACGGCGGCGGCGCTGACTATGCAGCAAGCACCCACGCGCGGACTTCTCGTCGACTGATTGCACGGTGTGATTCGGCTCTGCCGTGACCTGCTGAACAGCACTTTCCGGCCCAGGATCGATGACGTTGAAGGTGCGTTCGTTTTCTCCTCATGATCCAAGGCGCTCTTCTTTCTTTTCCTTTTCCCTCATCCCTACCATTCCGGATCTTTGCGCTTGCCTGCCGGGTACTCGCCACCGGCACCCTGACTCTGATCCTCTGCAAGCTCGAACCGACCTAAACTTGGTATTCTACATTCGGAAAAGTTCCACGTCGACCTCCCCGGCTGGAGCAAGCAGCGTCCGATGCCGATACCGTTTACCGCGAGCGCACGTGCGTAAAATCAGGATCAGAAGGATCAGCGCTGCCTCATTGTGGAAGTGAAATGGTATATTAATTAAAACTTGAACATGAACGCGATCGTGATCATGATCTACGGTGAACTCGATCAGGGGGAGGGCGGTGAACGCGATGCGATCAGGGCACGGACACCTCCAAGTCAGACTGCGCCATGTTAAATGAAGTGTCCGATCAGGTCCATTCCGCGTAGTATTGTGCATACCGCAGCGTGTGTTTTTCATTTTGATTCAACTTGGTGCTACATCACTAAATGAGCGGACCGAATATAAGTACATGAGCAGTAGTAGAATCAGTTATAACTGACACCGTACCTTAATGATATTTCGAATCTCCAGCACGAGTGGAGCGTAAAGTCCGTTTTTGACATATGGGAAATCAGACCAAAATAAGACGGTGAAATGGTCAGATCAGGGATGATATTATAATATTGATGGCTATCTTACCGCTGACGGAGCCTGCATGATAATTACACGATAAGATCGGCTGGTGATTTATGCCATATGATAAAAACTCAGACCATATGTTGAGGACTCGCAATCTTGCCCATGATTCCAATGACAAGACATTCATTGTGAATATTATATAGTACATGATGCAGCATTATTCAAGGTTAAAACGACTAACAAAATTATTACACGAGAGCAGCAGCAGTAGACGAGTGCAGGAAATCCGAGGAAATAATTAGAGCTTACAGACCGTGAAGCTAGCAGTCGATGACAGCACTCGTCTACTTTCGGGCTCCAACTCTGACAGAAGGCGGGTGGGGACGCGAATAGTGACCATCGACTCGAAATGTGATAGCCTCAGACTCCAGGCTTGTGCTCCAGGTCCTCGCCGACAGCTGGGGGATGGAGCAGAAGCATGCACCTCATTGCCATCGAGTACATTGCTCCAGCATGCTGTTGGCTTTGTGTTTGAGGTGTCCTGTGTTTGGTGAGATGCTTAAATACGTAGTAAACATAGAAGATGTACCAGAGCCAAAATACCGGAAGAACTGGACAATTTTCCAGGACTTGAGGTGAGACAAGTGAGTGTGGTGACAATCGGTGGTGGAGAAGCGTGTAAGACAAGTAGGGAAATCAAACAGAGAGTACAGGGTAGGATTATTGCGGGGGGAAGAAAGAGAAAAGTCGAAGGGAGGAGAGAGAAAAGGCGACACAAAGGTCTTATCTTATCTTATCTCTCTATCAGCTTTAGGGCTGGTTTCATCATCTGTCTCTGATTGGCCAATATTATATTTAGACGTTTGAGTGTCGCGCAACCCAGGCAGGAGCGCTCGCTTAAAATAACTAGAGGTCTTCTCTTGTAGTTGGAATGCATGTCGCCGCTTCAGACATTGCCTCGCAAGAGCTATAGGTAAAAACAGAAGCAGAAAGACGCCGAGCGATTGGTGTTCATGCGCCCAATGTGGTGTGGCTGGGTTTCTTCCCCCGCTCGCCTGCTCCACTTTTGCATTATTGTAAAGGTCAGCGGGTATTCGAATCTCTACCGTTTTTATTGTTCGTTAGTGTTCGTGTCTACCTAAAGCGGTGGCTGCCATATGCAGTTGAAGTTATCGATCGCTCAATGATAATTTTGTTTCTGAAATGGTCTCCGTATTTTATATTCGACTAACAAATGTACGAGCAAGATCATCGATTTTGATCGATGGTAAGGTGTCCGTGACATGGTGTTCGGCCGAAATTCACTGCCACACCGTAACGATATGTTAACTCAATGGGAATGCGTCACCATTCGTGATCATGCAAAACTGTCTCGACGACGATATTATAACGGTGATCACTCGGTATAACGGTCAAACTTTTCCCACCCATTTAGTGATGTATCTCGTTAACTGCTCAAGCGCACAAGCGCTCAATGTCGAGTTTGAGAGTCACCGTTAACGTTCAGAACGTTTCCAGGAATCTCGGAACGTCCAAAATCTCACTAGTGCGAGCGTCGATCCGCCCGCACCGGAGCCAGGGAACTTGTTCATGACATGCCGCAAGATCCGAGAGGGAGGTGTGATATATTTTTCCGACGTTGTAGTCCAGAACAAGTTAAAAGTAGGGCACGGCGCGTGTATGTGCCTCCACGTTGAGAACAATAAGTAGCATCACACGTATGCATACGCCGCATCATGGATCAGTGTTCGGCGATTGTGCTGCGATGAAATTACAAGATGGCGGTCGAGTTATGGGATGCCGGCTTAAAATTGGTTTGACAATCTTGTAAATGTGTATGTGGGCGGAGTTTTTGTTCCGCCTTGAAACGTAGCTTGGGGATGATGAGCGGTGACCTCTGTATCATTATCGAAGTGCAGGTCCGCGTCGTAGTGCAGGTCCTCATCCGCAGCGCAGCATGCTGCTTTAATGGTAGCTCGTGTTTGTATACGTACTTTGCTGGCTAATACTGCTGGTATATTTTTAGTTTCGGACATACGGGTATGTGTAGTTCTGTAAATAGGAAGAAGGCATGATAACATGCATGACCAGAGGAAGAGGTGCGTAGCGTGGATTTTCAAAGGAACGTTCGATTTTCTGATCATGATGCAGCACACCTGTAGAATGTATGTTCGTGTGAGATCTCCGCAGCTTCAGGCCTAGAAGTCCTGTTGAGCCCCTCGATCAATCGTTGAGTTCTCCGCATCGACATCTTGATGCTCGATGCCGTTGATGCCTGATGCAGATGCTCCGCCATCTCACTGGAACCCCGGTATAACCGTGACACGGTCTCCGCATCACTGGAGGACCCTCCGTAACGTCTGAAATTTCAGATTCGTCTTCAAACCTTGTTATGCCGAAATGCCGTTGTCAACTTGTCTGGTAAATGAACATTTTTCAACTCCGACGTCAGCTCGAGCAGTCTTCAAACGTAAAATCTGGAGGAGGGGGGTACTCCCCTCCTCCAGATTCAAAGTTGTCTTCAAACCAATAGCCGATGTCATACTTGACGTTCCGCGACAGATCCGCTCCGGGTAATGAACGAAGCAACGACTTGGCAATTCATTCCTTTGACATTGCCCTTGCCATGAAGTGCCTTGACCACTGACCCTACGGAATTCCCAGGTCTGTATCTTCAGACTTCAGATTCAGCCGAAACTCCGACATTAAAGTTTGAAGGCGAATCTGAATTTCCAGACCTTACGGAGGGTCCTCCACTGTGTGTATCTCACCAGCCAGCTCTGCCGTGATCGGCGCATGCCGAATTTGAATGGCCACCTCAGGGCCAGTAAACGCCCAGCATTTGGCGCTCAGGCTTGCCGCTGACTCGCCGGGTGGCCAGCCAATCGACGTTTTGGTACCCGGCCCGGCGGTGGAAGCGGCGTCTCACGTTCTCGTTTGACACTCATCAGGTCCTCGGCCTACAGAAATGGAAGGGGTAAGCGAGTATTAGGGCATTACCTGTACAAGCGATGTGCGGGGAATGGAGGCGCTTAGAACTTACGCGACGTCCTCGGGTCCCGGTATTGGACATGTGCCGCAGAAACCCGAGGCCAGCATGCCTGATCATGAGCGGAAGGGAGGACGGAGTTGGGCGACGGCGTATAACAGTGAGATGCGTTGTGAGATGCGCATTTGACCTTGTTCGCATGCGCCCACAGGGACGTGTGAGTGCCAGCAGAGTGTGAAAGAGCAACAGCCCGAACAAAGCCAGTTTGAGTTGACGTTCGAAATAGTCAGTCGGGCGACGGGTTGGGTCAATGACGATGGAGCATCACGATGAGGCTGCGAAAGCTGGAACAGTGTTGGGTGATGTGCTCACCCACCGAACGTTGTGACTGGTCTACATGCGGGTGCATAATCTTGATCGCCGCTGCGTGTACTTGTAGTACTGGTCATTAAGCCACAGTACGGGTCTCAGAAAGTTCAATGTGAATATTAATGCAGACACTCCAAACATGCGGATCTTCGGGCTAAGATCGTGTGAATAGATACAGCACGGCGAGACCTACTCCTTAGATCTTTGTTAAACGAAAGAGCAAGTGAGGATGTGGAGCTCTTGGTCTAGTGTGTAGTGTCTGCCGTCGTGGTACAAACCCGAAAGCCTTCAGAAAACGTAGTGCGACACCGGGCCGAGTCTCTGACGTCGGAGTTCTCGGAAACATGCGTAGCACAGCCACAACAACCTTTCCTGATCTTCGCCCTGCAACCTCGACTCGTTCAGTCGACCGGTGCTGGTCATTGCCTACCACCAGAGAACGGTAAGTATTGACGCGTATTGTGTTGTTTATCCAGCTAATCAATTTATCCCTAAGTATCAATCTCACTATGCAACGAAGTCTGGTCCGCCTGGCGGAAAACGTCTCTGCAAAGCCTCTGAACCTGCGCGTGGCAAGCGCGACACTTCTCCCACCACTTCCGTAAGCGCCCGCATTTTTGCGGCAGTTTAGACAATTGCTAACTTGATACTCTCCACGCGTTGTTACAAGGTTATACCGAAGCCTGCTTCGTGCACACAAACGACTCCCATACGAGATGCGATCGCTAGGGGATGACTACGTCAAGGCGGGTGAGTGTATGCGTCCCTCTCACCCCAAATGCCTGCTTGTTTCTGATGGGTCTTCTCTCCTCCCGTCCGTATTACAGAGTTTCGAAGACACAAGGATGTTACGAACCCCGTGTACGTCATGGGCTTCCTCTCGCAGTGGAAGATGTACCTCGACCAGCTACCGGAAGACCCGCAGGCAAAGAACTTCAAGAGGATGGACGCTACTGTGTTTGAGAAGGTGTGTCTGTACGCTTGCCAGCCTTCTCTCCCGCGTTTCTCACTGGCTGCTGTAGATGTCGCCGGAGCAGCTTGGTCAGTTGTACGAGCTCATGCACGCTACGAAGAAGGTCTGGAAGACGCCAGAGCAGCAGGAACAGGAGGCGAAGTCATAGACACTGACGGGGTCGCGCTCATTCGTTGCCATAGAGTCATTATGTGGGGTTCTCGGGGCACCAATGTATCTTCAGGCATGTATGTGCACTCTTTATAATATCTAATGCCGCTTCCAGTCCCATCCGGCATCGTACCCGATAGTCTTCCCCGCGCACACACACACGCACACCGATACTCACCTGGTCCATCCCACCCTTTACAGAAGCCGGAGAGCGATCGAACCGTGCAAGAGTTCATCCCCTTTCTACTCCGTGGTCACGGTCTCTTGCCTGCCCCCCGTAGTTGTTCAACGGCCGTATCCCATTACAGACCACGCGCACGCATACCGACGCTCCCCTGCTCTACCTCGCCTTTTCCCTAAACCTACTGAGCCCTATGATACCTAGGTTCCAACCTTCCGACACGCTCGGCACGGTGGTTGTGCCTCCGCCGGCACCTGTCTCTGTCACGTGTGCCGGTGCGGAGCGAATGAGAGCATGGATGACTATGGGAACGCATGCGGAGGGCTATATATGACTTGGCATATTGTGTAGTTTCTGTCTTCAAGAGATTCGTCACCCTTTGAGCTCACTCCCACCATGTCTCAGCAAGCTGTACGTGTCACTTGTCCTCTCATCCTTTCTACCAGAGCTCATTGAGATCGTGAAACCGCATGCACAGACCGTCGCATCCAACACGCGCCCCTACTCCGACTTACCCCCTATCTGTGCTCAGTTCTTTGAAGCGAAGGCTCGCAGTGGTAGGTTGACCATCTCAGCGAACGAGTGCTGCTATTCGTCTGACCCTTGCCTCCCAGGCAAAACCTTCGCTGACATAGGCAAGGCTATCGGGAGGGACGAAGTATGGGTTGCGTCTGCCTTCTACGCCCAGGTTTGTCTTGTCCTATCACTATTATATGGCGTTCGGTCGCTGAGATAGTGGCTGCGATAGGCAAAGTTGGAGAAGAGCGACATCGAGGCACTTTCCAAGGAGCTCGGAATCAACTCTGTCGCCATCCAGGCTGAGCTCGGCGAGCACTGGTGGCCCGATCGCGGACTCGGACCGGCCCCTCCGAGTGATCCCGTTCTCTATCGTCTGTATGAGGTACGCTGGCCAGCTAACTCGAGCTTTGGAGGATCACTGAATACCGCTCAAAGGGTGTGATGGTCTATGGCCGTCCGATCAAGGTATAATTGTACCCTACGGTCACGGACAGAACCTTGCTGACGCGTTCCTGCTAGGCTATTATCCATGAGAAATTCGGGGATGGAATTATGTCGATGATCGACTGTAAAGTTACGGTCGACCGGAAGCCGGACCCGAAAGGCGATCGTGTTCAGCTTCTCTTCGAGTAAGATTTAGCTTGAACGTTGCTCGTGACACTAACTAACAGGCGATTCAGTGGAAAGTTCTTGCCGTACAGCAAGTGGTAAACCTCCGACGTAACCAAACAATGTAATTCTAAGGTGTCAGTCTGTACTAATACACTCCTATTATTGGGACCACGACCGATGTCAATCTTTGACGCGCTGAGACACCGGTCCTGTCACTATCTTGATCCAGACTGGGTATTGTGTGGTATATCTTCTTCACCCATCTTGGCCTCTGCTGTTTATTGCGATCACATCGTTCCTATCTTCCGTCACCCATCTCATCACCCAGCACCACAGTTACCTAGACGTCACTCCAAGATGGCAGCGCGTGCTAACCCCATCATCAGCGCCACCACCACCTCAACGCGGGCGTTGCACATAGCATCGTCGCCTATGCTTTCGCCGAAACTCTTCGGACCCTCTGGAGCGCGAGCCGCTCTCGAAGGTGCCGCGCGAGGGCATGCCCATCATGCCTCCCCCCATGAATCTCCAAGTTCTCCCCAGATCCCAATGCGCCAGCGTTCCCTTAGCTTCGGTCCGTCGCACAGTCCGCCTGCGACTGGTCCACTTGTCCCGCTCCTCGACACGCGCACTCTGCGTCCGCTCAGGAATCAGCACCCTATCACCCGCCCTCCTGCTGCTTTACTAGGAAGGCCGAAGGCGGCTTCCTCACTCTACCGCCCTCCTTATGTGAGTGACGAGCTCGCAGACCCCCAGAACGCAGTAGATTCCGCCTACAAGATCATCGCCGCCACCGCGAATGGAGGGACCGTCGGCAGCTATAGCGGCAAGTTTTTCTCTCCCATTGCCACCCAGATGGTGTGCCCCCCTCCGCCGTCGACGCCCGAACCCGCCGTGATCCGTGGGTCTGGCTTTAGCACGCGTCGTAGGTCAGCCCACCCGGGTAGGATGGACCTCTCTTCCATCGCTAAGGCGCAGCTTGACGTGCGCTTCGCGCGGGTGGCACCCTTCGGCTACGACGCTGATGCTACTATCCCTCAGAGCGTCTCCGTTGGGCTTGGTCTTGGAGCGAGCGCGGGGCAAGACGCGAGCTGGGGCCCCGAGTCGGACCTAGGGCTGGGTCTCGGCGCTGGACTGGGACTGGGGATATCTAGTGCAGCGTACACTGGACAAAGTCGTCGCTCGGTCAGTATGCCCCGCCTTCGCTCTCGCGAGGGCAACCGCAGAGCATCACCCATCGAAGAAGAGCTTACCCACGCCGGTGACAACCAGCTCTCTCCCGAGTGGTCCACAGAGAGTCCCAGTTACCTGAGCTCTGCCACCCAGGAGCACCAACTCCCGCCTTCGGCGTCGATGCCGACTCCCCCTCCTGAACAGGACAACGTCCCCACTGGCGCGAAGGCCGTCCTCAAGCCGACGCTGCCCGCCTTTTCTCCATCGCCCTTGGTGATAGGATCGCCAGCGTTCCAAACTTTGGGCGCTACCGCCACCACCATCATGGGCGCAGACGGCGGTGCCTTGACCGAAGGTCGGACGCTGTCCAACCCGTACTTCCCCCGAGCCGCTGCCCCTGCTCTGTGATAATTGGCGGAGGCACGAGCTAGCAGCGGGCTGCTAGAACCGTCGCTCTGCCCAAAGGAGCAGTGACCGGACCGTTTCTAAGTAGTAGGATAGGCGCATCTCGATTTGTATCCGCTTATGTATAGTAGTACCTTAGCGTAGAGAACGATGTAACAGCTTGATACTGATAATTCCATGTATGAAATTCTAGATGCTGTGCTGATATCGAACGTTTCAATACTTACCTCGTGAATGACTGATGTAAGCTGCCTCATATGCACTTCTTCAACGATAACAAGAGGTGGTTACGTTCATATGTTCTAATGTACACTTTCTGTACTTATACGCATTGAGGTCAATATCAGTCTTTCTACGCGAATCCCATCGCAACCCTGCTAATGGGCTGCACCAAATCGCTCTCGGCACCCAGACCAGTATACTTCACGCCCTCCTTGAGCTTAGGGTAGTCGGGCGGGTTCACGCCTGCCAGGAACGTCTCGAGCTGCTTCTTGACGTACGCGTCGTTCTGCGGGCACTTCGGCACCGAACCGATATACATCACCGCCGAGTCGCCCGTGCCCGTGTGCTCTTCCTCGACCGAGTGCACGACATCGCAGTGCCAGAATACCATGTCGCCCGGGTTCACCTTTGGTACGGACGTCATCGTCTCGTCGAGACGGAGGTGCGGGTGCAGCTCAGGCGTCGGACGGGGCCCGTGGAAGCCAGTCTCACGCGGGACGATTCCTGGGAAGGAGGGCGAGGAGATGTCGAACACCCAGCTGGAGGCATCGAGGATGTCAGGGGAGGAAAACGGGACGGTGGGGCGGAAGAAGGGGCGGAGGATGGTATACGCGTTGGAGATGTGGACATCGGGGAAGACTTTGAGCGTCCCCTGGGTCGGTGCGGTCTCGCTGAACAACCACAACAGTTCTGAGTCAGCAGTGATGGAGTGCAACTGATGAATAAACAGCACCTCATGGCGAGCCAACCTTGGAAGGTACGGAAAACGGTCGCCTGACCAGGGCGGCCGTATAGGGAACTGCGCGCATTGAGGCGGTCCTTGAGCTCGTACGGGTCATGCTTCCTCCAGTTGCCACTCAGAATCTCTGCAAAGCACTGACGGAAGTTCTCGTCTTCCCAGCGCTCGATTGATCCACCTATGACCTTCATTGTCAGTTCATGTGAGCCTAAAGCTCAGCTCGAAAGGCGATACCATCAACGTGAGGAGGATGGCGATCCCATTGAATTCCTGGGTGGCGGATGCGGAAGCGATCTGCATATACGAGCGGTGTGGACATGTCCACACCAGGGATGCTTTCGCCACCTCCGAGATGGTAAAGGTTGTTCAGCCACGCGGACGCCTTGAGGACGTTGGGGTGTCCACGCGCGAGCACCTGAGCACGGGTCCAGCTGCCATTGTGATCAGCTATGGGAAAGAGAGACTAGGACGATACTCACTAGAGGTGGAAGAACTGCATGTCGCCCTCGGGGAAGCCTATTAGAGCGGTAGATCAGCGCGTGATAAGGGCTCTTGTGAGAAATGACATGCCGTCGATATCTGGGTTCGTTTTGATGAATTCTTCGAGGCTAGCCTTCCATCCCTCTGCCTCCTTGTCGTCTACAACACCCTTGATTACAACGGACCCCTTGCGACGAATGACCGCCACTTGCTCTGGAGTGAGCTTGTCGAGCTCGTCAAACCTGACCTGCGGAATGTGCTACAAGCGGCGCAAGGGGATCCATTCATCAGCTTACTATGTCAAACCGGGATGATGAAAGAATGAGGACATACATTAGGGCCCTCGGCTGCGATCTCTTTCGTGCGGAGTGCTAGTTCGCCGAGAAGATCGCGCCAGGAGTCTGTAAGTCGTGTCTCATAGTCAGCGCCTGCGAAGCGTTCTGCAAGTTCGCGTTTGAGGTCCACAAAACGGGCTGGCCATTGAAACTCGTCAGCCATGTTGTCCTTGGTCTTGAATGCTTCGGTGGGTCGTTTAACGAGGAGGTGGGCCTCTTCCAGGAAGAGGGTTCAACGGGTGATAAGACAGCTTTATAAGGATCGTTTGCTGGGACGGACCATAGCGGTATCCATGCCTTGAAATGGGGTGCTGGTCGACGTGCTTTGTGAGTTGATTCATGGTATCGGACCGCATCCATGGGGTCACAAGCCCCTGAGAGGCTTCAGTAAGGTGCCGAAGTTTACCCGAAAGTTACTCCTCCTGACCTATGTTTGAGACGGAGGCCAGCCGGGTGGCCAATCTCCGACTTGAGTTGGGTCGGATGTGTTTCCGTTGGTCTAGAGCAGAGAGCTGGCAGACGTGCTGTGCCGGGGACCTGGTGGAACAGGGTCGCCTCAGTGGTCAAGACTCAAAACTTTCACCGCCGCGGCTGCGGCTGTCACCGTATCGTAAAACACCACTAGCATGACTTCGCAGAGCCTCACAGAACTTCGCAGCAAGAAGTGGGCTCGGTTAATAAAACGATGCGATTCAGAAGCCCAGAATGCACCTTACCAGTTCGAAAATTCCCAGCGCCCCAAAACCCAACTTTCACCTTTCAAACTTGGACACCCAATAAGTAGACTCCAACGAGACCCTTCCCCGTTCCGGGCTCGATGGAGGCCCGCATGTAGAGAACTCGAGGACCTCATGACCTTTTCTGACGGAAGGCTGTTATCTTGGGAATGCTGGTCGGAGATGTTCGCAGTGATGAAGTATTCGGAGTCTCGGGCATCTGCCTCAGCACTGGTGGCGGTGCTAAACAACAAAACCTCAGTGCGGCATCTTCCGTGACGGGCCTTATCAACCGATGGTCAAAACGCTTCTTGTAAGCCACTACCTCCAAAGCCAAAGCTTTGTTTCATATGCTGCATCTTTTGGCCACGCCTCTATAGGTCTCATACTTCGAAAGGGGTATGGACGAACTCAGTCGACTGTCAGCAGTCGGTCTCTTGAATTCTCCGGTAGGGCCGTGGTTTTCCTGCGGCTGAATCCAGTTAGTCATCTCTGAAGCTCTTCAATTGCGATGTTTATGCTAGGAAAATGCCTCACAGAAGGTGCCGGCAGCGGAAGTGAGGCTCAACAACAGGGCTCAGGCCATTCTTTCATGTTCGCATTCTGCGTTAGCCTTCAACGAAGTTGGACGGGTCGGTATTCTCCTGTATAATTCATTTTTGCGCTCCTCTAGGACCAACCATGAAATATACTCAGACTTGATACGGGTATTTATTGATTGTCATAGGTAGGTTGAAGGTGAAAATTGAACACTTCAAGGTACTTTCCTGAGATGGTGTCATGGTCGGCTCAAACACTGACTAATACATATTGCTTTCTAATCCCGGTGTATATTTGTCGCTCGCACGCAAGTTGGATTTGAGATCAGCTCCTATACTCAATTCAACTCGTAATATGCCGGGCCGCCGGAAATTTCTCTTGGTATCACATAGTGGCGAGATCAAACATACGACAAGTCACCTATGAGAGGTTTCGATGGCCTATAAGTACGTCTTCCTTGCGCTCTTCTAAGGGACCCATCTCTTTGCTCACACCTTCTTCATACGTACCCTAGCGTATCAGAAAATTCGCAATGTCAGCTTTCGCTCCCGCCCCCAAGCCTGAAAACCGCCTCGCTCGCTACCGTGCCCTTTCTCCTAAGGCCGCCGTGCATGTCTCGCCTCTGCAGCTGGGCGCGATGAGTGTCGGTGACAAATGGGGTCAATTCGGCTTCGGAAGCACGGATAAGGAGTCATCGTTCAAGCTTCTTGACGCGTACTTTGACGCCGGCGGTAACTTCATCGACACGGCGAACAACTACCAAGACCAGACGAGCGAGCAGTTCATTGGAGAGTGGGCTGAGAAGCGCGGGATACGTCATGAGCTGGTCATCGCTACCAAGGTACGCTGCTAATACCCACACCTACTTTGAGCCTGCCAATGACACGACCTGGACGTGTAGTATACAAGCAACTATGTGAACCGCGACGGCAAAACCACTCAGCAGGTACTTTTCACGGGTAATAACTACAAGTCGATGGCCGTCTCGCTCGAGAATAGTCTCAAGAATCTTCGAACATCTTATGTCGACATTCTCTACCTGCACTGGTGGGACTACGACACCTCAGTCGAGGAGGTTATGAATGGCCTCAACACCCTTGTGAAGCAGGGTAAGGTCTTGTACCTCGTGAGTCTACCCGCATTTAGCTTCAGTAGCGTCTGCTCTAACTCCGTACGGTATTAAGGGTGTATCAGACACGCCGGCGTGGATTGTCTCTAAGGCGAACCAGTACGCTCGTGACCACGGCATGTCCGAGTTTATTATCTACCAAGGTGCCTGGAATGTGATGTCACGCGACTTCGAACGCGAGATCATCCCTATGGCGCGCCAAGAGCGTAAACCTTCCTTTCATTCTTGCGGTAGCGTTTCCTAATGTCCTTGCTTATAGGTATGGCGCTCGCTCCGTGGAACGTCATCGGTGGCGGCCGTCTTCGCTCCGACGAAGAAGAAGAGCGGCGCCGCCAGACGGGCGAGAACGGGCGCACAAACACAGGAAAAGGTTGGGAGCGCACCGAGTCGGAACGCAAGGTGTCGAATGCCCTGCATAAGATCGCAAAGGAGGTCGGCACGCCGCATCTGACGGCTGTCGCGATTGCCTACGTGATGCAAAAGACAACGCATGTCTTCCCGATCATCGGCGGGCGTAAGATTGAACACCTACACGCCAACATCGACGCGTTGAAGATCCAACTTACAAAGGAGCACATCCAGGAACTGGAGAGTCTCGTGCCGTTTAGCCTTGGCTTCCCATACGATTTCTTTGTGGGTCCTTATTTACACTACACAAAATTCTCCCCCTCACCAGATGGCTTGCAGGGTACGGATGACGGACCATACAATGCGCTCATGAAAACGGCCGGATATATTGAGAAGCAGCATGGTGCAAGCCCGATTGTACCTGATCGGGACTAGATGCAATGACCTTCTCGGTCAAGGAGGGTTACCAGGCAGTACTAACGACGATATGGGCCATTTGGGTTGTGTGACTCCTTACGTCTACACAGAATCAAACCTAGGTCTGAGAATGCATCATCTACTTAATACGTTTCTCCCATTTGAACGATAATCCAATAATTTCGCTTTCTCGTCCTGCTAGGGTATTATGACCTTGGACCGTACTGACAATTTCAGTTGATTATTTATAAATATTTCTGGTGTAACTTTTACCGTCATACATGTTCCCGCTGAGAAAGCCCAATGACGGGCCTGACTTCCTCCCTCTGAGCTCACGAAGAAGGGCTGGTCAGATATGGAATGTTTATGCGAGTGAAGTTTGAAAGAAAGCATGGAGGCTATCTTGTGTTCCATTCAGCAGCGTTACACATTTAGTAACTAACCGAGTGTCGAAGCTTAAGGGATTTCGCGTAAACATTCGACTCGCTGCATACATCCCTATATACAACCATTATAAGCAGAAGTTTCACCTCCTACTGACAGGTATATTGCTACGGCGAGGCTTTACTATCAAAGGTAAAGGTTAACGACCTTTTGATCCTTCGGGTACTCTGGTAATAGCGTTTTCTTTGTCGTGCATGTCAATTTTTTGGGGAAAAATGTTTAGTGTTGACCAAACCTAGTGGTACTTGGTATTACTTCACTAACAACAACCCCTATCGATTACTGAACAGCCTCTGCACTGTTCATAATGTACTAATCTCAGTGAAGTTATACATCTACGGATTAATGTAGGTTTTTTAACGAGCCATACAGCAAGAAGGATCAGAAAACGCCTTTTCCCATTCTCTATGAAAGAGTATCTCGAGATTATGCTTACGTCCATGTGAAAACTCGCACACAAGACTAGTACCGTAGTTGGTGGCTTGGTACGGTAGAAGCTCTTCCAGGTGTCGTACCGATCTTGACGCACGTATTCTATAATGTCAGAGCTTCCCAGTCTGCGCACATTCGTGGGCCATAATGTTCATATGGAAATTCACATCCGCGAGGCTATGGGAACGTCAACCAGCGAACGTCGATACGAACGCAACGTCCACTGTCTAAAGTTACGGAGGACAGACCGGGGAGAAATCTCCCTTAATGTTATCTCGATAGTACAGCAATAGTCGCGTTCCTATGGAATGAACTTCGAGTGGGGCATGGGGGCATGATCGCAGTGGGGCCTATAACATTGACTCCAGGGGATCTGCTCATTTCAATCCAGCATTAGACTTAAGTTTGGAAGGTTTTAGAGAAAGTGCCATGTCGACTAACCTTCTAGGATGTAGACACTCCGATGCACATGCGTCGAAGTGCTATACTGATTCAATCTCGAGTTAGTGGATGACGCAATGCCGCTTGGGGACTAACCTGTATAGTCCTTAGATCTCAGATCTCATATTTTCAGGGTTAGCTTCGAAGGAAAGACAAAAGAGGGGTGGACGGCAATCATATTGTGGCGGGAATCCTGACAAAGGGCACTGAGAGGGTCATGACGAGATACGCAACTGTGCACGTTGCCGACACATTCATGCAGCACTTGAGGAGAGAACGTTAACATGTGGCGTCCATTGTGTGTTCATCGAACTCAGACATTGATGCTTCAAAGAGCTAGTCGAAGGCAGGTCACCCAATGATCCCCCACTGAACGTGCCCATTGGACCATTGGATTTTGATAAATCTCAGTAACACGTTTTGATATGATTGGCAACATAAGTTTAACCAAGAGTCTGCACGAGCTATGATTGGACACGTGGGGTTCGCCGTCCCGTTCATGTCAAATTGGTAGACGCCGTCGAAATACAATGAAACCACTAGCTGGCACAAGCGTGGATCGTGACAAAAAGAGGCCCAGAGCCAAGGAGTCTCCGTACCACAACAGTATGAAACTGACATCCCTAGCCGCTGAGGGTGGAACCATGCTTCAAGGGGCCTACCGTAAGTCAGTCCCCGCACCTCGTTTCGTCACTGACGCTGAACACGTTCCAATAGGCACCCCGGCAGGGCATCCAACTCTATCGCTGTCGCTGTCGCCACCATGAAAGCACACGAGCACCAAGCAGTGTTTAGCGAGGAAGCGAAAGTCTACATGCCACCGCCGGTACGCCGCTCGATGAACCCTCGGACGTTGGTATGCCCGTCGAGCGTGCCAAAGAAGCAGCGCTTGCTCGTATTTTCCCAGAGTACCACGTCGAGCTCCTTTGCATACGCGAGGACATATTCGTAGTCCGCCTGCGTCGCAAAGTCTTTGTAGAGGAAGCCTGGTTTCGGTAAATCAATGTCAGTAGGGTTTCGGTTGTTCGTTGCAGAACAAGAATGAGGACGTGTAATATGATCCGGGCCGGGTAGCAAAGAAAAAGGAAGGCAGTGAAAGGAAAAGGCGGCGGAGATGACAAGTTCCAGTGTATGCGAACGGGTATGTAAGAAGCATGCCCAGGGAAGGATCAGTAATAGGAACGCACCATCGTCCGACTTGAGCCTATTCCGCTCCAGCTCCCACAAACGGACCTGATCCTGTACCGTCACCGGTAGCAAAGGGTTCTAATGCCATGGATGAAGATCGTCGTCAGCATTCAACAGCTACGGTGAAGATGGAAAGCACCCTATAGAATCGCACTTACGTTCTTGCGCATTTGTGGATGCGCATGTGCAGTCAGATAGCTAATAACCTACAAAACGTTCCCGAGTGAGTACCTCATCAGCTGAAACCAGCAGGGCGCAAAGATGTGTGGAAAAGAAATAGGAAGCGGGGTAGGGAAGGCGTAACATCCGATCGCCCCAATGAGTCCGTTAGAGAAACCCGCTATCGGGATCGCGTGAAGAACGGCGATCACAGCTGAGAACCTTACTGACTGCAGACACAAAATGTTCAAAAGCAACGTCGGATAGAATGGCATCACTGTCTCATCAGCGGAAGTGGCGACGGCCATCAAAAACATGGACGCATTGTCATCCATGTATAGGAAGACATGTACGAGATGGTGCCAACAGGACACGACGGCGGAGATGACCAAGAAGTTAAACGGCGATCAAGGGCTAGCGGTCCCCATTTCTACGTCGTGCGAGCACAGGGCATTCACGTAACGGGTGCATGAGCCGCACTGGCAGAGCGCGCAGCGAGGATCCGATACCGGAGTCAAATGAATGAACGGACACGATAACAAGACGCAAAAACGTCATGCACGTCCAATCGTCCGCAAAAGTGTTGATAGAGAGACCGAAGATAGGAAAGAGCTCACCTGTTCAGCGGAGATACCGTTGCCCAGCGCTCGACGCACGCTCTCGCGCGTGAGCATGCCTACGACCAGATTGGGGAACCGGTACTTCAAAGTGATAAACAGGTTCAGGACAGCAATCTGCAGTGGGTTGTCTGGAGCGAGGATGATAGGGTATCAGCAATTATGCAGCAAAAGCTTGGATAGCTGTCGTGAAGGAGATGCGCACCGGTGTATGCATACACGCGGTAATTCGTCTCAAGGACGATGAAGCCGTGATCGTTAGTGTTGATGCCCGTACTGTTGGCTACCGAAGAAGCGCCCGGTGCACTTCCAGGGTTTCGGGATCCGCCCGCCGTCGGGAGAGATGGAGAAACAGAAGTGAGTGTGGTCGCAAGGCGGGTTGGGCTGAACCGTTTAGACGAGGCCTGGAAAGAATGAGGATACACCAGTGCGCAACTAGTCAGCAAGCACAAATGCTTACCTTTCGCTGCCAAACCAGTCCGTAGTCCCGCAGATCCTCAAGCATAGCCTTCTGTGTTTCACTGAGCGGCTCTGTCGAGTATTCCTAAACGCCCAACGTAGATCAAGACGAGTAATTGGTACAAGGACGAGAGACGCGCACTCTACCGAGCTCCATTGTTGAAAGCATGAAGAAGAAACTCAGAACTTCAACAAGGTCCATCTGACGTTCCTGCAGTACGGGTCGACAAAGGTCCCTTGATCCTTTGAGTATATGCGTACCTCCACCATATGCAGGTACTGGAGAAGTAGATCCCACAACTGGTCGTGTGGTGAATAGAGTAGGAATTGGAACCCAGAAGATGTAATCTGAAGGGTAGAGCCACTAGATCGGCGTAAGCAACACGCCAGACGACGACATCATCCGAGGCCTACTGATAGCTCGCCATCAACCCGCTGCGCTGAAGGAGATACAGAACACCCTGTGTTGGCTTCGTCGGGTACTGCCCCTGGCCTGAAGACACCATGTAATGTAGAATTGTCTGACAAGGGACTGAGATTGGGGAGCGACGGAAAAGAAATCACAACAAGTTACCTCCCATCGTTGTACCGCATACCCATCGAGTGTCTCCACACTCGGCGCATCGCGCCTGTCATCCCTCTGCGCTGGCACTCCAAAGCTCCCAGTCGTCCCACTGCACGCCATCGTCGTACCGCATTCAGGGAGGCGTTTGAGCTACGCACCTACACGTGATTGCCTGCCGCATACTCGCCTTAAAAGTCGGATTCAGTGCGAGCTTGGCCCCAGAGCTTTGTAGTATGTGTAGACGCGTCAAGGTGTTCAGAGCTTCGTCATATAGTCTACAATATAGATTAAGCAACGCGAGACAGAAAAATATCCAGGAAAGAACAACGCACTTCTTGCCATCCGGCACCACCCATGCCGCCATCGTTCCCGCCAGCACTGGGCTGTCCAGCCAAAGGAGGTTCATCACGAGTTGCCTTGATAATGGGGCCAGAAGACTATGCTCCAGTGTCAGCCGCTGACTTCGCGAGGGCAATCAACGAGTTGGGACCGAACCGGAATATGGAGAGACAGGAGGATGGCCGCTGATAGAGACGGGTGAGAGCATTCTGAGACTGAGACTGGAGGAACGGCAGGAGTACGTGAGGGCTGTTCTGAGCGATGGATGCTTCAGGCGATGGTGGCTGAGCGGAGGGCATGACAGATCGCGGCGAAATGGGAGCAATGCAAGGAGGCGGGAGGACGAGATGGGGACGGAATGGCGTCGCGTTCTGGCAGCGGTCCGAATTTCCCGGAGCCAGCGGAGTTTCAAACGGCCTGAGGTGCATTGAAGTTAGCGAAAACTGGCCTCAACGTTCAACTCACGACTGCCCGCACCCAATCTTCTCTAACTACGGACCATATGGGCTCTGCGCATACACTTACCGAGAGGTAGGTCGCCTGACATAACAAACCAAGCGGATGACTTGCTAGGTCAAAGTATGCGCTGCTAGACAGGATGGTCCCTCTGAATCGACCTTAGCTTGTTGCACTCCACCGAAGCTACTACTGATGTCAGGGTGGCCTTTCTAGTCTCTGTTCTCAGCACAGGAGCTCGACAAAAGTTCTCGGATTCTTATAACATCAACTTCAGTGGTTTCTGGAACTTCTTTGCAAAGCTGGTCTGATGAATCCGAATACGCGTCGAGGAAGTATACACATCCTTTGCAATTCGTCGCTGCTCTGGTGCAAATGGGATTTCCCGACTTCTCGCTCTTTAACCTCACCGAAGGATTCGTAGCGCTCATTTATAAGCGGAGGCCTGGGATTTCTCCCTGAAGCAAACTGAGCCTATTTCTCCATTTGTTGTCACTGAAACACATGTTCGGTATCACTCGTGCTTTATATCCGCTTATGTTGTATATCCGGCCCTTTACTCTCCCAGTGTTGGGTTTTCTCTTCCAATATATGCTTACGAACATGGTCAAAAGACACTATGCCGTGCTCTGGTTTGGTACACGTACGTATCGAGCCGTGCTAGGATGACTAAATGGCTCGGGCTCTCACTTCGGCGCGGAGAGTTCTACTCGAGCATACGCAATCCTCCGGCAGCGTTCAAGCGCAAATACACTTCGGGCAGACGTATAAGACATAGAGTCGCCATTCCACCTTGATAAATTTGACTAACACCTCTGCATCAAAATATCCCAATGTCTTACGCTCCTGTATCAAAGCCTACCAGCCGTCTCGCTCGCTATCGTGCTCTTTCGCCCAAGGCTTCCGTCCATGTCTCCCCCATTCAGCTTGGCGCGATGAGTATCGGTGACAAGTGGGCTACTCAGGGCATGGGTAACATGGACAAGGAGTCATCGTTCAAGCTCCTCGATGCGTACTACGACGCCGGCGGGAACTTCATTGACACCGCCAATGCCTATCAAGACCAGTCCAGCGAACAGTTCATTGGCGAATGGACTGAACAGCGTAGTAACAGGGATCAGCTCATTATTGCTACGAAGGTACGCACTCTCCTTAAAGTTGCGAAGGGAGATCTGCATGAACACTCAACGCATCTTTGCCAGTACACCATGAACCCAACGCTCAAAGATGACAGCGTCAAACAGAAGGTCTCGTTCGGTGGTAACAATCTCAAGTCGCTCTATAACAGCGTTAAGAACAGTCTGAAGAACCTTCGGACGGACTACATTGACATCTTGTATGTTCATTTCTGGGACTATGAGACGTCGATTGAGGAGGTCATGGATGGTCTTCATGCTCTTGTTCTACAAGGAAAAGTGTTATACCTGGTGCGTGCATCCTCTTCGTTTCTCCGGCGTGACTCAACGCTGTCTCAGGGAGTCTCCGATACGCCTGCCTGGATCGTTTCACAGGCAAACCAGTACGCCAGAGACCACGGTAAAACCCAGTTTGTCATCTACCAGGGAGCGTGGAACATCTTAGACCGTTCCTTTGAACGAGAGATTATCCCAATGGCCCGCGCTCAAGGTGAGGGCACAGTACCCGCTATTATCAGCAAGCCAACGATGCTTACGCCTCCTTTCCAGGAATGGCTCTAGCACCTTATTGGGTGCTGGCTACAGGGCGGCTGCGCTCAGACGCAGACGAAGAACAGCGCCGTAAAACTGGGGAGCACGGCCGCACGGCCTTTGGTTTAAAGTGGGAGCGCAGCGAGACCGAGAAGCGAGTGGTCACAGCACTCGAGAAGGTAGCCAGTGACGTTGGGGCGAAGCACCACACCTCTGTGGCCATCGCGTACGTGATGCAAAAGGCACCGTATGTCTTCCCGATCATTGGGGGTCGCAAGGTCGAGCATCTTGAAGCGAACCTCGAGGCGCTGAGTATCAAGCTCAAGCCAGAGCATTTCAAAGAGCTTGAGAGTGCCGTTCCGTTCGAGCCCGGGTTCCCGTACACGACTTTCGTAAGTGCCTTAGCTTGCGTTGTTCCGAAGAGATAGCGCTAATCCCCGCCTCTAGGGCAATTACGACGAGTTGAGCTTGGGTATTGCACGGCTCTCGGGTTACATCGAGTATCATCCTCGTGCTGATCCCATTAGCCCCAATGACGAATAAGTTCGTCGAACCCACGAACTATTCTCTGATATTACCAATGATGAAATGTACAGATATGTTTTATCCCGTAACCTCGTCCATTTTCCAATGAATGATACACACCTAGAATCAAAATGGTTGTTGTCGATAGCTCGACTAAAGTGGTATCAATGCGGCAGGGAAGATGTTTCGCGTCATCTTTGATGGAATAACTGGCCACGTTTTCGTTAAGATGAGCTGGCTGAGGGGTCTTGAATCTGTCTGAGACAGATTCTTCGGGGATGAGGAATAACATCAATGAGAAATATGAATGGACTTGTAAAGTATATCGAACAATAATTCGTAAAAATGAGAAGGAAAGCTGGTGTAAGTAATAAATATTTGAAAAGCGTTATAAGCAAAAATATGCCATATCGCAACAGTACTTAATGTTGCCTGTACACGTTATGGGCTCTAACTGATCTTTAAGTAAAAGTAATAATTTTAGACCGAGCAATCAGTAAAAGATTTGACCGAAGAAGGCTCTACTAGTATATGTAAGGGATGATAACCTTGCGATCCTTTGGGTACTCGGGGAACTTCTCATGGTACCACACATGTCCGCGGTACGCACGCGGTAGCATCAGGTCGAGTTCTCCCCACACAAAGATCCACGGCGGATGGACGGTGCTCAGAACCGTACCGAGAGACGAAAAAGCGGGCAGCGGGGCGGCCACCGCAGCCCAGCCGATCCACTCGATCCACTCACACAGGTAATTCGGATACGAGATCCATCTGTAAAGGTACTCGTGAGGGATCGTGTAGTAGTCCTTGTTCTCCGCGTCGAGCGCGCCCTTCTTCGCCTTGCCCTTTGCCTGCGCGTGACGGCGGATGTCGAGCAGCACCTCGTCGTGCACGATGTTGTACCAGAACCCGAGCGCCCACACGGCGACGCCCGCCCAGAACAAGGGATGGGAGAACGCGTCCTTCAAGTATTCATGCGCAAAGTCGGAGGAGAGGTACGTCCCAAGTAGTGTGCCGTTGAATGAGTTGAAAGATGATCCCGAGAGCAGGATGCCCGCGTGCGACTTGGAGCGTGAGGGCGTGCGTAACGGAGAGATGATGGCGCGGTGGAAGTAGTGGATGAGGAAGAGGGAGATGACGAGGAGCTGGGGGCCTGAGAGAGGGAGAGACGACTCTCCGAGGAAAGTGGGCGATATATGAGGGAATAGAGGAGCGCGGTGGGCGAAACGAGTTCCATGATGATCCAGACTTTGATGCCGTCGAGGATGAAGATACTATTGCCAGACCTCGCGAACCTCCTGAAGGGAGCGTCGGAGAAGAAGGTCAAAGGGCAGAAGAAGGATGGGACGAAGAAGAGGCACATCCTGACCACTACATGAGAAGGTTGGTGAAGTACAGCACAGAGGCAGAGAGAGAAATCGCTCACCCTCATAGAGGGGATGCGTCATGATCAAGCTGGTTTTTTCGAGATGTCGAGGATAGTCAAGTAGGTGTTCTGTGCTTCTGGAAGTTCGAGCTTTCCGCTCATGCTTTTATATGTTTTCAATCCTCAGGAGTCGATTGAGTCCAGTCATCGAAGAAAGTCTCGGTCCCGAAGGGCAAGTACACAAGCGAAGGGCCGTCGGACTCGAGGCGCTTGAATGGCGTAGTTGTCTCACTTCGCTGCATATTTTGACAGCGCGGGCCTTTCATCGTTCCATAATTCCTTCGAGACGAGAGGGTTGCGTATACGAGAGATCAAACGCCAGCCTTTGATAGTCCGGAACCCCCGATACAAGCAGGGAATCAAAGCATGTGCCGACACCATCGCGGAAATCCTGCGGGTCCTAGAAGTTAGCAGACTTTTGACTCGCGCTGAACGTTGGCTGAGCCATATCCGGGACCGAGCGGGGTGCTGTGAGAGAAAATGTGAATGTTGGATTGTTGCACGGTCATAGTGGCGATGGCAAGAGTTTTGCAACATTCGAGATATGTTGGTGTGGCTGTGTCAACAGAGGCAAACAGATTTGAGGCTCCGCACGAGCCGCGTACGCTTTCCTTTCAACCTCTTTGACACACCCTCGATGTTTTATTTCGCGTGCATGTCATGTCACCTTACTAAGTAGATCTTGCATAAGACTGTATGTGATGATACTTGGCACATCGCTAACAGCCATTCGTGTTAGTCGCCGAGAATAGTCTCTACACCGTTCCATCTCTTCTCAAACCCGCACCTGAACGGCTTCGGACGGACAGCCAGTCCGCTCAAGAACTCTTCCTTCACCTCGATGCTTTCCCCATTGCCGTCCTTAGCATTCACGATGCGGAAAGTTGCGAGGACGGAGACGATGGTGGCCCACACTGATCCGTCAGCGACGTAACGTCCTGGGCAGATGCGCCGGCCAAAGCCGAACGGATGGCTAAATGGCTTCTCGGCAACGTGGCCTGGAGAGTCGAGATACCGCTCAGGCATGAAGAGTTCTGGGGAAGCAAACTGGCGAGGATTGTGTGTCATAGCCCTGTCACCGGGTGAGTCCTCAATTTCTCGTCACAATCCGATCACGTCGCTTACCACAAGTTGACCAGCAGAAGAGCGCCTGCTCCGTTAATCAGTCACGTTTCCAATACAAGATATATGATACTGCTGACCTTTGGGTATGTAATACCCCTTGTACACGTCGCTATCCGTCGTGGCATGTGGGAGGGCTGCGATTCTTGGTCAGTGCCTTTCGCTTTGGGTATATGAACAGCACAACTCACCCACTGGCGTCGAATGATGCCATCTCAGAGTCTCGCGGAGAACGCCCTCGATGTAAGGCAAGTTTGGTCTGTCTGCGAAGTCAGGAAGCCTATCGTGACCAACAACCTGGTCGATTTCATCCTGTGCTTTGCGCTGCACATCCGGATAGAGGATCATGGCGAGGAGGAACGTGTATACCGAGGAATACGTCTATGTATTGGAGATAAGGTGGATTTGCGTTGATTAATCGTATGCTGGGTACGAGCCACTCACGGTCTCAGCACCACCCAGGAATACGGTTGTGGCTACGGCCATAATCTCTTTCTCCATATCGTACTCGCTCACCTCTTTGGATGAATGCTCCGCATCCAATAGGTCAGACACCATTGACTTCTTTGCGGTTCCTTCCGCCTACGCTGGCTTATTAGCTCGTACTCAAACGCATGACTAGAGCGTTGCGAAAGAAACTCACACGCTTTTGTTTCACGAACTCGTAAGGTTCTGACAAGACCTTCTGCGCGAGCTCACGGCACTCATTCGCACGCAGCTTGTATCGTCCACCTGGCATCCATGAAGGTATGTGTGCCACTAATCAAATTTTATTTCAATATCGTCACTAAACCAAGGGAAAAGAACGGCAAATTTTACAGAATGGGATTGCTCCTATCAGTGCGGCACGCTCAGGCGTCAGCGCCGTGAGGAACATCCCGATGAGTTGTTCCACCTTCTCGACAAATGGGTCTTCTTCCGGCTGGGCATCGTACCCGTATGTGATCGCCATGATGATGCTCGCAGACAGCCTAACGTCATATCTCGTTAGTATCGAACATCCAATGCCACGGATCAGCTCGGTCTATCTCACGTCTTCAAATGCTCTTCAAAACGTTCCGGACTCTTGGCTAAGCTGCGTACAAACTGTCGCGCTTTGGACATTTGCAGCTGGTCATAGCTCTGCGCTGCCTCGGCTCGCAGCGCGGTATGGAATAGTTTGCGGTGGAACTTCCAATGCGGGCCATACTGAAGTAGGCCTGTGTTGAAGTCCATGCCGAACCTGCGCATATAACGTGAGCCATAACAGTCGCCCATTTACCCAAAATGCCCACAGCTCGTTGGTCGCAATCACAGGTCTCCCGGAGTATATTGCTGAGCGTCTCTCGAGTAACTCTATCGCAACCTCTTCGTCATTAATAACGATCAGGTCTTGCCCAAGTAACTTCGTATACACCAAGCCGCCTTGTTCTCAATATTCAGTACGTTTCTCATTACTCAGAACAGTTCATTACTTGCCGTATTTTTCTCCGTACTTAGTGTACGTTACCCAGGGCTGCGCAACGTCCAAGCCAATGACGTTCCCAAGCCACGGAATGCCGAGTGGCCCAGGAGGTAGAGGCAGCCCACCGCGGCGAGCGCGAGAACGCATGACCAAGAGCATGAACGCGATTAGAGGAACGGCAGCATAAAAATAGGGATCGTCGAGGAGATGACGTATAGCATCAACCGATTCGAAGAGACCCTTTAGATGGGGCGCATTGGCGGCATGGTGACCACTGGAAGCCCATAGATGGGAGATATCAGGAGGGTATGTGTCCGTGAGCATGTCCCAGTATTTCTCCATGGCAAAACTGAGACGGGGCAGAGGGCAAGGGCTCTCTGAACCTCAAACAGGCTTTTTATGTGTCGCAGAGATGCCGTTATATATACAGTAAAACTTTATCCTAACACCGGAGCACCGGGACACGAGGAATATAGGCATCAAATCAGAGCGAGGAGGAAGCGGCTGGAAGCGGTATCTGATTGGCTTGGACTAGACCCATCTTGCGCGTTTGTTCTGACAGCCTGGGGAGTCAGTGAGGAGCAACGCAGCCAGCCACTCGGTGTCCATTCGGGTATAGTGTCCCGCACACGCGTCTGTGTGTTCACACGGCGCGAAACAGAAATAGTAGTGTCATTGAAACAAAACTGATACCATGTAGCGGCGTAGCCCTGACCTTTCAAGAATGTTTGGTTGACGTGAGCCACTCCATAACGCTAGTGGCGGCCAGCATTTTACGGGTCCCCACATTGACACTGACACTAGACGCTCGATCCTCTCTTTTCGAACAGAACCTTATGGTCCTTCGTTACCGGGCTTGACGCGGCGCGGAGACCTCCCCGGACATAGTCCAGGTTTGTACCTCTTCATTACACATGTCATACAATTCGTGCGTACAATCGCAACGTTTACGTCAAGATATAGCCCTCTGCCTTAGTTTCCGCTTCTTTGTCCTCCAGAGCATCAAACCGTGTTCGCAACCTCAATCACCTTTCTCCATTCCTCAGACCGACACGTAAACGAGCAGTCAAATTTCTCCGGATGTCTGGTCAGCGCATATAGTGTGCCCGTTAGCCACCCGACGGTACGTAAAACGTGACGAAGTAAGACAACTTACATAGCCAAACCCGGCTTGTACCTTGGTACAACCTCGATATCCCTCCCCTGCGCATCGACGGCCTTTCCGATTCTGAAGCAGGACAGAACACAGGCTATCGCGATCCACACGGACGCGTCCGAGAGGTATCGACCCGGGCAGACGCGCCGACCAAAGCCGAATGCGATGTCAGCGAAATCGGGAGACAGCGCGCCAGAAGGCGTGAGAAAGCGTTCGGGCTTGAAGGTTTCGGGGTCTGGGTATACCGATGCGTCTTTGGACATGGCATACATGTTTGTGATCACGCCTGCGCCTGAATGGACCAGCTGAGGTGAGCATTCGCTCACCTTCGGAAGGGAGGAGTCTAACCTTTGGGAATGAAGTAGCCTTCGAATACCTGGTCCCCGGTGGCCACGTGAGGGACAGCTGGGAATAGAGTTTGTGAGTTTCCACCTATGCTTGATGAGTATCCTACCTAACGGTACGACGACAGACCACCGCTTCGCTTCCCGGAAGATCGCTTCGATGTATGGAAGATGGTCTCTGTCCTCGAGAGTCGGCAGTCTGGTTGAGCCCAACCAAGCGTCGATATCTGCCTGGGCACGCATCTGGACATCGGGATACAGAATCATCGCCATAACAAAATTTAAGAAAGTTGACTCGGTCTATAACAGACTTCAGAAATAGTGATCAAGCAGCAAAATTAAAAAGCACATACGCTATCAGTCCCAGCTATGATGAAATGAGGTCAGTATCTATGTCCCACGGATAGCTGTCCGGTAAAACATGTATCCAGCTCACCGATGTACGCGGAAGTGGCACATTCCCGCAGGATTGCCTCTTGATAGTCGCGGTCACGATCTCCCGAGATTTGTTCTAGGAAGTCAGACACCATGCTAGGCGGTGCTTTACCCGTTGCCTTCATAGTTGAGTCAGCGATTTTTTTACATATAAAGTCAGTTTGCGCTCACCATCTGCTCCTTTGTCCATCTTAGTGGGATATTCTGTACATCCTTGGAAACCACTCGTGCTTCTGCTGCAGTGCGTTGGATCTTCGCTCCCGGGAACCAAGGCGGAATACGTTTCACTACAAGGTGAACAACACATTTATTGCGCATAAACTTGAGTGTGGGCACAATATAACTCACACAACGGAAAGGCTCCGAGAATCGCAGCCCTTTCTGGTGTGAGTACCGAGATGACAAGGTCAAGCAAGCGCTCGACACGCTTGACTGCGGGGTCCTTAGATGTTGTGACGTTGTAGCCATACATGATCGCCATTATCACGGATGTGACAAATCTAGATGCTGTCAGCGTTCATCGTCAGACGGCAAAATATCTCAAACTGACAGATGAGAATGAGCAAAGAAATCTTGCGGAGACTCCAAGATGTTGTACAGCAGCGCGTGTGCTTTCGTTGTCTGTATTGGATGATACTTGCTGATCACCTCGGAGCGGAAAGTCTGGTGGAAGACGCGTCGGTGCGCTCTCCATCTATCTCCGTATCGCAAATGAGCGGTGTTGAAGTCCATCCCAAACCTACAACGTTTGACTGGTAAGCGCAAGGTCTTATAGATGTTCGTCAATGACTCACATTTTGTTCGTTGCGATGAATGGTCTATCCGCGTAGATGTTTGACTTCTTGTCCACCAAGGCGCGTGCAATGCGCTCTGAGCTGACGACAACATAGAGCTTCCCTAGAATGCGGCACGACATGATCTCTCCTGCACGGTAGTCAGCGAAGGATCTCGGAGTGCCTGCATTTCGTGACGTCGTACTCACCATACTTCTTCCCCCAGGCAGTGTAGGTTTTATACGGCTTGAGCCTGTCCAGCTCCAAGAGACTCCCTATGAACGGCAGCGGCCTCGGACCAGGAGGCAACGGGCACTGTGAATTGTTCGCCTTCGTACGTTGTAGACCGTACACCGTCAGCAAAACAGCCGTCACCGCAACGAGTAGCGCAGCCCAGAAATCGTCGACAAAAGATTTGACGCTGAGAAGCATAGTGGCGACTACCATCAACCACAAGAGGCTCCTGACGAGCAGTATATGTATAGAATGGTACGTGCTAGACCACAACTACTGCACGTATTCGTTTCACTGACAGTCAACATCAGCGGCGCACACTTGTGTATACAGTGCGTGACATGCTTGACATCCGCCAGCACGTACTGCGGTGGCAGCAGTTGTGACCAAAAAGGAACTGACCCGATGTCACGTAGCCGATACGCCACACGCGCCGGTAAATTACCGGAGACCCGAGACCGAGGAACATCGTAATTCTCGCCAACTTCTCGGGGCACCTAACCAAAAGTGCTCCTTCGGGCCTTGTCTTCAGTGTGTACACGAAGTACAAAAGACTGAGCCCATTATCCACGTTATTGCGGTGTGTGTCACTGTGTACTGGGCTGACGCCACCGGATGAGTAGGTCCAGAGTTTGGAAGCAAGCGCGTGACGCGACACCGGTGTCCACAAATCCAAGTCCATGGATCCAGGATGCTGTGGGTCCCGGTCATGTCGGTTCACGCCACTGATTATGGATCCGATGTTTGCATTGGTATCATGGGATTCGACTTCAAAGGCAAGAGCATCTCAGGCTAGACTAAGAGCTTTGGTGACCTCGCTTCGGCCCCTTTGACTGGTGGCGTAATGGTTTTGCCCTCCCATACCGGAGGCAAGATGTGTAGCGTTCCATACCATCTCATCTACCGATGCTCGGGACTCCGTGAGATATACTGTTAGGTCGAGTCCCTCGGTCTTCATGCACTCACGACTTTCTCCTGGGAAATTCATACTGAAGAACCTGCCCGCAATAATATAGTACATTCTATAAAAGGTTCTCCAAATCGGGCAATGTCAAATTTGCGCTCCTGTTAATTCGCCGGGCGCAGCACGCTAAGGACAAGCAGAGCTACGTTGACCGTATAAACATCATATAGACACCGGTGCTCATGCTGTATATAAGAGGGAAGGTGGTATTTGACATCGTCCTGTTTATTGAACGACCTGTAATTGTACACCATGTGACTAAAAACATACTCTGGTATGCGGAGCTGATATCAGAGAGGTTAGTTAAGACACGAAGAATCTATAATTTGAAGTTATGATTTTTACTGGGATACATAGAGTAAGCTACTTAACAATCTCGGGGGCTGTGAAAGCCAGCGCGCCAAAGTTCTCCTCAAGAGCAAAGGCGACGCTTGTGCCTTCAAAACCACGGTGAGTGATTGCGGACGGGTGGAGGTAGGGGCAAATACACACACCTGCGGGGACATTAGTATTCCACGTGTACGAGTTTTGGGACAAGTTGGGGTAAATGTCGTAGGGGTGTTCATTGCCGCCATCGGTAGGGATGACGCTTGTAGTAATTTCGATTAGACTTTCCATACTAGAAATGAGGCAAAGGCTTCACCTCTATGGTTCAAAATATGGCAGGAGTCGTATGTTATTTATGACACTTTGTAATCAGTCCAAAGGAATGGAGCAAACCAGAGTATACGGGCCCGTATTCCACTTGGATCAGGACAGTTCACTTCGTGCAATCGGTACAAAAGTTCACCTGTTCCACCGTTCCAAGTGACCTCAACGGGCTCGCATTGGATTAGCGCAACTCTGGTTTCGCCAAAGGATCAGCGTTAAAGTAAGGAACTGGGACATGTGACATACGGGGTGTTGGTGGTCATGGTGCCCACATGTACAGGCACTGCCCACGCGCAAGCAGCTAGGGAAACGAGAGAAGCGACGTAAACTTGAGATTTCATGATGACTTCACAATATTTGGATAGCTGTGAGGGCGCAGGAGTGGTAGGGGGTGCAGTGTTCTGAACTTCCGAGGGTTTGAACGCTCAAAAGAGTGGCTTAAGTAGCCATTTTCTGACGGCCAAGCGTTGCAGCATTGCCCAGCGTGAGAACTCAGCGCCTGACATACCGTATACGTTTCAAGTTGGGGGCGAGGCAGCTACACCGCCGTATTAGCCTTCAATTAATTTCCGTTCGGCCCTGCTATAGCCCCGCTGTTACGGGACGTCATTGGTGGGGTGCCTGGCCTAGACAGTGCAAAGCATATAATATTAAAAGGCCGCTTGAGCTATCCTCAGAATAAACGCCTTTTTTAAATCCATTGAATTCAGCCAAGCTTGTTCGCATTACTTATTCGTATATGGATGTCTGCCTCGTAGCCTTTGAGACTCTGCCCTAGGCTGGAATTGCTACGCCACTTTTAACTGCGACGCGTTCATTGATGCGCTCGATCCATTTCTGCGGGTCTCCAATAAGCATCCGTGTCATATCTGCAGAAGATCGGGCTGAGCTCACCTCGAGGTTTGGGAACTCGTCGATGGACTCAATGCCGACAAAATCACGAGCCAAAATCCTTTGAGAATGTCAGCGTTTCACATTGCGAACGTCAGTAGAACTGCACACTGACCAGGGGAAGACGTTGATATCCGCGATGGAGTACTGGCCACGACCAGGACCAGCAAGGTAGTCACGGTCCTTGAGGCGGAGCTCAATAACGCTGTAGAGTCGCTTCGTCTCGTCGAGATAGCCTGCTCGGATTAGTTAGGATGAGGTCAGGTAGATGAAGCCCGGTAGACGTACGCTGCTTTCCAAGAGGAATGTCCTCCTTAGCGAATCTGTGGAAGAAGACAGCTGCATCGCTCGTCAATGACCGTACCATACAGCACTGACGACTCGGAATGAGTTGCTCACCTTGACCTGACATAGGGCCAACACCACCATGAGCGAAGAAGATCCACTGCAACGCCTCGCTGTAGTCGTTCGGTTGTTTAACACCGTCAAAGCTGAGCTTGTTCTCGGTGTCGTAGTGCTGTGCGAGGTAGAGAAGAATGGCAGCCGACTCAAAAATGACGAAGTCACCGCGAGCGTGATCGACTAAGGCAGGAATCTTCCCGTTCGGATTGATCTTGATGAACCACTCTTCTTTCTGCTCATTCTTAGACATATCGATCTTGCGAACCCTGGACGAATGGTTAGTGAGTTTGTACCGTAGATGCGCATAAATGAAGCTTGAGACACGAACTCATAGTCGACTTTGCTGCCGTATACAGCCTTGAGCTCCTCAAGGTACACGGAGACCTTCTTGCCGTTGGGCGTGGGGCTGGTGTAAAAAGTGAAGGTCTTGGACGACATGTTTTGCTACTGGCTCTTGGACGTGCTAGAAGATGGTGTAAGTCGATCAAGCTTTATGACTCTTATGTATTGAACCCGTGGCAACTAAAATCCTATTATCTTGGTAAGAGATGACGAGTGTACCGCAACACGATGCCCTTGATATGCGGGGAATTACCAAGCTATGACATAGACAGAGGGCAACAGCCTGGAAGCCAGTGGGACCGCCGAGGACGTGGCCGAGCGTATGAATCACCAGCTTGATATAACAACGCCCTAGGTAGAGTAAATTATTAATCAAGGCCGGATGCTGATTCAGTCCCTCGCTTCTAAAACGTCTGATTGACGCTCTGAAAGACGCACTCTCAAGACGGGAAAAAACAAGACTGTTAGTGTGCAGCGTGGCCAGACCACCAAGTAAATGAAGACACTTATGATCCTCGAGAAACGGTGAGACGCGTGCCTCTGCAGTGCTTACTCTGAGTCCAGTCAGGATGGGCGGCGGCAGGCAGCAGACTTTGCCATACAGTACGTGTCGTCTTGAAACAACGCATTCCGAACAACAAAAGTTCGATTATAACAGTATTATATTCCATACACAAAAAGTGTCGTGCGCCTGAGGTACAGGTCTCGTCAGTACACAAATGCACGAGGAAAATATCTAGACTCAAGCAACTCGTCATCGCGTCGCGTCGCACCCTATCGCCCCCCGCAAAGCCCCGAACATCTACCGTCGCTTGCTCCCGCCCCCGGCCAACTCGTCCTCCGCCTTCCTCTTCATCCCAAACCCGAACGCAACCTTGGTCCGATCAGTAGGCACAGGCGTCCCGCCGGGCGTGCCACCGGGTGTACCCGTCGGCGAAGGCGTAAAACCGCTCCCCACGGCCGATGAGATACGCGAGAAACCTGACTTCTTCGGACCTGCAGGCGCAGGCGAATTGGCACCGGTGCCGGCTTCGCTGACGATGGATGCAAAGCCCGAACCGGGAGAGTCAGAAGCGGTGGTGGAATGGACCGTCAGCGGGGCGGGGACGGTCATGAACCCTCCCGTGGACCCGTTCGCGCCTTGGGCGTTGGAGGCCTTGTCGGCGCCCTTCTTCTTACTCTTGGTTTTCTCGGTCTTGCCCTTGGATAGCGGTTGAGGCTCGAGGAACTCTGCAGCTTGCGGGACAGCACTGGGAGGCAAGACGAGGAAAGCATCAGCATGGGTCTTAGTGTAAAGAGAAACTCGAACACTCACCCCCGATTGCCCACCGAGAGTACGAAATGCGCCTGGCCCGTCTTCTCTTGCCGCATCTGAAAGGCCTTGTTCATGCTCAACGGCGTATCCCCGCTCGCCATCGCCTCCTGCTTCTTCTCCTCCGCGATCTTCTTCAGCCTTTTCTCGGTCTTCATCTTGCCCGACCCCTTCCCATGAAACTTGTGCGACAGCGCTTTCCACGCCTCCTTGGGCGTCAGCGTCCGCCCGAACTCGTCGTAGTATACGATATTTACATCCGGCTTGTAGTTCTTGAAAAGGTCCAGCTGCTGCCGTGCCTCCTGCTGCTCCCGCATTCGGTTCTCGTACTCGCGCTGCGCCTGGTCCTTGTTCCCGCCCCGCGCCTGGAGACGCTCGAGCTCGCGTTGCGCCTGCCAGAAGCGGTAGTCCGCGAGCCAGACGTCCCGCTGCCGCTGGACCCGCTCGCGCTCGGTCTGGTCAGCCGCGGGCGTGGATAGGATGCCCTGCTGCCGGAGGATGTTGAGCGTCGAAGCCATGCCCGAACCAAATGTCTGTTCGCTCGATGTGCCCACGTCGCCTTCGCCATTTTCTGCTACTTCACCCTCCTTAGCGGCGGCGGTTTCTTCTTCCGTCTGCTTGATCATCGCCTCGATGGCGCTCAGCATCTGTTCGTCGTCCATCTCTTCACCCTCCTCTTTGACAACCTCGCCTGCTTCGATTTCGTCAATCGCCTGGTCGCCCTCCGCCATCGACGCGTCGCCGCGCGTAGGAGAACCCGATTCCCGTTTCGCGACAGGGGTTGCAGCCTTCGGCGGCGGGACAGACGCAGGCTCGACGGGCTCAACCTTGACAGCAACAGGGTTATACGAGATGGACCGGACGAACTCGGACGTATCGTCGAACGTAAGCCCACCACCCGCCACTCCCTCCTCCCCTTCCCCAACCCCATCCGGGTCTTCCACCTTAACAGGCACATCTTCAACATTCGCTGACTGGTCACGATTTCGCTCCTCCAATACTACGCCGCGGAATAAGCAAAGGCTGAGCGGGCTATACGAAATCAATGCAAACTCACCTCTCCGTGCAATCTCCTCGGGCGCGAGCTTCCGCGGTTTATGGATCTTTGCGCGACGTGACCGCGCCAATGCAGCTTGCAAGTCATCATCGTCGACAAAATTAGCATCGAGGTCACGTGGCCGTAGCGCCACCGGCTTCTCATCGACGTCCATGCCATTTTCGTCACCGTCCGCGGCGCCGAGCTCACTATCGACGGGCGCTCGTCTGGAGGACCGTTTCTTCTTAGTCTGCCGTAAAGTAAGGTGGGACGCGATCAGTCAATCATTCATCAGGTTGTGTGGAGCGTGACGGTGTGGGCACTTATACGTACCTTTGGCTTTTTGAACCCCACGTCGCCCTCTTTGAGATAGTCTGACATCTCAAGGTTTTCTATAACCGACGGTTATCAGCGAAATTCAGTTGTATGGGAGAGCGCCTACTCACTGTCATAATCAATTGACAGCAATGCGCGATTCACGGCGGTCGACTCTTGCTCAGCCTTTGGTATTTCCTTTTTCACAGCTGCAGCCGAGCTTCCCAAGCGGAACCCCTGTATGCGGAAGCAAACACAAGCACGGCGTTAGAGTCGTATCGATAAAAATGCAGGCATCAAATCGGAATATAAATATATATATATATGAATGAATGAAGTGCGCGAGGGAATTTATTGAAGCGGAGTACTCACACTTTCCATTGAACCTTCAAGCTCTTCATCGTACTTGGCTAGAACAGAGCGCTTCATCCCAGCCTTGCCTTCAGTGAATTCTTCGTCATCATACCCTGTGTAGTCACGCCGCTTGATCTTAAGTTCGTTGTTCTTGCGCGTGCGCTCCGCCTCAGCGAGCTCTACGTTCTGCAGCTCGTCCTCTGCCCAAATAACAATGGCGTCGTCAGCATATACTCAGGTAAGGTAAAGTTGGGTAGGCGAAAAGGCGCACCTTCGTTGTCGAGGATACGACTATCCTTGAGAGTGAGGATGTGCTCGGCGCCTTCGTCAAGGTCATCAAGGCCGTGGTTGACCTTGAGACCCGCGAGGTCCTCTGTGAATCATCAGAGCAAAAAGTCAGCGCATATAAGTAGGGCAACGTAACACTGTCCACGCACTCTCGCCGTACTCCTCTTGGAACATCTTGTCCATATTCTCGAGCTCCTGCTGACGCTTCTTCGCCAGCTCCTTTTCCTTCTTCTTAGCCTTCTTGATCCATTTCAAGGCGTCGTCTGTGTCGCCTTCGGGGTCACCAAGGGTTACACCCGTAAGTGAGGCATTGAGCTCTCGTTTGTTTCTCACCCTAGATCACGGAAGAAGTGTGCCATTGAGCATATGGTCGCTATATGCAGACGATAACGGGTGGATGTGGGTGTGGGGGCCGCCTATGTGCCCGGAGAACAGGATAAAAGCGACTGCGAGGCACGAGCGGGAGGGGTACTCACTTGGCTATCCGGTCCACGATTTTCCTGAAAAAGGAGAATAGCAACGTACATCGGTATGACTGAGGTTAGGCAGATAAGAAACCAAATGCGTACTTTGTCTGGCTTTCCTTTGCTGCAGCCTCACGCCGCTTGGCATAGTTGTCCTCTGCCTGCTTGTCTTGGTCATCCGCGGGTGCTGCGTCCTCGGAGAGCGGCTTTAGGCCCAGGGAGATACGGATCTTGTTAGTCTCCTCGAGACTGATGCTTTCTTCCATCGACATGGTGGGCGGACCAAGCTAGACCAGATTGAGGGGATGGGGACGGGGTGGCGGGTTGTCGGTGGTGACGAGCAAAGCGGGAGAGGACACTGCCACATAGCATGCGCGAACGGTCGAGCAGAGCGTGGGTTTCGATTCCCCCTTTTGGAGATATGAAAGGGGTCTAGGGGCACTAGGCTAAAATAGGTAGGAGGAGGTGCGTGCGACCAACCTCCGGTTTGTCCGAGTCGGTCTCTTTTCTTCCGTAACGTCCAACTGTATTCATGCGCCGGCCGAGCCACGCTTGCACGCCTTGCGAGCATTAAAGCTAAAGGATCCTGACTGATCTCAAGTCTTTTTCATTCTTTTTCATTATGACAGCTTGATCTGATCTCCGATCTTCTCTCTGCCTGACCACTTTCCCGATCCTCACCTGCGCTTTTCGGCAAGATGGCCCTTCCCTCGACATCTCCGCACAAATCTGACAGCCTGAGTAGGCACTGTCATCCTCTAACCAGCGTCCAAACCTAGCGTCAGCTATAAAATGGCCCTACTCGCCTCCCTGGCTAGAAGCGCATCTCTTCTCGACGACCTCGACACGACTTCCCCCGTCTCCAACGACGCGACGCCATGCTACCTGTAATACCAGATGTCACCTTTTTGGCCGATCTCCGCCCTGCCGCCTTCATACTCGCGTCCGTTTGCGTCCTCAGCCTCGCAGCTCGAGTCGTGCGTAGAAAATCGGACAAGCAGCAACAGGCGTACCCGCTCCCTCCTGGCCCCAAGCCGCTGCCTATCGTTGGAAACGTCCTCGGCATTGACCCCTCGCAACCATGGGTCTCCTACACTAAGTGGGGGAATGAATATGGTATGTACCTCGCTCATTCTTCCCACCTCATATTTCGAGCCCGCGTCGTGACGCCACTTCGGTATTCCACGAAAATCATGTTCATCATGGGGCTCATCCATCTTACGAATGTGTAGGCGATCTCGTGTACTCTCGCCTGCTCAACCAGGAGATCATCGTCATTAACTCCGAAAAGGTCGCCCAGGACCTTCTCGAGAAACGGTCGTCCAACTACTCTGACCGCCCCGCCATACTGCGCACGACTAACGACTTGTGAGTATTCAAAAATAAACGCACCTTCGTAACTTTTACCCTCGCTTCGCACATGGTGCCTCACATGCACATGTGCATACATACGCATACACACACATTTTTTCTCCAGTCCATTCACTCACAGCATTTCCCGATCCAAATCGCGATTTCCATCTGGGTCTGGATTTCGTTGCACCTTGCTTCATCGTGACTTATTTTACCTGCATTCACCGTGCTTCTTTCTCTATTCATTACACATTCCTCATGTGTCATCCAGAGGAGTTCCTCCTTTCCTTCCTTCACACTTGCTGATGCAAAACGCTAAAATGACGCTAACGCACCCTTTCTTCTGCTCTGCACAGCTTCGGCTGGAAGTTCAACTCGGTTGTCTTCCCCTATGGCGATAAATGGCGCTTCCACCGTCGCCTTTTCCACGAGGCATTCCGGCCAAACGCTGCGCTCGTCTATCGTCCCATGCAGCTCTCCAAAGCCAGGGACCTCGTGCGCAATCTCATCGCGGACGCAAACAACCACGGTTCTTACGTGCAGACGTACGTTTTCCCCAAATCTTAGACTTTAAAATGCGTTAGTCGATTGCTTGCATTGGGGAACCGGCTTAGCGGAGTTCCAGTCATTCCGCTCGATACGCGCCCTACCCACGTGGGAAGATATCGCTAGCCGAGAAAGCGAACCCCCGGTGCATCACAAAGCATCGCCCTCCTACAGAAGGACTTCTATGACAATCGCTGATTTCCCACTTCCATTGATTATAGGCACTCGGCTTCCATCATCATGAACGTCGCGTTCGGGTATGACCCGGCGCCGCGCCACGATCCGCTCGTCGAGGTCGTCGAGCGTGCGGTCGGGTACGCGGTCAAGCTTATCAGGCCCGAGGTCGCCGCGTTCATTGGTGCTTTCCCGTGGAGTACGTTCATTCCTATCAGCACCGCAGTGAAATGGTAGCTCTGTTGAGTTGGCCTATGACTGACATCATGTATACTTTTGGCTAAAGTTGTCGACGCGCCGTCCTGGTTCCCGATGAAGCGGACCGCAATCTCCTCGCAGAAGCTGGCGGACGAGATGCGCGACGCCCCGTTCCGTCAGGTTGAGGCTTCAATGGTATGTGCCATTCAGAACATTCTGATTCTCCCGCGAATCTTATAACATCGCAATTTGAAGGCTTCTGGCACGGCCGCGCAGTCCATGGTTGTCGACGCGCTATACCGTTACAAGGACGCCGAGTCCCTAGACTACATCAAAGAGAACGTCAAAGAAGCCTCGGTCACCGCGTTCGCTGGTAAGCAAATCTGGATTCTAAACGCCACTAAAGCAGAAGTTGATATGATTTAATCCCCGTCACTTCCTGATGCATGATGAATGTAGCTGCATCTGAAACGGTAATTCTATCTCTATTCTCTTTGAACTTTATCATTATCGTAGAGTTTCATGCCGTACTCTTTCACCGCGGTTACGAACCTTTTCTGACGCGATTATGTTTGATAGACCGCATCGACCGTGCTCAACCTCCTCTACGCACTCGTCTTGCACCCGGATGTGCAACACAAGGTGCAAGCCGAAATCGATGCCATTGTGGGCAGCGACAGGCTGCCCGAGTTCTCCGACCGGCCCTACCTTCCATACCTCGAGGCCGTGCTCCGCGAGTCATCACGCTGGCACCTTACTGTTCCGCTGAGTTAGTCTATCTCCTAAAACTACAAACCCTATCTTGAACCCATATGCGCCTTACTGACGATCCTCGTTTTCTTTGTTGCTCTCTTCCTTTTTTGGATCGATGGGAATCACCGCCTATCTTTCGGTCCCCGAACGCCCTCTGGCGCCCGAACCTGGTCACATGCACAGGCATCCCGCACTCGACAACCGAAGCCGACATCTACAACGGATATTTCATCCCGCAGGGTGCGACTGTAATCACGAACTCGTATGCGATGTCGCGCAACTCGGCCAAGTACCCCAACCCGGACTCATTCGTCCCCGAGCGCTTCATCCTGCCCGACGGGACCCTCAACGACGACACAGTCGACTTCGCGTTTGGGTTTGGCAGGCGTATCTGTGTAGGCAGATACGTCGCGGACGCGAGCGTGTGGAGCGTGCTCGCGACGCTGCTTGCGACGTGTACCATCGTACCCCAGAAAGACGAGAGAGGGATTGAGGTGTGGGCGGAGCCAGAATGGGTTTCTGGAATTACTTCGTAAGTGACTGCGTTCTAACTGTTTTGGAGGGAGCTGAGCTTTTTGCTGGTGTCGGATCAGGTTCCCCAAGGGTCTCAAGCTCGACTTCATTCCTCGCTCGCCTGAGATGACACATGACAAGCTTACGATGCTGCTCTCCAACCTCTGAATTGCCAACTCTCTCAGATTTGACAACGCCATTATCACGAACCACCAATCACGGATAACGATGTTACGATCGACGCTCTCTGAAGTTATCTGATGCTTTCGTATTTATTTTTGCAATTTTCTCCACGCCACTCTTCTCCCCACCACTCTTCTCTCACAGTCCTCTTGGTCAGCTTTGCTTCGATCTCAGAACACATTTCCCGCTTTCACGCTTTCTTCTTTCTTGATTAAATGGGTCCGCAAGCAGGTTCATGCGGCTCACTCTGTTGTATAACACCAATCTACCGAAGTCTCGACGTAGGTCACTTCTACGTATCGACTCTCTTTACTTCCTTCATACATCGCCCCACCCCACCGATCCTCTATAGCCTTACGAATCCAACACAGTTTTTCTCGCTGCAGGCGCCCAATCACACAATCTAACCCCGCCTCTACCCAATTGGTTGACTACGCTTAGCAGCATAAACTCCTGGCGCCCGCTGTCGCCATTCATGTGGTGTTCATGTAAGCTCGAACGACCGTCCAATGTTATCGTCGATCTAGTTAGTCTAGATTAGTTTAGGCTTCAGTTCATCCCAAAACAATTTTTTACAGAACATCCATAGACGCGGTATCGGGTGTGCATGACCTTCCATGGATATAACGTTGTGGGTCCAGCTGCTGCGCGGCATCACCTGGCCGTGGAGCATCAATACATAGCACACCACTTTCGAGTGGCTAACCGTGCCCAACCTCACCATCCGAATTGTCCGAGACTTCCCGACCCGCTGCTTCTTCGCAATTTGTACGATAATTAATGGTGTCACCGACTTCGGTACTTGGCATCGCGTGCCCGCGCGCTCGCCATGCTACACGAGAATGAATCCTGATGCATGCCCAAAGAGCCAAGCACGCCAGATTACGCATTCGGAATTTGTGTTCTGCCAGCAATAGCTAGGCTCCTTCTCCCTACTTCAACGTCCAGAAGTTCAGATGTACATTCTTGTATGCACATACCGCCACAGCCTAACCGCCCATGACGCCCCATCGAGCTTAGGCCAGCTTGTGCGTACCTTACCCCCGCAAGCTGTGCCTGATCACTTCGCATGTCACGATAGTCGCGGCACCAGCTGCCATCGGGACAACCGAAACGGCGCGAAAGGGTCGCCCAGCGCGCCTGTCAAGTGTCAAGCATCAAGCACCATTTTCGCTGTCGTGTTGCTGCCATGACATCAAAGCGAAGTGATGACATGTCCAATCCCACCCATCACGCGGATACGGGACCGGCCTCCTTGCCCGGTCTTCCAGCGAGCAGCAAACCCCGATAATAGCTAGTACCTAAACGCGCTGACTGCGCGCGGGTCATTATTCCCGATCGATCCTCGTGCGGACTTGGGGGAGCGCGGGCGACAAAGGTATGTTATTTGTTATCGTCCTTCATCAAACTAAAACTTTAATTATGCGGAACTCAGCAACCTCGTGTTCATTTCCGCCCTTGGGTTCTTAGTTCTTCCTTGTCGAGTTCACCAAGGGCGCTTCCGAAGTCTCGCCTTATGTGCGTCAGCCGACAAGTGGTCTGTCGATCTGGGAAGTGGATAAAGGCGCCATGCTTAGGCAACGTGTTTCTGGACGTCTTTCCGGAATGCACTTGCCTTGAGAGTGTTGCACGGAGTTTTCGTGCGCATGACTTCGGTCGCAGTGAACGTACGTGAAGGAAATGCGTGATCAAATGCTTTCAGTGTCGATACACTTATCCGTCAACACGAGGACTTCGTGCAGCAAGATTTGGTAGAGCCCGCGAAATATATGGCACGTTCATCTACATGATGAGTTTTATTCGATGCTTAAATCAGCATCGTAATATGGACTAGCGATGTACTAAACACAGACACGAGCTCAGAGGGGAGCCGTTGCATTAATTGTTCCCTACGGGAAGTTTGTGATAAGTCGTTGTTACATATTCAGCTTGGTATACGTACATTAAGAGCACGATCGATATGTGCCGAACAAAGCGAGCTCAGGACATGTTGAATATCATCGTTATGTTTGCCTTGCTTGAATCCGCATGGAATCTGAGTTTTCCGGTCGTATAATACTGTCGTCGGAGTTGAAGCACAAGTGCCAATGTTGGTGCAGGTTGTATAGTTGGCACAACAAAACCAAGAAAGACAGCTATGCCTTGCATTGACACTACGATCTTATGGGTCATTGATTGTTTGCTTTATAGCATCCTTTACCAGAGGTAGAGTACTGATTTTTTCCACAAGGGTACTCCGCCACGCACATTCTACGGTGTTCCGCTTGATCCCGACTGTTGGCCCACTGTAGCGAATTCAACGGTTTCCATTTCCGCCTCGTCGGCTGTCTCTCCACGATTTTTGTCAGCATTGAATCGCCGAATGCTGAGCAGCATGATTGGGCCTATGATGTCATAACCAGATAATACAACTTCAGAAAATATGGACCAAGCTAGAGTTTCCCGTCAAAATATTGTCGACGTCATGCAAGCATCTACAATAAATTAACTCACTATTCCAGGAAGAGAATACGGCAAATACGGCAATGATTGAACTATCCATGACATGGCTAACCTGTTGTATAGAATTCAAGTTAGATGTCTTGTAGACACTAAGCACTTACATGGCAAAATAGAAAACATGGTCTCGGGCCATTATTGACATAAATGTATCAAATTTCCACATTTTGTTGCCATAACTGGCTCTGAACCCGAGAACAGTGTGGCATAAAACCATGACAAGTAGAGCAACTTCGTAGGCGCACGCCAGAAGGTTGCTGGCTAGCTCTAGAAAAGCCGCGGATTCCGAGACCTCATATCCACAATGATATGGTATAGCGGTAATAACTATTAAAATAAACTACGGCGTCAAATGCGTCCATCAAGGCGGAGCTGTATGCTTACCAACCACATTTATTTTGATCAGGAGGAAGATAGTAGCGGGTATATTAAAACCTTGGTAGCTCAAGAAAGCCACCACTAGGAAGATTAGTACTTTCTTAGACCCTCCGTACATTGCATACGCCCTTGAAGTCATCATTACTAGCATTGGAATGATGTACTGAACGCCTTTTAGTTTTGAGACTGCTTACTTTTCAGCCCTAGAATAGTTGCTTTTGGTAACGCGAGCTGTCCCAGATAGACATATGTAAGGCCTAATTAATGTGCTGTGAGAGGATCCGACAAACGACGCCACTAACTGCTTACATCTAGAATCAGACGATGTATCCACAGAAAAATCGACAACTCTAACAACCATTCACTTACTCCTAATAGTTACAAATTGAATGTTGTTTCCAGATGCAAAGGGAGTGAATTGTACTTACGTGATATGATGAGTCTCTCAATGGAACTAGGACGAAAAACCTCAAACACAATGCCGAGCCAACAGTGAATTATTACTCACGCAGAAGCATACTATCTTCAGGGTCATCTTCACGATAGCAAGATCAGACTGGAATCGATGTTACTTACAATGCGATTATTAGGCCACCATAAGCAAGCTACCAAGGAATGGCAACATTTTAAGCAGATCGAAAATGTTCAAGACATGCTAACTTACCAGCGCGTAAAGCACCTTGCCGCCTGTTGAAGTCCCCCGCTTCTTCCGCTATTCTCAGTTGCTATTCTGGAAATATTCGTAGATCCGTATGCCCGTGGCTTACCCAAATGAGCTCTACCTATGTATAGTCATGAGCACAGCCTTTGCCGTTAGTTCATACAATGAACACCTGCCTCCTGATCCATGTTCAGCACTTGAAGTTTACGTTTATCAGACGAGATTAGTAGTCCATTGAAATCAACTTATTATGATATACTGACAAATCCGATAAGCCGTCACACATGCAACCATACCTTCGGATACAGGTTAACATAATTCGCGATACATGAGATGTAAAACTGTGCACTAACACATCGTATAATTGGTTATTTGGTATGATTGATACACTTGCTGGAATGTTTCTTGGGATGACATTATGTTGTTTCGCTTTTGTTAGCTGGATACGTGAATGGGTGAGGTCTAGCCTATCTTCGGAGGAAACGTACGTATGCTTATATACATGGTGGTGCACAGGGTCTTTCTTTGATGAACATCTAATTTTAGCTTCGCATCCGTGCGAGAGATTCAAAGCTTGATGGCAGCAATCAGAGGTATGGAGCCGACACAGGAAGTTGCGGTGTTACGCAAACATAGCAGGCATTGGTATAACACCAGTGGAAAGGGAAATACGTACAGTTTTAAATCATCCAGATAGCCCAAGCTGTCTGGTTCAATGCACACTAATCAAGACTAATGTGCTGAGGATGAGCCAAGGATGAGCCTCATGCTTGCGACCATCGGCATATGCAGAGTTACGGTCAAGTAATTGATTTGATACGAACTCGTCCAAAGTTCATAAAAGGAGGTCATGTCAAAACGTCCTACTCATTCAATCGGGTGTGATGTGAGGTTGAACAAGATTTGATTAGACAGCTGTGCACGAGTACGTGTGGTATACAAAGTAATGAGCACGCGGAACCGCCTGTATGGCGGTCTGATTCAAGTAAATAAAGCATCCGGACATGCAGTAAGGAGCATGTGAATGTATCAACCCACCATAATGCCCCTCTCATGGACGACTCCAACATTACAGCGTGTGTACTACACGTCTTGATCAAACAGATTTGAGGGATAAGTGACCGCACTTTACACTCAAGCGGGAAGGATCACTGTGCTTGTGAACGCATAGTGACGATGCGACTACGAAACCTTTGGTCAAGGTTGCGGTCGGAAGGCAAGGACGTCGCCGGATATCGGGACAGCGGGACCAAATCTGCGCCCAGCCTCAGTGAAATCTGTGTAAGGCTGTACTGTGTAAGGCTGTACCACTTCAAGTTGGTGATTTAGACACATGGCGACATTCTCGGGTCTCCCGTTGAAATTCATGCTACTACTTGGAATTGTGTCATAGCTTGGTAAACCCACTACCAACCAGAACACTGTGTTATGATAGACTCCTCATGCACGTGTATCCCCAAGCTGTTATATTCCCAGCTGCGATGGGTTGAATCGTCAGAACCATGAACAGTAACTTTGACGCTATCTTCTGGCGCTTTCAAGTATAATTAGAGTTACATGTCGTCTAAGACCTTCGAATTTATATGCCAGGTTCTCGGTGTATATACCTTGAAGAGATCAAGGCCATATATGGGAACAAATTTGTCTATGAGTTCGCGTCTCCAGCCCCGTTCATACGTATCCACAACACAAACTTGCTGAACCTTCGTTTAGGGTCTACAAGAAATATATGTCTAAGAACGAGCATAAAGAACAAAGATTCATCACATTTCACAACCCAGGCGGCCTTGCATTATCGAAGTCCTTTCTCTAGAAGATCTAACTGTCAGTGCATGACGCAACTACGGAAAAATGACGTTGTGCTGAATAAAACGACAGGCACGTAATCCTGTGGTGGTGAGGCTCAGTCAGTTTAGACATATCCAGCACGAATGTAACGAAGAATGGCTGAGTAGTTCACATTGGATGCATTACTGTCGTATTATACATGAAGCACTGATGATATATAAAATTGACCAGCTCGAAAACAGCTCTTCTAGTCGCTGTCGGGGGCGATGGGCTTGGCGTGTGGTTGCTTCTCCAACCACGCAGCCATCTTCATCATCCAGCCATACTCGTTGCTGTCCGATCCCTATTGACATTCACGCCCGTCAGCACAACCTTGATGAGATGAATGAACAGCTCTACTTACGAAGAAGTCGTACGGGAAGCCCAAGCTAAACGGGACGAGGCTCTCGGGCTCCTGAATATGCTCAGGCGTAAGCGTGATCTTGAGCGCATCAATGTTCGCCTGCAGGTGCTCGATCTTGCGCCCTCCAATAATCGGGAACACGTGCGTCGTCTTCTGCGTCACGTACGCTATTGCGACGGCCGTGACGTGCGATGTGCCGACCTCATTGCTGATGCGCTGAAGCGCACTCGCGACCTTGCGCTCATCCTCCGAGTCGGAGCGCTCCTAGGTTCCGCCGAAGATTCCACGCCCCTGCCGACGTTTTTCTTCTTCTTCATCGAAGCGTAGATGGCCAGCGGCGATAACGTTCCACGGAGCGAGGGCCATGCCTATGGAAGAAAGAAGTCGGTGCGAGGGAGGGCGTGCTGGACGGAGAAGAGGGGGGACATACGTTCTTGACGCGCCATGGGAATAATCTTGCGCTCGAAGTCGCGTGACATGACGCGGACGTTCCATGCACCCTGGTAGATGATGAACTCAGACAAGCCGTGGTCACGGGCATACTGGTTCGCCTTCGAAACAATCCATGCAGGCGTGTCTGATACACCCTTCACACGCACGCACGTGTAAGAACAACAGATATGAACGGTGTAGAAACTTTGACTTACGAGATAGAGAACCTTCCCCTGTTTGATGAGGTTGTTAAGGCCGATCATAACCTCCTCGACGGAGGTGTCGTAGTCCCACCAGTGCACGTAGAGAATGTCGATGTACGACGTGCGCAGCTTGCGGAGACTGTCCTCGACAGACATTGCCATCGACTTGAAGTTGTTGCCCGAGAAGAGAACCCGTTGCGTCGTCTTCCCATCGCGGCCCACGTAGTTGGACGTGTACTACATGGGATAGAAGCGGGATCGCATCAGCCGGTGAGCTCCAATGACCGCCAGGAGTATGGGTAAACCCTCACGCACCTTGGTTGCGATGACTAGCTCATTCCGGATCCCACGCTTCTCCGCCCACTCGCCAATGAACTCCTCGCTGGACTGGTCTTGGTAGTTATTCGCGGTGTCGATGAAGTTGCCAAACTGATCCCACTTGTCGCCGATGCTCATCGCGCCAAGCTGGAGCTGCGATACGTGCACAGCGGCCTTGGGGGAGAGGACGCGGTAGCGCGCGAGAAGGTTCTCGGGTTTGGGGGCAGGTGCGAATGCGGACATTGCTTTTGAGGCTGAGCGTAATGGTGAAGCTTTGAAGACTTGTGACCGCTTTTATCCATTCCAGGCTATATATCGCTTGCATGTTACTACAATCGTCCAATACGTATTTTCGGTCTCGTACTTCTGCTCAGTCGCTGGAGGATTGAGCGTCAATTGGTACACCGAGCCTTACAACCCTCGGAGGGAGACATGGGGATGAAGGAGATCAACTGCTGCTGGACAAATACCAGAACGGAGAGGAGAATGGCGGCTTGGCGCCTATGAATAGAGTACTTGTCACAGTGGGCCTCGCACGCGCTCTTGGCCAGTGTATGCGTGGCAGGCAATCCTTATTCCTTTTCATCGAGATGTTGAGCTTTGTGCTGGAAGCGAGCTGCACATAGTACCTGAGTAACCTCATTCTTTAGTTGTCGTTCGTGACGTTCTATGTGAAAGGCTCCAAGCGGCGGTAAGGCACGTCATTTGAGGCGATAAGCCAGTATAAGAGCCAGTAGCTTATGTAACCGTTTAAACCTGTTTGTGCACAGAGAGAACAGGAAAGGACGGAGGATGCCACAGCTTCCAATTGTGTCGGGTTTCCTGAGCTAATTGCTTAATATTTACACTAAATCTGCAGCCTTTCTGGTACTTGGTACTCAAATCTCAAATTTGCTCGGCTTTCCTGTCCTTCGACCGCGCGGCGCCTGGAGTCTGCAGTCTGCGGCGGACACAAAGCCACGCTGCGTTTCCAACCTTCAGCGGAATTTTACCAAATGGGACATAATATTGATCTCGGTCAAACACCATGGTTTGATTGCTCAAATATGATAAAGATGAAACCCTCCCAGAAAAGTAACGAAGTTGAAGCACATTTTCGTGCGTGTTCAAGTAGTAAACAGTACACACTTGTTCATTATTGTACATTTAAATGACAGAGGCATGAACGTTGGGTAGAACTTCATCGCATTACAGGCTGATTGATCCCTCCCTCCATGACCTGTGAGACAGAGCCCAACTTGGTTACTTCTCAGTTCTCGCCGTTCACACTCTTAAGCTGGAAAGCATTTTCAAGCCTACGAAGAGCGAGCTGCACTCCTGGTTCAATACTATTCTGCAGTGCAGTGTGCTGAACATACCGTCAAGATTTCTGGCTCGCAGACGAACACCATGCGGAAGCGGGTGGGAACCTGGTCTTTTCCAGTATGCCACTAAAATGTGTATCTGTAAGAATTTGGTCGAAGAACGACGAGCAAAAGCTTACCATTAGCACATTCGCTTTCGCCATGTCCTTGATTGCGGCAGTCCTTTGCTCAAGTGCGCTCATGTGAGGAAAGAGCTGGTTAAGCCTCTCGGTGAGATCGAGCACGGCAAACTGGCCGGCGTAGGATTCAAGGATGCTAGAATAAAATCGGAATTCAGTACCACAAGCGACTGCGGACGTAAACGTTCACATACGGAATGCCGAACTTGGTACACCACGCGTGAACCCTATCATAAGCCTCTCCGACGCGTTTCTTGTTCTCCGCTAAGAAGTTGTTGCGCCACTCTCTGTCCATCAAGGCGGTGGTAAAGATGGCGTCAGTCGAGTTGGATATAGCGTTTCCCATCATCGAAGCTTGCAGCAGCTTGATGAGAGCGGGGTTCTGGGAGACGAAGATGCCGATACGAAGGCCCGAGGCACCGAAGTCCTTTGGCGGACCGGCCACAACGTGCACTCGCGCAGGATTGCATCCAGCCAGCTCCTTCAAGTTGAGGGAGAGTATGGAGACGAACGGCGGCGGATGCGGTACGACCTTGGAACTATATACCTGGTTGCCGTATATCTCATCAACAAGAAGGTGAAGATCGTACTACCCCGACATGGTATGTTAGCTAGAACAGAACGACAGAAATATCAGACGGTGCGAGTTTGCGTACCTTCTCCGCCAACTTAGCATATGCGATAATTGTTTCCTTCGGGTAAACCCTTCCTAGAGGGTTATGCGGGTTGCAAAGTATGAGAGCTCGTATGGGCTTTTGCTTTTCCTCCTTGATCCTCTGTTCAAGGTAGCTAACCACCTCCGGAGACAGAGGATCAACCTCTGGAGGGATTTCCACCGCGTTCAACTGCGCACCGGATGGATACCCGGTATCATCCTCGAATCCACCTGAGGTAACGTGATCGTAAAATCAAGGTCAGAAAAAGGACAGAAAATTGTCAGTCATCGAGTCTAACTTGCCATAGAAAGGCTACAGACTAGGTTAGCAGTTGTTCGTAAAGAGTTCGATAGAAACGTACCGCCGTAACGAGGGCAAGCTCTCCAACGTCGCATATCTGCCAGAAGAACTCCGTGATGAGTGTTCCTACTCCAGGCCCTACGACGGAGTTTTCGGAGGTGACTGGCTCCAAGGGAGAGAAGGTATCGTTGATGTATAGGGGTAGTGCCTGGTCGGTATTTGTCACGAATCCCCTTTGCAACGTGAGATCTATATAAGTGTCAGTTTGACGATAAACTCGTGCAACGGAGAAACTCGCGGTATCTGAAATGATCCTTTTCCAAGGCAAAATGCTGCTTGATATACTGTGCGCATTGAGAATGAGCAATCGTTATGCTGATTCAGACGGATTAGGACCAAACGTACATTGTTGAAGTCCTCAGTCATTAGCTGGTTCTCCGCTACACCCATGACAATCATGCCGTCACGGTTATGCACGGGGTCGTAGTAACGCTCTGGAAGGTAGTGCATACTACACATGCAATCTATTTAATACAGGCTCAGAATAAGAGAAATGCTGATTGTGCACTGACATGGATGTCGTATCTTCAAGGATTGCCTTTAGACGAGCAAGACCCCGTTCGCTCAAGTGCACCGAAGAGTTGACTCCAGTAGCCCCCAACGTCGAATCTGGTGCGGAGAAAAACATGATGTAGACGAAGACTGAGGAGGGATTGCAAGAAGAGACCTGAGGAGCTGAGGGATCGAGTGGTCAGTGACGGGTTCTTATACCTTTGGCAGAGCACGGATGGGCGCAAACCTGGCTGTAACGACAACCAGAATCCACTGACCCAGTTTGCGGGAAATATGTGTACCAGCCCTTGGCTAAGTCAAGAAAGCCAGCGTGACCGCTTGGGCCTGATTCTCAACGTTCTGAAATCAGTCCAGGACTCCTATCAGAACGTGTTAGTGAGAGGTTGCGGGGAAGCATGTTGAATGAAGGGGATGGCGTACTCCGTTCATAGAGCAAACTCAACCTTCGTTTAGACGAAGGTGCATATTCAGCCAAGTGTCCAGCTTGCTCGCCCGCGTTGCCAAACCCCGAAATGGCGGGACAGCATGTCTACAGTGTTATAAACTTGGGCATAATGGAATCAAGGAAGGAGAAAATGTGGCTCGGTGCCCCACAGCTGACCCGGAACGAGGTCTTATCTTCATATCCGCACGTTTCAAGGTACGCCGTTTTGTAAACCCGAGTTGTGCACAGATCCACAATCAGTATAAATGAAGGCACCCCTACTGCAGATAAAACTCACCGACGCGGATGCTATCGAATAGGCCATTGTAGGAGCTGAATAGGCCGCTTCCTTAGCTATGATAGACACGATTACCGCAATGTTGTGCAGCGAGTCACAGCTATAACATACCTGCATGCTACTGGAGGGCGAAGTCCCAAGCTTGGAAGGAAAGTTCCATGCTGCATGTTCATTCAGCTGTGCATGACATAAGAACTGTTCGTGCGTAACCTTATATGAAAGTGTCAACGATGAGCAAAGAGACTGTATTGTGTGATCGCGACATGGGTTCTAGTCAAAAACAAGGCGACTAGAGAGCGTAAAAGGCGTGTGCTAACGTATTTAGTCACCGCGATCATGGTCTTCTTCTGAGGTACTTCAGCTCCAAGACACGAGCCTTAGGCACCTTGACGAGATCCGCGCGTGTGATGTTCAGCCGCAGCTCCATCTTAAGCTACTACCAATAAGGATGTATGGTCAGCATGCACACATGATAAACGAACTGGGGAAGCGATTTACACGAAGCTGCCATCAGCGGGTCTGGAAACTCTCTAGTGCGGCGCATGTCGTCCGACAACGCGTTCTCGCGCTGCACGGGTCTGGCCCAGGTGTCGTAGAATGGACAATGTGACAGGGAAAATGAGAAGCGCGTGGACGAAGATGTCCCATGCCCTAGATAGTGTCTGCACACCCTCGTTAGAACCGTCGTAGAACCAACACACCAAGCACAAAAGCGCAGAATGCACAACTCGCCAAGCACAAAAGCGCAGAATGCACAACTCGATAGAAAATACGACCTGGCCACAGTTCCCGAATACGAGACGGAACGGAAATCGCAGACACAGTCATGCTCAAGCTGGCCAGATGCGCATGTAAGATGGGCAGTGATTCCCAGATGTAGCACGGGTTGATACACCATAACGAGATTAGAAGCCCTCGGGCATGATGCGCTCGGTGATGACTACAAGGCATGTCATCGCTTCGCTCCGACAGGGATATCAGATGTCGACATATACCGCATAGATATATACATTAGCAAAGGAGAATGATAAAATCTCGAGGTCTATGTGTAGTAGCTAGGCTAATGTGTTGATCTTTACTTGTCGGACCACCGCTCGTGGACATGTGGTGGGGCTTCAGCAAGATACTTGCGCGGCAACTTGAGCTTGTCGAAGGTGTGGTGCATGACATCGAGTAATAGTAAGTGCAGCATGAGCTCACTGACTGCACGGTTGAACGCTCCTTCACAGCGTCTCAGATGGAGAGCACTCATCAGCCCATGAGTCCCATGGTCAGCCTGACGGTATAATATTTACTGTAAAATGTAGCATAAGGCCACAGTGACACTCCGAGGGCTCACTGGTAATCACTAATCTCGCAGTGAACACACTGGCACATACACCGGGTGTAATACCGTCGTGTGCATGTGGGTAAAGCGTGTTTGGGGCGGATCCGGGATCATGCTGTGGTTAGTATGGCACCCGCCTGAACCTGCTTAGATGTAAATAGCCTACTACGTGACACTACGTGAGGAGGTCAGGGGGAGGCCTGAGTGAGGCTTTGGAACAGCGGCATGGGGGAGTTTAAATATCAAACATAGAACGAATGCTCAATATAGCAAAGTCGACATATCTAGAAAGAGTGGGGTGGCGTAATGAGCCACCTATCAGGCAAATACGGAGGCGAACGAATCATTGGATACCATTGAATAGGAATGAATAGTGGTGCAGCCATGACGCAAGGATTGAGTGGGGCAGTGGAGAGACAACACCTGCAAGGATGCTGAGGACATCGTCGCTAACATGGACTGTGGGGCAGCAAGAAGACATCAAGCATATTCGGAATATGTTCGGGACAGAATTTAAATGACGAAGTTGGCTGAAAAGCCGTGGATTGAATAGACGGTGATTTGGTGAGAGGTAGGGTTGAGCCATGATGAGAACAAAAGTGGAGCAAGACAAACATGTACAATGAAAAGCCGAGGATGTGCTTAATGATACGGGGAGATATGGGTCCAGATGGCTTCTTCTTCGGTGAATACGAGGGTAATGGTGGAGGGGACAGGGCCTACACCTTCAAATTTGTCTATGGCTGGGTACCTTCGTCTCCGTAATATGGGTAGAAAGAGGGGCAGTAACTCGACGTACCGACTGCACCCGATCAACACCCTTCTCAATCTCGTGTAGCACCGAGCCCTCTTCCCCACCACCACCACCCCACCTCATCCTTCTGTGTGGTGCCGGCGCGCACCATGCTGCCAAACTCTCCGCTCATAGCGAATTGTGGACAGGCTGAGTTACTCTAGACCGCACGAGGCCTTGAATGTACGAGATCATCCTTCAAATGGTCGAGGTCGAGCATGTTCTTCGCGGTCCCCGGCCACTAGGTATGCTTGCAAAAAATGGGTTTGTGTTTGTGTATAACAGAAGTGTCCGAGGCATTACTTGCGATTGAAGGTCTGATGGTTCTCATGTCATGCATCGGTCGTCTCGAAGAATTCGGCGGATAATATATGATGATTGTGGATGAAGGTCACTGTACACAAGAGCTTGGGAGCGTTGAGCGTGACAGTGAACAGACGCGTTTTGGCAGGCGTGGGAAAATAAGGTCGCGGGCCCGAGGAGCCGATCAGGCGCCGTGAAGGAACGGGGGCTGAATTTGGCGGCCAAGTTGAAGTCTGCACGAAATGCACATTTGGGCTATCAATACGTGACAAACCCATTTGAAGGCACCATAATGTAATTAGACAAGATCGTGCCCAACCTGATGTTCAGCAACTTCTCGTTCAAGCTCTCGTCGTCAACTCGCTAGTCTAGTGTGCAGAGTGTTGACAGAGTACAAGACACGACGTCGCGTAAACGCTCCGTCCCCACGCTGTACAGATGTAGTCACACGTCGTCGAAGTATTTTTTCATGCAGGCTATTTAACTTAACACATGGACAATAATACTGTACATTTGACTTCGACAAATTACATCAAGTTTAATGATCTGAGAGGGGAAGTTAAAAGAGATTGCACGAAAGATAGCGTAGTCATACCTAGCCGCGAGAAGCGGGTCTGAACCCGCTCGTTTACACGGTCCGGTCACACGCGTGACCGTGACCGTTGCGCGTGAGGCGTGAGCGGATCAGCCTCCGTGCTCCTCGGCTGTCTCCCAGCCCTGCATCGCGTTATGCCCGCCGCCGCCGCCGCCGTTGATCCTCGTAGCAAGCCTGAAAAGGAATGTACCTGGTGATCACAAGCACATCACCGAGGGACCGGGAGCGCGAGAGGAGGGGGGAACGGGCGAGGGAGAGGACTTGGAGAGGACAAGAGCAGGGGAGGAGAACCGGAAGGGCACAACACCAAGGTGCGTTCGCTATCTAGCCGCCGGCCGCATGCGTTCGGGGTACTGACATGTGCTGTGACAGCTTACACAGTCCACTAAGCGGGACTGTGTTTGTCCGTCTGCAGCCCGTTGCATTCACGCCTGCACCCCCTGCTTCCCCCGCTGAATTCACTTGAATCAGCTCCCTGCAAGGGCCAGACACACTGTCCGAGCTCGCTTGGCCTTCGCCAAAACACTGTCCAGCTGCCCGCTTTCGCGGCTGTGTCTTCGGTAAGCCCATTGTTTTTATTTATTTTTATTCGCATGGTGACATGTATTCTAACTCTCCCCTTCTGTCCTCTGCACTCGCCCTCCCCCCTTCTCCCCCACACTTGACCCTCATCCTTCTCCACCCCTCATCCCCTCATCATCACCCTCAGCCCTTCAGTACCCCGGCTATTGTTTACTACACTCATATACATGTAGCTTTAGAATAGTTTTGCAATATAATTTATTCATTGTGTACATCTTTCCAGCTTAAATACTAAAGTATGTGTGTAGCACATATCTGGGAATTGTGGATTTGAACGCTAGCGAGCCAGCAATTGGCTCGCTTGCGTCGGGAGGGCGAGCGAGGATGCGACGGGGTACGTACACGCGAACGCCCCTGAGTCGTGACGCGACGCGCGGGACAGTGTTGCAGCAAACACTGTCCCGCGCGACTTTGGCATCGGCCGCGTGATGTCACGTGCGCCGGACCGTGCAATTCACGAGAGAAGCGCTCTCGTAATAGCCGGTTGAAGTTCAACATGAGTGAACCGACTGAGACTGTGGTTGACAGTTATGTTCTTTTGCATGTGGCAAAAAGACTCTGCTGAAATATCCAACGAACAGTCAATAGCTACGGGCTCGAATTGGTCTTCGAAGCTTTTGGTGCAAACGATAGTTCCGGTGGAGCACGAAGCTCCGTCGCGGGTGACAAACACACCAAACACGTTAGCAGAAGGCATGAACCGAGTTTGAGTGTGATTGCAATGAGGGCGAAAGTGTTGAGTGGAAAAGTGATAAGATAATGCAGCTAGTCGGTTCGCAAGATCATACTCTCACATGACATGAAAATGAATGCAATAATCCCCTTGTCTGTTGTATCGCATGTGGCTGGATGACCTTGCCCGAACGAGAAGTATCTTGAAACCATGCGCAATGTCATCTGTCTCAGTGGAGGGGCACAGCACATACGTACGTTTTCAACGTTGCGCATCCCATCTTCAAACGTGGGTTAATATGCGCAAGCAGGAGGGACCCAAGAGCCGTCTTTCTCCGCAAAAATGATGCCCGAGCAGAACGTGAGACAGTGACAATGTTCGCATGTGAGAGTACGACGAAGTTGAATACACTGGGTGGGCCAGAACCCTCGCCTAGGCAGCCTCAACTGCGTCGCAGCGCCAGCCTGGCTCAGTTTTTCGAGGTCCATGATCAGATAGTTTCGAGTGCGCAGCATATCTTCTCAAGCAACACAACCTTGGCGTCACCCTCATAGACGGAGGATATGCCAGCTTTTTCGGGGGTGTCATCATGGTCGCACAGCAACCTCGGTGGCAGATGGGGTGGACGTGCATGCGTGGGACTCGAGCTATTAATGAGATGGGCGCGACGGCGTCTCCGGGGTATTTGAAGGGCTCGGACGCTAGCAAGAGTGTGCAAGAGTCTCCCAAAAGAAACGACGGCGGGGACGGATTACGCGGACCTCGGAGAAAGCAAATAGGGAAACGACGGAAAGCTGACAGGTTGAGCAGACGGGTGGCCCTGTTTTATACCTAAAGACGGGTGTAAGGGGTTTAAACCGTTAAAAATAGTAGCTAGTAAGGAGTGGTGTCTGAGGGACATCGATGCCCAACTGAATGTACACTGGGTCTTAACCCATAGAATAGCGAATAACTGCGGAAAAGAGACTTTAGCACAATTCAGTCGAGCATTTATAAACTAAAATAGGGTGAACATGGGCACAACATCGGAGGTTGCGTACAGGAGTATCGAGAAAAGATTGTATAGAAACTCTTGTCATATTCTGTGAAGAGACGCTAAAGGGGCGAACCTCATTCAAAATAAAAGGTTCAACGCGTACGCAGCAGCAGCGCCACAAAGGGACTCGAAAACAGGGGACATTCAAAAGCGGGCAACGTGCGGGCCGACAGGAGCCGCAACCAAACACAACCACACCGTTCGTGTCATAAGTTTGAAGATACGATTAGACAAGTTGCTCCTGGCTCCGCGGCTGCCATTCCGTTTCCGCGTTTTTGTACGTCAAGTGTTTTCTAATTGAAGAGTAAGGCTGATACACAGCACATCTCTCATCTGGTAAACCTTGTAATAAAGTTACAAACAAAGTTTCAAGCAATGGTCGCGTTTCCTTTGTATCAAAACTGCGGTCCCGATTAAGATTCCCGAACATTTTAGCGATTGGACTACACCGCACGCGGCTTCGCTTCAAGAAGCCGCCCACGGACTTTACTCAGCTGTGCGCACTACAAATTCACCTGATCACAATCAAGACCTGTTGGACGGCCATATATTCAAAGCTTGGAATTCCAGGTATGTATCTGGTCCATCAACGAGGAGTTATGAGCCGATAAGCCTGTTAAAATTACAGTGGGACTTAATTAAGTGCGTGGTACATTGCAGTCCTCCCCAGATTCCGTGTGTTTATTGTTCGATATGTGGTACGGGGAGACACAGGTAATTCTGCTAAGAGTAAAGTACAACGTGCCAACGGGTCTGCCTGTTTGGATAATGGAAGCATGGCGGACAATGATGACTGGGGCCGGCAGACAAGTACGATAGCTATTCTTGCCTAGCTTGGGATTCTTATGGATCCAGGAACACACTATTCAGGCACACCTAAGTTTAGTTGTCCGCCTCACCTGAAGGTATAAATGTGGAGTATTTCCGAGCAGTACCATCGTTCACCTCTACATCTACCTCAATATTAATGTCTTCCTCAGAGATAGAAGCTGCTTGGACTGTGCAAGTCACCAAATATGCCACATGTGAGATCATGTTACTAGAGCAATAATGGCTATGAAGCTAACGCAATCTATATCAAAGATGGCATGTCATTTTTAGCGACTTACAGGATCGGTCAGTGTTCCGAATCAGTGATTAGAGATGTGATCTCACAGAAAGTTTACTGGATTTATCTCCTTGAAAGCTCTGAACATGGACCAAGAGGCAAGTTATGTATTAAGCTGCGCCTTGAAAAAACCCTTCTTTCAGCCACGTTGACTTAGGTAGATCTCATTTGGGTAAGACGTGCTTTTTAACATCTGCTGGCGACATGTTGTCATATAAAACAAAGCGACACTCGTCAAAGCGTGTTATGACACTTTACACTCTGGTACGTCGGTCAGTAAATAATATACGGATCCGCTCATGTTGCCTATATCTTTCAAGCTCACCTATGGTGGACTTTCCAACGTCATGTTCGTGCAATATGCTCTTGCTGCTAACTAGAACACATTGTTTATTCTTCTTTCGTATTAGCCTCGTCCTACGTGAGTAGACGGCAGCGTTGAAACGTTGAAGCATGGCGATACTTAGTGTAACACTTCATCAATTTCTCTTAGCCCCCGTGATGAGTACGAGTATCACTGGAAATGTAGGTCATGTTGCTGGAAGATATCCCGTATACCGTTACTCACCGCGCACCTCCCATACACCCAGATGTGGGTCTTGTTTAGTGTCCAGAGTACACGAACAACCGATGATCAACTACTGATTCACCCTTGTTTTAGATGTACGAGTGTTTCATGCTACTCTTCCCCATTATTAATGACGGTCCTGATTTTGTTACCATAGGTTGGCCCATAGTGGCGTTGGGTGATGTGATAATCCCAAACATCTTAATTGCTCTTCTCAACGGTATGATGAATGGATTTCGTGATGTATCGTTTATGGCACTGAAATAGTCTTCAGCTATGATGGGATTCAGAGTTTACGCGATATATGGCCGGTCAAATACAATTCTCATAGTCATCAGCGCTTGCTATATCATTACTCAAGCCCTCACAATATCTGAAGTTTATGTCGCCATCTCATCGTTGACTGTTGGTGGTACGATCTCCATCTGCCTTGCTAATGGGTGTGACGAAACTGACATTTAACGTGGTCATTAAATAATCAGCGAACTGCGAGTACGGATTCTCGTCACGCCTTGGTTGGCTCACCGTTGCAAGCGCAGTCGAGATGTGTGGCTATGATATTATCCTCCTCGTCATGGTATTGTATTGCGCTATTAGGCACATGGAAAGTGGACATGATAGCTCTCTCTGGACCTTCAACACTTTCATAGCGCTCTTAGCTAGAGATCACGTCTTTTATATTCTCTTGTGAGTCCTCTATGCCTTCGTGACATTCGGCCATATTTGCTAGAAGATGATTTCACAGCTCGCTGCTTGCCATGGGAACGAGCATGCCATCATATATTCCTTCATTTCAGAACATGGTAGGCGCTCAACTTGAGGGATGAGTTGTACTAACGAGAATAAACAGCACGTCAGCCTCTTTTACATATGGCTGACTCAAGCGGTGCTCATTTTTTCCATATACATGATTGGCCCGGTCATGCTCCTGAGCATCCGCCAGTTTGACTCGAAGAGGGTCCACGGAGGTACTTCTTGTGAAGCGAACACGGACATGGACACAATGCAATTCGCGGAAGGTGATAATCAATCGCAGACAGCAGCAACATCTGAAGTGGATATCTCGAACTATGTTTAATGGGACTGAAGTCGACACGACAACCCCAAAAAATGAAGATAATAGAATAAGAGCAGTTGGAAGGTAGAGGAGATCTTTTGTCCCCTTCTGGTCTCCGATGTCAATATGATGTACAGGAAGGGCGGAGAGCCAAGGTCATCAAATGTGTCACACCCTTTACGGCTGCTTTTTTCCTCTGAAAATGATACCTACGCTTGTTGGTTATTGCATGATACCGGGCGGCTGTTTACGGTTAGAACCACGACACATGTTCTTCATCGAACGCCTCATTCCAATCTCTAGAAAGTACAAAGCCTGTTGCGTGTGTCTATATACTGCAATTGCCAACAATGAAAAATAGCAATGGTGAATTAAGTGCCTGCATCGTGCGCTCTAGTCTAAATCAATGCAAAAAGGGCCCAATGACAAAAAGAGAGAAAGATCGACATGTAAATGCGAATGCATCACGCCATAATCATGAGCCTCCCATGAGCTGGCGCAGGTCCGCGACGTGCGCGTCGCGCTTCTTGACGAGGTCTGCGTGCGTGACGCTCGGGCGAAGATCGAGCTCAAGCTACAATAAACGGGGGTCAAGAGTTAGCTGCCTGGTACTCTGAAGACAAGTCAGCGAAACAGCTGACCTGAAGCAGCTTGTCGGGTTGCCATTGGCGTGTCGGGAGGTTCTCCAGTGCGACGTACGCCGCCGACATGCTCTCGCACTGTAAGAGCTCTGCTTCGCTGCTGCGAAGAATGGCCAACGCCACTCGGAATAGGACATCAAGCCCATCGACGAGGAAGACGTCCCATACCCTGAACAGCGTCTAAGTCACAACATCAACGACACGGTCATACCCTGAAGAAAGTAAGAAATGCATACCTCGATGGGAAGACAATCTGTAAACAGCGACAAGAACCACGAGAAGCAGATCGCGGGCAGATCGACGCCCAGGCTCGCCAGGTGCGCGTGCAGCTTGGGGAGCAGATCCCGGATATAGTCGAGCAGCACAAGCGGGCACGCGCGCGAGGGGAGGAGCGACGGCGAGAAGAAATCCTCGGGTAGGATATGCTCGACAATGGCCGTGAGGACCCAAAACGCCTCTTCCTCGTCCGCGTGCACGAGCAGCAATGTTGAGGTGACGAGGTTCATGCCCTGACAGTAACCCACGGCCGGGTTACGCCTACGTCAATGATGTCCGAGTCAGCTCCCATGACTTCTGCACGGGCGAAAAACTGCCCGAACTTACCGGCTATACCCAATCAACACCCTCCTCAACTTATCCACCCCGGCCCCATCGCCCCCAAAGAAGATATTCAACGGCATCGTCCTCCCCACATCCTTCTCAATCTCATGCAACACCGACTCCCCTTCACCCGGTTCGCCCCCGTCCTTCTGCGCAAGCAAATCGCCAAACAGCCCCGGCTCGCGCATATCCAGCCCGCCACTACACTCCATCCACAACTTACTCCTATACACGAGCGGAATCCCCCCTCTCACCAACCGATCAAACTCCCTCCGCTCGTCGCGGTTCGCCGACAGCCCGAGCTGCGCGAACCCAATGAGCCCCTCGCTGTGCGACAGCTCGTCCTCGTCGAGCGCCGTGCCGAGGCCCAGCAGCCGCGTCGCCGCGGCCTTCGTGACGCCCCCTCCGCCCTGTGTTGCGGAGAAGGTCGCGTTTGAAGAAGAGAACAGGCCCGACTTGGTCGACGACTTGGCCTTGCTCCGCTGCCGCACGAACGCGTCCCACTCCTTGCGCTTGGCTGTCTGCCGCTCGTCATGGATCTTGTACAGGTCGTCGAGGAGCCGCCGGATGGTGTTGCGGCACACGTGCCGCGGCGTAGAGGCCACGACGCAGAGGACAGCGGTGCTCGCCTGCGGAGGCGATGGTGACGACGCAGGTACAGCGGCAGGCACGGGTGCAGCGCCGATCGACTGCGGCCGACTGCGGCTCGAGGTCGGAGACGTCGTGCGCGAGAGCTGCTCGGGCGACGTAACACTCGTGCTCTCCGACGCCGTCTCCCCGGGGGACATCACAGACACCAGCGTCGACACGATACTCCCCGCGTCCTCGTCCACAGGCGGCCTCCCCGACCCATCGCACTCGCACCGCTCCTTCACCACCTGCACCACTATCCGCGCAGCAGCGCCGGCACCGTCCTCCTCGTCCTCCGAAGACCACCCGTTGCTCTCCTTCCGATCCGCGATCTTCACCCCCGTCAAACACGCCGGCGCCGTGTTCCCGCACGCCTTCGCGCGTGTAAGCAGCAGCACATCATACTGCGCCACATCATATATAAACCCAAACCGGTCCGTCAGCGGCTCCCAGTCTTTCTCCCCGCCCGCGCCCCCATTACCGTCACCGACGACGGAGCCAGAACGCGCGCGCGAGCTGTAGAACCGCGAGACAGAGCTAGGCAGGGAGACGCGGAAGTCGCGCGCCGTGAGCGGGGTGTATCGGCGCGAGAGGAACTCGGTGGGGGGCTGGGATGTAACAGGGATGATGGACTCCAGAGGCACAGATCCGCCCTTGTTCGCCTGAGGCTGTGCAGGCGCACTACTCGTACTTGTATTCGGCTTGCCGCCCGAGGCAGCGGACGACGAGGCGTCGTTCCCCGCTGGGGCTTTCGACGCGGACGTAGTCTCGGCGCTGGACGCGGCCCTGCGTGACTGCTGCTGCATAAACGAGCCAAACAGGGGCGACGCGAACGGCGAGCTGATCATCGCGCTCGCCCTGTACTTTGTCCTGCGCACGACATCGCCCGCAGCGACGCCCTGCGCACTCAAAGTCCGCGCAAGAACAGACGTCGCATCCACGTCGCCCCTGCCGCCAAAGTGACCACCAGCACCAACAACAGCCAGCCGGCTAACACCCTGCTCCTCCTTCAATTTCTTTTCCTTCTCCCCAGCCCCAGCCCGTGCCCCCGCCTTCGAACCACCACCACCCCTCGCCTCAGCACCCCTCCTCCCCTCCCTCGCCCTCACCCTCTCTCTCACCACCACCCGCTCGTCCCGCGCACCCTTCACAAGCCGCATCGCAAGCGCCGCTACAAGCGGGCCCGTATCGCGCCCCTGGTCCGCGAGCACGCTCCTCGGGTCCGCGGTCATCACGCGCGTCGCGTGCACGATCGCGCGGAGCGCGGAGCCCTGTGCGGGGGGCTGCGAGTTGTATGTCGCTTCGGCTTCTGGTTCTGCAATGCTGCGGGAGGCGAGGGAGAGCGAGGACGGGTCGGCGGTAGCGTTGGCGTTGCCGCTGGGATCAGCGTTCGGAATCGGAGCTTCGCCCGGGCTAGCGTCTGCAAGCGTGAGCGCCGGTGCGGCTGGAGGCGCAGGTATAGCGATAGTGCCACGGACGGGGGAAGACGCAGCAGATGCCGAAGATATTCGGGTGTGCTCGACGACCGCCGCCGTCTGGGGCGCCTCAGTAACAGACTTGGTGTGTCGCCCGTGTTTAGACACGCTAGCACCACTCCCCGACGCCGCCGCCGGATTCAGAATCGATATACCCAGCGCCTCGAACACGCTTCTCGCTGGTTTTCGGCGCGCAGAGGCGCGCGTGGACGGTGCAGAGCTGGACGCCGTTGTGTCGTCCTGCTCCGGGCCGCCCGCCGCCGCATCCCCGACAACAGCACCACTCTCGTCGTCCTCCTTAATCGGAATCGTCGATATCGACCGACTCGACTGCGAATGCCGCGGCCCCCGCCTGCCGAACCACCCGCTCATCCAGTCGCCGCCGCCCTTCTTCGCCTTCGCGTCGTCCGCCGCGCCCGAAGCTGAAGTGGAGATGCCGGTTTCCACTAGGCTCGAAGTGGATGCGGACGTGAGCGCGGGTGGCATGGTGATGCTGCCCGAGGCGTTGTCGCGGGACAGCATCGAGGCCGAGTCGGACGCCTCTGTCGTGGGGAATGGGACGTCCGTCTTTGAAAACATGGACTTTGCGTCGGTGAGGGATGCGGTGTCTGACGGTGCGCTGACCGCGAGCTGCACGTCGTCCGCCATGGCTTCGGTGAGGAACGTCCGTAGCGACTTATATCAACCGTGTTCGTTAGATAGACCCGTGGCGAGATAGAAATGGGAGAAAATAAAGACGCACCGACATGCTCTCGCGCCTCTGCACCGTCCGCCCCTCCCTCTCCTCACCCTCACCCTCATCCTCATCCGGGAAAATCGCACTAACAACCCTCCTCGCCACCTCCCTCTCCTCACCCGCCATCCCATCCAGCACACCCCCCGCCCGCCTGCGCCTCTCCGCCTCCCTCTCCACCACCGCCCTCCTGCTCTCCTCCAGCCGCGCGCGCGCGAGCACCGCACCGTGCAGCGCCGCAGACAGAGCTCGTAGCGCCGCGTGGTACGGATGCGGGTCCGCGCGCGACGCGGGGGACTCGGCGGCGCCGAGGCGCGATATGGCGGACTGGATGGCGGGGTCGGAGTATTCGTGCCAGCGGTGCGCGAGGACCTGTGCTGCGAACGGGGTGTGCACCGCTGCCGCCGCCGCGCTTGGGTCGTCGCTCTCGAGGTCGGGCGGCGGTAGGCCGCGAGAGTGGGCGTTGGGGCTGGGGCTGGGTACGCTGAGATGGGCGTGGTTATGGGTGCGGTTATGATTCGCGTTATGGTTGTTGGAATGGGCGTGAGCGGGATCGGGAGACCCGCCGACGATGAACAGCGGCGCGGTGTACTGTCTCGGCGAGTACCTGAAGTCCGAGCGCACAGACAGGCCCGAGAGCGAGGTGTTCGACTGGCGATGGGAGAGCGGGGGCGCGCTACCGCGCGTTTGAGAAACATCGCGCGTCCCAGCGCCGGCGTCAGCCTGCTGCCTGCCGTACCCGCGCACGCTCCCATCCCAGTTCGGCTGCCTGCGCCCTGTCGCAGCTGGCGCGTCGCCCCCACCCCCGCTGCCGTTGCCCTCGGCTATGCGTTCCGATTGCGCCTTGAGAGAGGCGTACGTCGCCGGTGCTGGTGGTCGTGATTCCGCATTGACGTCTACAGCGCTGCTGCCCGCGCGCGCGGGGCCGGGGCGGCGTGTTCGAGGCGAGGGCGCGTCGTCTGGGGCGAGAGGGTGGGTGTGGACGGGTGTGGTGATCTGGGGCGAGTGGGACATTGAGTTCTATGTTCTGTCTTTCGTCTAGGTCTAAGATCTGGCTGAGCTGGGGGGCGAGGACGGTATGGACATGCTCCGGTGAGATGGAAAGTGGTGACCGTTCACTATGAGATTGCTATAGCTTATAAGAGATTTGTTATAAGAGTTGCTTATAAGAGATTAGTGAGACTTGCAACGACGCAGATGTCAGCTTGACATCGCGAGGCCATGACGCGCGTCTCGCAGGTGAGAACTTATTCCTATATCCGGCTCTCCCTTCCTCCTCCCTCCATCCGTCATCGTCACGACCGCCCACGACCTCCTCTATCCTCCTTCATATAGCCACTCATGGGTTGGTTCAGCAGCTCAAAACCCGAACCAAACGGCGCAGCCTCGCGCGAAGACCGCCAAAAATGCTGGGAAGACCGCGACGCCTACTTCGAGTGCCTCGACACGGCCGGCGTGCTCAAGGCCGGCGACGAGGGCTCCGCGTGCGCGAAGCAGAAGAGCGCGTATGAGGGGAGCTGCGCGAGGAGCTGGGTGCGTCCTTCCATCCTTACGCTTGTGCTTGGTGTCGAATATTAACTGCTACTACTGTGTACGCGCAGGTGGAGTACTTCAACAAGCGGCGCATTCTCGCCGAGCAGCAGAAGGAGATGCTCGCGCAGGCCGAGGCGCAGAGGCAGCAGGCCAGGAAGTAAACCGCTCCGTCGAACCCGCGCATCGCATAGGGCTTTCTACCATGTCATAGACCACTCTAACATCATCTAATCCAACGCATTGTCCCCTCCCCCCATGATTCGCCCAGCCCCGTGCACCGTCACCCCTACACGTGCGTGAGTCCCACCCACGCCAAGCGACGCGCCTCCGGCTCTCTCCAGCAACTCACAGTACTTAGCTGAGGCAGCCCCCCACCTCCGACACCCCCGATTCTCATGGGCGCAAATGTCACCTTGCTCGCCTTTTTTCACTCCGTTCGCGCGTACAAACTCCCTCACCTCCGTTGCGCCACAAGCCGTGACCGTGATTTCGTCTCGTCTCGCCTCGCCTCATTCCGTTTCGCCTTATCCCGGAACGCGTTTGGCTAAGCTGACGTTTTGCACCCTCGTTGTTCATTTGGGTGCGCATCAATCAGACAGGCTCACTAATCCAAAGTGCAGGAGCACGCCACGGCGATCATCACACATCCACAGATATCCTCGCTGGGCTAGCTCCGCATCTGGTGTCGAATTTGCAGGTCGTATCATCCAACGCGACTCTCCGCAATGCAGCAAGATGCGCCAGACTCTCGTTCGGCTCCGAAGTACAAGTACAAGCACAAGTACGTTTTACAACAACACACGGATAGGCCACTGGCTTCCCCATCCGCTCGCCATTCATCATCAACGCCTTGGATCACGCGATTTGGATTTGGAGTTCTTTTGGATAGTCGTGCCATCCATCCATCATCATAAAAATCACGAAACGGAACATCGACAGCTCCGAGTCTAGGGCAAGTCCTTGCGCCTCGCCTGCACGTGTGCTTCATCTATATCTACATCAACGCGGAAGGCTGTCCAGCGCTAATGGAGTTTGTTGAATAGGGTTGCAGGAAGTACAGTACAGTTACTGCACTGCTACTGTGGTCATCCTTGAAGCGCAGCGGTGTACTCGCCATGCTCCATCCGCATCATATACCGAACTGGTGTCCACCCCACGCGCGTCTGGAGGCAATACGTGTATCCCGACCCTTTGGCTCCGGTGCTCGAAGCCGGCGGTCTACTATACGCCAGTTCACTCAGTTCACTTTGCGGTGCTCCAAAGCCCGAGGCCACCGGGAGAGAACTGTCCCGGGGATACCCCAGCGATTGTCGCATGTGCTGATGCAGGGCATCGCTCTGTGACTCTGAATAGCTCGCATTCCGGTGCTAGGTGCTGCGCTTGCGCTGCAGTAGCCGTGATACTGATGTTGATTCTGATTGATAGATCTCTTGCGAGTCCTATGACTTTCTTCTTTTTAGATAACACAGATAACGAACGATTGCACCTCTTCGAAGGAGTGGGGTCACCGCGGGGTTTACGACGATCCTCTGTACGCTTCTCGGGCTTCTTCGAGCTTCTGAGCTGTTCTGTGTCGGTTGCGATCGAGGCCGCGGATGATTCGCGTTGTGCGACGGACCCCTGTAGTTAGCTGGTGTCTGGTATGACTGCGCACGCAGATCCCGAAGCGTGGAAGCGTTCCGGCGCCCAAGGTGTATTCATATACTCATCCGCCCATTATATGCGTCTCCCTCACTACGGGGCAGGCTATAGCTAGCAGGAGAGTCACGGGTACCGCACTAGCTTGAATGGATAGTGGAATGTGCTTACGTGGGATCGCCGCCACCGCCGTCGGTCAAGTTGCCGTTCTCATGCGTTCTTCTTTAAACAGCCATCGTGATGATGGATCTGAGTGCGTCGTGCTTCTTTCTGTGCGTCCATCTTTCTCAGTACCTTCTCTGTTCTTGTTTCTGCTAGATCCAACAGCCTGCCCGCGGATTATCCAAAGGCAGAGGCTATCTAGACGCTAGCGGGGGATTCCAAAGGTCAGCTAAATATAAGAAACACAGCAGCGCACGAGGCGTATCATGCCATCGCATTCGTCGTCATCAGGATCAGGACAGTGACTGTTTCCAATCTCTGCGTCTCTCACCATGCCAGACCCGGGAATAGCCTAGCCCGTATTCCTGGACCACAGATCCAAAGAAGAGCCCCGTGCTTCGACCCCTTGTCTGCATCTGGCGTCCCATTGATACTTATACTCTGTGTCCCGTCCGCTCCGCCTCTCCTCTCTCCTTGACTGTGCTCCTCTGCACCTCGTAACTGTACTACTAGGTCCCCCGTCACGTTCCCATCTCCCCCTTGTTCTCTTCTTCCCCCGAGAAACCTTCTACCTCTATCACTCCGACCATCCCTCTCAACCTTCGCGGGAGCAGTTATCCTGCTGCCCATCAACCCAGCATCGTCGCAATATGTCGTGGCTCAAAGCACGAGACTGGTCCTCGGGCGTCGAGTACTCCTCCCTCTTGAACTCGGGTCTGCGCGCTATCACAGGCCGTCGTCCCTCCTTCCCCACCGGCACCAACAGCAGCAGTCGACGTAACTCGACTGCCATCCTCTCTACCCCACCTTCGCGTGATGATGACTCGGGCAGCTCGAAAGTCAACCCCAGCGCACGGCACAACCGCCGCTCGTCGATCATCTCCCTTTCGTCGAAGCTCTTGACACGCGCACGGAGCTCGCCGCAGCGCAAGGGGAGTGCAACGGAGGGCTCGCCCACACCGCGTCCTGCCAGGAAGGAGAGGAAAGGCCCAGCAAATGGCGGCGAGAAGACCGTCAAGCCACGGCCGTCATCCATGTTCGTCCACGCGTCGTACCAGATCCCCGACCTGTGGCCCGTGCGCAAGGGCCGCTTCAGGTGAGCCGACCCGTGCCTCCCTCGCTCGTAGTAGAGGTATTAATAGCGCACGGTGCCCGGTTGTAGCTCGTTCAGCCCCGCCGCGTCGGACACGTACACGTTTGAAGAAGAGCTTGAGGGGCCAGAGTACGACGAGTCGGTGGACCCGTTTTCGTCTGCGCCCAATGCCAAGTCGTATATTCTCGATATACGCGCACTCGATATGCCTCCGACGCAACCGCCAAGTTCCCATGCGTGCTCTCCATCGCCGTCCCCCCGCGCACCCGCTGTGCTCTCGTCCTCGCCGATTCTTTCGCCTGAAGACCGCGCGTCGTTCCTCTCCCTTGCCCCGCCTACACCCGACACTTCATCCCCGTCACCGTCGCGCGTGCGCACGCCACCGCCACGGCGCGCACGACCGGTGTCAGCGCAGACGATGCCCGCGCTCAGAATGGGGCTCTCGTCGTTCTCATCTGTGCCGTCGTCGCGCCGCGACTCGGTGCACTATGGGTACGATGCTGCAACCGACGATCTTCACGACTCGGACGACGTGTACAGCCCGTACCCGGACCCACCACCGTACTACTCCTCCCACCCCCACTCCCACCCCCACCCTAGGGATAACGACGCCGGTGTGGTTCGTCGAGCACCGTGGATGCTCGAGGAGGACGAGTTCGAGACGAGCCCGGTCGACTGTGTGCCGCAGTACCACCGCGACGGAGACGCGATTGAGATTGAGGAAGTCAGCATGCTCGATCTGTCGGACGGCGAGGAAGACTATGATGATTATGACGGTGTGCTGCACGAGCGCGAGCGTCTGGCGGGTCAGCTCCGGGTCGGGCTTGGGCTTGGGCGTGGGCGTGGGCTTGATGGCGCACCGGCTGAATGGGTACGGGGCGGAGCTGCAGGGGAGGAGGAGGATTGGCGGCGGTTTCATGTTGAGGTGCTGCAGACGCTGAGGCCTGTGTTGTGATGTAACCGGGGTCGTGGTGGTCTCTGGCTCTGGCCGAGAGTCGAGAACCGAGAGTCGGGGTTGGGGGTCGGGGTCGAGAGGCTGTTTAGGTTTGCGACGGCTGCGATGGTGCGGTGATATGACTGCTGTGGTCATCCTTGTTTTTTTGGATAGTGCTTTGGATGAGGGTTGGATGGACGGAAAGAAGGGAGGGTGGTGGTGGCGGGGGTGATCAGTCAGCCGTGATACGACGAGTGCGGAGATCTGCAATCAGGCCTGCTCAGGTGTTGACTATGTGATCAAGCTCAAGGCTAGTGGGCCGACCGTTGCGCGGGACAAAAGCGTTGTATATATTCTTTCTCTCTCTTTTTCTTCTTCTTTTCTTTTCTTCCATGCAGTGTGCTATGTTTTTTCTTCTCGGATTTCACCTCCCATCCCCCATCGATATCTCCCATTCGCCATCTTTTATTCTTCACCTCCCACCTCATGCACGTACAGGATTCGCGATGTAAGTAAAACGCCTGATGATCACGATGATGATCAGCCCCTGCCTCGGGAGCCAGGATGATGTATCCCCATGTTAGCTTAGAACAGTAGTTGTATTCTCTCCACGTTCGAACGTCCCCATCAAGTGTTTCAGATACGCCTGCCTGTGTTTTGGTTTCTATCATTCCTGCTTCGTTTCTTCTAGGAATATGATTATACGAGTAAACGCTTTTATACTACTTATATTACTATTACTGTTTGCCTAGTAATTTACGCGCGTGTAGAATTAAATAACGCTTTTGCATGAAATTTTTATTATAAAGTGGATGTATATCAGTATGTACGGACGGGATCCGGAGGTGCACTCTGAGCTGTGGATAGATACTTCTAATATTGGAATATAGTTTGCTGTGATACCGGGGCGGTTGGGATCTAGGTTTATGTGGTACAGTGGGTATCTGATGTGATGAATTGGGTGCAGGTGTCGTATCGTTGGGGACGGGGGTGAGGCGGATCCGACGGGTTTGGGGTTTATGCATATGGTAGTACGGTAAGGCGAGCTAGCCAAGTGGGTGGATATCGACTATCGACAGTCTGGGAACGTGTTCGTCCCCTGCCAGGCGCGCCCGGGCTGGGCTTGGGTTCAGCCTTCAGCTTGTGTTAAATTTAAGGATCGGTGTGGCGGTGATCGCGTCGTTACTTGATGACGGCGGTGGGCCCTTTGGGGTTCTGGGGATGGTTCAGAACTTGGGTGCGTTGGTGCCGAGTCGGAGGTGTTGTTTTGGGCGTTGTGTATATGAGACGAAGCGTCGGTGGATTTTGCACGAATTTGAAGAGAAGTTTGGGTTAATGTTGTGTGGTGGTTGATCGGGACTCGGAGGTTGGTATTGATGGGTGTTGGGATTGCGAGTAGGTACTTGGGAGTGTGATACTTTGTTATTCGTGGGCCCGGCTAGTCAGAGATGTGTTCGTACTTGAAGTCTGATTAATGTCCGTCTTCCTAGCGGCGTCTGGCTGAGCACTATATATGTGTCGAGATTTACTCGGAAACTGGATATGCCGAGTCTCTGCAGAGCGTGAGCTCAAGTGGGCGTGACTCTCCGACGAGATGTTCGCCCGGACGGTGCCGTGGTTGACATTGACAGAGCGGAAAGGGAAAAATGGGAACGCACATCTGAACAGTGTACAGCACTTTTGCATTCATCCATATATGTCATGCTAGACGTTCCGTCACCGTTCATGTTCATTGGGCGTCGTATGCGCGGACGATGCTGCGTAACTGTATCACACGTGAATGCGGCCTCAGGGAGTTCCTCTATTGCCAAACATCTCCGGTGTTTTGAAGAGATCATTCATGTTGCGGCTCGTGACTGTGGCGGTACTGGAGGACGACTCGGACAACACGCGACGACCTGCGATACGATCCGGTAACGACCTACTTCAGAAACGGTGTATCATAGTATATGTAGTTGATCATCATGGGCTGGGCCGACATACGATGGGCAGCTTCAAGGCTGTACCCTCGCAGATGCGCCATTGATAGGCTGGCTCCGGGACCTTTGGAGGCAGGCACGGTCCCCTTTCAGTATTCTGAGGGTTCGGTCTCCTTTTACAAACGACTGAAAGCCCATTAGCTCTCGATCTCCGCGCCGCCGTGCCGCGTATCCTTTCATATGCACCCTTTCCTTTGCAGAGCGAGCATGTCGCCTTGTCTTGAGTCGGATGGCGGGGCCCAACACGACGGTAACCCTTGACTCTTGAGATCTCGAGGTGACAGCCGCTTGATGCGCGACTGGGAGCAGTAAAGAAGAAAAGAAAACCTTTACTCGGACTGGCGCATATTCGTACTATGTATGTTTTCCGTTTAATCTCGCCGTGGTCACCTTGAACCTTGTCGCCAGTATTTGATGACAATTTGATAGCATCAGTCCTCCGCTCAACGTTATCGCGCTGGCCGATTTTTGTCGCCGTAGTGCACAAAAGATGTGAAGCAGACAATGACACTCACAGCTTCAGCATGTTAAACGTTTTCAACGTTTCAGAAAACAATGCCAGTCGCCTTGGCAAACTTTGAAACCTGCAATTTAGCGTTGCAGTCAACGGGGAATGTAGGCACCGATGGCGGGACGCCAAGGGACGCCCGGAGCGGCCGGAGTGACGACAGCCGCAACTAGGCCCGCTGGCCCGGGATCGGGTATGTCGCTCGCTCTCTGTAGCCTCTGTGGTCTTGGCAGACGGCGAGGGGCCGACGTGTCGGAAATGGGGGGATGCTCTTGAAGGCGGCTCCACGAGAAAGCACGCGGACGGACGGACGGACGGACGGAGCCTCCTGTCGCGATCTCGGAACTACGTTCATCTCGGAGCCATGGATGCTTCGAAGCTGAATGTGAAGCTGGAGCTCGGAGGCCTCGCGTTGCCGCTGCATTTTTCTGGGTTTTAGGGGCGTTTGTATTCAGTTTATTGTACCGGAGCTTGGGCTGCTTCTTCGGATGATCAGTGTTTGCTGGCATGCCAGGGCATGCCGGACGACGGTGAAGGCGACGACGTCATTGCGAGGGACACAATGTCGCTGTGCCTTCTTCGAGTGTGGGTGCCTTAATGCTTGTAAATTGTATAGCACGTCAGCTCAAAATTGTATGGGTCTCACGGCGGGCCGTCGGCGGCGATGGTTTGAGTCGTTGACGGCGGCTTCTGATGTCGTCACCTTCATCATATCAGGGACAGGCGGGATGGACAAGGACAGATTCATCGGTGGAGAGCAGACAGCTGCTATAGATGCACGATGAATCGATGAACAGTCGGTCGTCATTTGCTATTGTGCTCGGTGGGCTTGGTATTGTGGTGTGGGACGAAGTTGCACGGTTAGGTGGGCAGAAGATTACCCGTTTTTTCCGCGTGAACGATTTGCGCGCGAAAACGCCGCACACGTCGTCGGCGACGAGGCGTACGCGATTTCCAGATGCGCATTTGGTCAACTTCTGTGAAGTGCTCGTCCGTTTGGCAGAGAACGTTTGAGTGGCAGATGCGCTTCGCTTGGACGCACGAGTAGGCTACTGGAACGTGTCCTGAATGGGGAAAATATTGACCTCGGCGCTTGCAGCTGGTAATTGCCGTCGTTGCTGTGTCAATTGGCTCTATCCAAGGCGACATCAAGCCATCGGAATCGGAGATGCGTGTCTTATCCGATTGGTTCATCGATGCGCCACCCGTGTTCACCTGACATTTTAGCCGCCTGGGGCACAGCCACTTGGAGTTACGTCACTTCTGAATTGGAAATGAGGGTCAGGACAGTCCAGGTATGCCCATCGGTTAGTGCATATCATCGGCCTCCATGACGCTGCTTTCGTGCCAAATACTGTCTCAGTCTATCCCCGACTCATTTAATTAGTGTCTGTCCGACCTCTGAACGCCTCTAAAACCAGAGAGAGTGGTCCGAAAGGACATCATAAATTTTCAAAACGGATAGAGCGGCATTGATCGGCACGTCAACGCGATGAGTCCCCTCGAATTGTCTCCCATGTGGGGAACGTTTTCGGCCAGCGCTTGTGTGTGCTCACTCCCAATTGCAATGCACCGTAAAGGACTGGGAATTTATTGGATTTGATCAACGGGATCACCGTAGTGGAGCCCTTCTGACACTCCAAGACTGCATAAAAGCGGTGGCGCTGTTCGAAAACTCAGAGCTCACAACCGCCCCTTCTCCCCCTTCCATCCCTCTTGACAATCGTCCCCCTTCCGCTCAACGCCACTATTTTCCTCCCATAACAAGAGCGCCTCACCATGCCTTCCTTCGAGGAGAAAGATTTGCACAAGCACGACGCAGAGAAGCAGGAGGACTCTGTGTCCATACAATCCGCAAAGTCAAGTCACGCCGAGGGCGTCGGCAGGGACTATGAACTCAAGTGCATGCTCAGTGAGTCTCCCATCGTTTACCCTCGGTCAACGAGTCCTTATCGTCGCACCTCGCCCTTATCACCAACGTTCGTCAGTCAACAAATGTCTGCAGGAAGAGTAAGTCGCCGTTCCGGCCCATGCGATTGGTCCCTGTTGCTCACGTGTGTCTTCCAGGATCGGTTTCGGTCGCTACCAGTATCAGCTCTTCATTCTCGCCGGACTGGGATGGCTAGCAGACAGTGCGTGGTTTATCGTTGCTCTTCGTCCCTTGTAGGCTCACCATCATTCTCTCGCTAGACCTGTGGCTGCAGGGTCTCGCCGTCGTCCTCCCACAAGTCGAGCAGGAATTCAACCCGAGCCAGATCGAGTACGCCGTCCTCGCTGAGTTTGCCGGTCTCATCTGCGGCGCGACGACGTGGGGCATCCTCGCGGACGTCATCGGCAGACGGCTGTCGTTCATGGTGAGTACAATTTCCAATAGCGCGTCCGCCACTGTCGCTGTCGCCCGGTTCGCGGAGCTAATAGCCGTCATCGTTGGCAGATCACTCTGTTCCTGGCCGGTGTCTTCGGTCTCGCAGCCGGCGGTGCACCCAACTTTGTCGCGTTCTGCTCGCTCATTGCCTGCATGGGCTTTGGTATCGGTGGAAAGTGGGTCATCATCTCTGTAGCCTCCGAAATTTGGAGGCGCTAATGGCCATTATCACCCCACTGCTCACAGCCTGCCCGTTGATGGAGCGCTCTACCTTGAGGCGATTCCTGCATCGCACCAGTGGACCCTCACGCTGCTCTCGGTTTGGTGGGCAATTGGTCAGCTGGTTTCATCACTGATCTCGTGGGGCTTCATCGTAAACTACTCGTGCGACACGTCGATACCCGCGGGCCAGTGCCCACGGTCCGAGAACCCCGGCTGGAGATACACCATGTGCGTCACTAGCAGAACTGAATTGTTACCCCGCATGACGAGGCTGACCGATCGTTCTTCGTGGCTGACAGCTTCACCCTCGGCTCCATTACCCTGCTGATGTTCATTTCGCGCTTCTTCATCTTCGACGTCAAGGAGTCGTCCAAGTACCTCGTTTCGCAGGGCCGCGACGAGGAGGCGATTGAGGCACTCGAGCACATGGCGAAGCTCAACGGCAAGAGCATCACGCTCACCCTGCAGGACTTCAAGAACATCTCTGAGGTCGACCGCTCGCGCCCGCCCATGTCCAACCTCGAGATTGTCAAGGAGGCCGTGACGAGCATGTCTCTGTGAGTACATCCTCCCTGCACACCAATGTGGCTCATGAACGTTCTGTCACGCCATAGCTCGCACATCAAGCCTCTCTTCACGAGTAAGATCCTCGGCATCAACACGTCGCTCATCATCTTCATCTGGGGGCTCATCGGGCTCGCCTACCCGCTCTTCAACGCCTACCTCCCGCTCTACCTCGCCGCGCAGGGCTCATCGTCCGGCTCGGGCTCGCTCGACGAGACGTACCGCAACTACGCGATCATCTCCGTGCTCGGCATCCCCGGCTCGCTCATCGCGTGCGCCGTAGTTGACTGGACACGCGGTTCCTCGGGCTCGCGCTTCTTCATCGGCGGCCGTAAGCTGTCGCTCGCGGTCTCGACCGCGCTCACGGGCATCTTCCTGTTCCTGTTCACGACGAGCCACAACGCGGCGGCTGTGCTCGGGTGGTCGTGCGCGTCGGGGCTGACGCAGAACGCGGTACGTGGGCTATGCTTGTGGGTTGGGGGCTGACCGTTTATGTTTGCATGCCTACTTTCTCCTCTTCCGACCCTCCCTCCCCTATCGCCCGCCCATTGACAATCTGTGTGATAACGGTTGGTCGTTGGTAACTGTAGATGTACGGTGTCCTGTACGCGTACACGCCCGAGGTGTTCCCCGCGCCGCACCGCGGTACGGGCGACGCGCTCTGCTCGGCGCTGAACCGCATCGGCGGGTTCATCGCGCCGCTGATTAAAATTGCGACGACGCCCAAGAACGGCGGCCTGTCTGCTAACGCGGCTAACGGACCCGTGTTTGTTTCCGCAGCGCTGTTCATGGTCTCGGCCTTCCTCACTGTGCTCCTCCCCATCGAGGTTCGTCATTCTTCCGCTCCTTTTGTGCGTCTCGGATGGCTGATAATTGGTGTGCCTGTAGACTGCAGGGAGGTCGGCACTGTAACGACGTGTACTCGACTCACGTTTTTCCCTATGTATGTATCTTCGACGAGGTGCTGTTGTGTCCGAGATGTGGATGTTCACGAGGGGTCCGTATTTATACCTCATACCCCCTGTAATACCTTGTTCTCTTTCGCCTCTTTTTTTGCCGTTGCATCCACCCTATTGCATACCCGCACGCCATCCTCCCCTCCCCTTCGACACTGCCGCCTGTCCTATCCTTCCTTCCTTCCTTCCGCCCGCGCCACCATCGCATCGCCATCGCATCGCTCCACGCCCCGTCTGCAGGTTGATACTTTAAAAAGTACTTGTTTTACTAATTTGTATATACCCATCGCAATGCCATGTAGTAGCTACGGATATGCATGCCAGCTGACTTTCCTGCCATCGTCTTTTGCTGATCATGTTCGTGGCGATCGTTGAGCGTGCCACAGTGTTGCGTGTCTTCTTGGTTAAAGTATTGCTCTCACTATACTCAGGAGTGCTAAAGCGCTGATACTGCTTCACACTATAGCTTCATCGAACCGTTCAAGTTGGGCGCGCTGAATGGCCTTTGAGACTCATTCCTTCATCATCTGTGGGATATGTATATGAAATTACTTTCACTTCTTTCCCCCGGGATCTTGGGGTGTACAGTAGAATAGAGATACATGTATACCTCCATGGCTAACTAGACTTTTCATGCCTCACTCCCCACTCTCTTCTACAGCAAAGTCCTCTGACAGGCAAACTTGGAACATTCCGGCAGACCTCAGATTGTCCATGGTAGGCTCTTGTACCTCGTCGAGTTGTAACCGTAACACCGGTTTGCGATTGGAGAGCCATAGCATCTCGAGCATGCCCACGCTGCTGACTACCAAAGTGTCTTTGTCGCGCCGAGCCCCTGCAAGAACCACAGCGAGTAAGAGCATGATGACGGAGGCACATAATCCAAAGAGTATCTGTCAAATGTGTGAGTGTTAGAGCCTGGGCGTTTTTGAAATGCGTGTCATAAAGACCGAGGAAGCTTACAGGAGTCAAGTTGATCTGCGGATGAAGAAGGTGAATTGGTGCGATAAACTCGAGTGCGAGATATGCCAAACACTGAGACGCAAAACCAGGACGCTTTGAGAAACGTTTGCACCTCCTATTTCTGGTTCATAACCGCCCTGTGACAGTTGTGCCGCTATACGTGGATGTTTCGTTGTAATGAAACGGTTTAGTATGCCCAGTTGAAATACATACCAACCCAAAGTATCATCGCCGCAATCCTCGCTAGCGCGCTTTCAAAGTCCTCCAGCTTAAGTGAACATGAAGGGTAACCGGGCAGTTCGCCTCCATGAGCGGATTGAGCCTCTAATTATTAATGTCAGCAGGTAATTCCAAAGTGATAGTCTCAAACGTGTACTGCAGGATGTTTGCGTTGAGTACGTTGAGTGATATGCATGGTGCTTTCGAGCTCCCAGATTGTGCTGTGTGCTCAGCGGGAGCGGCCGCAGGGCCAGCGATGGCGTCGAGAGCAGGAACTTTCTCGTGCAGAATCAGATCCTGGAACGAGACCGTCAGGCGCATCTCTGCGTGCAGCCACCGGCTTGAGACGACGGCGGTATGGTAGTTAGGCGGGGCGGGGTCGAACATGGCCCACGGGCTGCGGGACGTACACCAGGTCCGTGACGAGCGCGAAGCCTCCGAGCGTGAGCTGGAACAGTTTCAGCCCGACTACAATAGCCATGCTAACCAAGAACATTTTACCTACGTGATGAATCCTTCCGCCCACACCAACACGCTATACATGTGCAGGGTTGGGGTCGGGATGAGCCTCCTGTATGCGGGTCTTTGTTATGAAAGTGAAAAGAGAGAAGAACTCACGATACGCACGATGTGGTCATACTCAGCCAGCAAATCTGATCAGCCTTGGCGCTGTTAGCTATGGGTGTTGGACAATGCTGGATGACGTCCGAAGATATCGGACGATGTCGGGCAATGTCGGACGATGTTGGACGACGATGTTGGACGATGTTGGACGATGTTGGACGATGTTGGACGATGTTGGACGATGTCGGAGATGTCGGATGACGACGATAGGGTGCGTTGGACGATGTTGATGTTGGAAGACGACGATGCGTTGATGTGATCGGGAAGTCGGGGCCGGGGCGGGACACATGCTCCCGAGGGCTCGGTGCCAAAGTCTGGTATTCGTTTGAAAGCGGTGGGCGGGCCGAATTGCCGGAACTCTGAATCGGTCTAGACTCCATAGGCCACGCGAGGCCCAGGAGTTAGACTTTAAGATAACCGCCGATCGAGAATACTTTGAATGCGAGAGCGTGACAGTGGCATGTGTGACATCATTCTTCATGATAATGACAAGACAGCTATGTTGATTGTTATGATGAAGATATCTTAAACCCGCTAAGAGAGTGCTTTCAAATAGTTTTCAAGTAACACGCTGTCAGATACGGACAAATTATTGAAAAGTACCGGGACGACAGCCTTCAATAATTTTAAAGATAATTACTGCAGGGTTATCAAAGACCAAATTGACGGTTTGGGTTAGGATAAGTGCCATCCCTTTATTGAGAAGGTTATCGGATAATTATTCAAAGCGGCATCTTTAATAGTGTCAAGATAGCACCGCCGGGGTTATCAACAACATTATCCAAAAGCGGCTTCAGAGTAACGTTCACGATAGCATTTCAAATAGCCAAGGCATTGTTACTTGAAAGTCTGTCAGACCTGTCTCTGATACGGTTTCTGATAATGAAAAACTAATTATTTTAACCCGGGAAGTCCCGTTCACTCTATTTATTACGATATATTTCAAATAAAATGGTCACTTTTACTAAGAAATGTTTCCAGTGAGAACGGTGCCAAGGGGGTAATAACCGGGATCCTCCGAAGAAGCCATTAGTGTGGGAGAACTGTACACCACCTTCCCACAGCGTGGCTGTGCTGCTAGGAAGGTTGCTCGAGAAGGGGTTGCGAGTGCGTATAAGCCGTCCAGGGTGCGACGCTTAATTTCATTGTTATTTGTCTTTTCTTTCTTTTTCCGTGACTGACGATGTTGATGGACGATTTTTCAGCGGGTCATCCTCTCTCGGAGATGGAGACAACGCAAGAACGTGCAAAATAGGGTTTTTTTCCTCTCAACTATGGACGAGGTTCAGCTCGTCGCTGGCGAGCTCGGCCACACTACGAGGGTTTATCATCTCGCACACGCGGTATTTCAGTGTCACTGTGCATACGGAGATCAAGATATGTATTGCCGCGTGCAGTGTCGGACAATGCCGGGGACTTCGGCGCGCCGTCGCATGCTATCTTCAACTTTTCGCCAATGTAAACCCCTCGATGTTTCTCCCGCTACAGCTGCTCATGACGATTTCACTTCACGGTTCGCACCCGCCAGATATGGATATCCACCTCCAAAGCTTCTCCATTCCAAACCTCTCTTCGCTCATGATCGCCATGCCCAGGCCTGTGTACCTCTCCATCTCTCGCTTGGACTGACAATGACCTTGTCGTGCTTGCTCACGGTTTCCGCTACATACTACGAGGCTCTCGATGCGCGGGACAAGTACATTGTCGAGCGGCTGTTCCAGTCTGATGCCCTTCAGGTACATCATCATGAGCGTCCAAAACTACGAAGGCAAGGTGCACCGCTACGTCGGCTACCCGGTGGTGGACGCTCTCCAGATGATGGGCCGCGCACATTGCCCGCGCGAGGATGACCGGAGCCGCTGCGTGTTGATGATACAGCAGACGCGGACGGAGTTCTACAAGGAGTTTGAGGCGACTTACGGTGGCGGTGGGCGCAGCAGCATCACGACATTCACAAAGGTCCAGACGCAGGTGCCCCAGGTGCTCTATATGTTAGACGAGGCCGTGTTCATCGGCGTGCCGACGGTTTCAGACGAGGCGATCTGCGCGAAGCTCGCGCTGTTGAGGTTATGAAGTAAGGGGCGGTAAGGGGGTGGATTTAAGGTTGCTCGAGAAATGGGATCTATTTACTCAACTCGTGCGTAAGGCCATGCTATAGACGCATACTTTTAGTCTTCTAATCGCAGAGTCAAGCGACAAAGCAATGTAAATATTGTTCCCTAATTCTTTGGCGATCAATCGATCAAAGTCAACCAATTTTTGCCTTAAGTGGGTTGTACGAGTGCCGAAGAGTTTGGTGCTAAAAAGAATATATTCTATATATCATCCTATGTATTCTAAAACTGATTTACGACTACATGTCCGTGGTCTTAGACACAACGCTCTTCGCCTCCTCTACCATACTCCTCAAAGTAATATTGGGAATTGGCCTTACAGTGATGCAAGTACGACAGCACGGGCATCTGAGCTCAGGCTGGGGCAATCCAGCGTCCCTTAGTGCATGTGCGGAGAAAGCTATAATGTCGTTCATGACATTGGGTCCAGGATTGCCTTCTTGATGATGAGGAAGGATGAGATTGGTGCGAGTAGCAACGTAATCTCGCGTCGCCGTGTATATCATGGACAGGTAGCAGTCGTGACACATGGAATGCCCGCAGTTGCGCAAGCTATAATCAACTAACTCAGTAAATAATACTAATGGAAGACAAGAAACATTACATGTGCGGATTTATCATCCATTCCGTACATATCATGCAAGAAAGGTTATTCCTTAACAGTCTAATCACCTGCGTCACCGCGGACCGGTGAGACAAATCACACAAACATACTATAGAACACCTTACCTCAGTCAAGGTCACAGAGTCGCTGCTCGGGTTTGAAGAATTATGGGTGGTCACAATACTCTTTGAGACCACTTCGAAGTCTTCCAAAGCCTCGACAGTCTGAATGCCATCATCCATCAGCACTTCCGGGTCCAGACACCCTCGTACATGCGAGCGTACGCACCACGGGTACATCGTTATCGGCGAGCTGGCCGGCCGCATGGTCTTCCCCCACAAGGACCCATGCAGCGTCCCCGCTCAATGAGGCCAGCGGTCCATCGGCGGAAAGATTCTCGCCACGAAAACTAGGAAGAGAGTGGCTGTACGCGAGATCGGACATGCACAGAGGAGGTATGCGAATGATATGAAGACAACCTTGATTATATCCGTCCTTTATATCCTCGTCTCTACATGCAGGGTTACAAGGACAGACCGTCACAAAGAGTTCCGCTCGCTTAACTCTTACGATGCGCCAAAGCAGCTTTCGTGTCTTGTCAAAGGGCCTTTTTAGAGGTTAGAGCTAAAATAGATCGCTTGTCCCGAGCTGCAATGGACCAGACCCTTTCACGATACGTCCCTGTCCAGGGTCATCTAAATTTACTTCAAAGAACAAAAGGGCTCGCTTACCTTTCATGATGCGTTGAGAAGCCGCTTAGGTGTCTCGTCAAAGGGGAAATCAGGGTCAGAACCAAAATTTCCAGATGTGGAGAACCTCACCGACGACTCTTCCACTGTGTGAAGCCGCGCTAAGCTCAAATGCGGGGCACATGCTAAGGTCCTACATCCATATGAACACAAACTTGCGTGGAGCTCTAAGCTGAAGCGCTGAGGGGCCAAGCTGTGGGGTCGGGAGATGAAGCAAACAGAATCAGTGCCGGCTTAAGACTCATGTAATGCAACGCAATGATTGGCGTCGCGGGTTGATCGGGAGCCAAAAGGATGGCCTACTACAATAGTAGCCAGCGTATTGTCCCTGACCGACGCAAACGCTGGTCCATCAACGCTGGCTGCAGCTGTTTTTCGAATATTCATACCGAATTTGTACTCACGGGAAGTGCCTTTGGCGTAAGATATCTAGCATGACTGCTTCGCGAACCAGTAGACGGTCGAATGCATACGCTCGTCCACTGCGTCGAGATCGCGCACGAGCGGTCCATACATGGAAAGCATTATCGGGACAGTGAAGAGGTTGGTTGACAGGCGAAGGGTTGACATCCACTAGACAATGGAGAACAACACGCCCCTCAGGGGCGTGACAAGCCGAGTGGCACGACCTGACCCTCTGAAAGGCAGCCTAGACTATATAATAAGTCTTTTACCTCCCAAGTCTCGTCAGCATTTTTCGATCCTTAGAACTTCCATGCACCGTTTTGATGACAGCGTCATGGCCGTGCGACGCCATGCAGGCAACATTCAAGCTCTCGGAGAAGTCAGAGCTATCATCACTCAGGAAGGTAAGAAGCAGTTCTCGGTACCGATTTCGCTGGACAAATATTCAACAAATATTCACTTGTCTGTTATATGCAGACGAACTAGTCTTGTGCACCGGCGTACGCTCGCATTTCTTCCAGACTGTATCGAACGATTGGGCCATCTATCCACACCCACCTAGATGCATTCGAGTAAGCGCCAAACATACAACTCCCAGTGGCAATATAGCTGATCGTTTAGGCTGTCGTACCAAGGTGGAACATTGATATCAGAGAAGACGGCGTAGTGGTCGACAGGTGGACGCTCGGATTCAATTCCTGGGAGGCACATGAAGAATTTGGTGAAATTGTATTTGACTGCTGGTGGGCCAGCCGTGGTGCCGCTTCACGCTGTGTTATAGATGACAGTGAGACCGAGTATTTGCCGTTGTATAATGAGGATGAGGACGAGGACGACGCAAACGGTACGCAGGAATTCAAAGCTGGGAGGGGATAGTATTGTTACCGGGTGGACATGGTAGATAGGTGTCGGACTGTAACTGCAATCTCAGAACCATTAGCTTGTGATCAAACATGATGACATGCTCAAAAGCAGCGCGATAGGCGGCATAGGCATTCCAAGGAATGTCTTCTGTAGTTTCCCCATTGATACAGTGATCGCACCCCGTGAAGGGTGGGCTGGTCGGGATATGTGAGTCACTGAGCTAAAGGAAGACTCAACTCGTGCGTGCAACCTCACCAAGTGTAGAAGTGGCCCTCAAGTTGCATTGTGATCCAATTTTGCATGCCTTGCCTTCGGCGAGCTCCGTCCCCAAGACGTTTGATAGTTTACAGTCACACACGAACGACCACTAGAGTGTACCATGTTTCCGCCGTTACGTGAGGCAAATATTGGGCGCACCTAGACAGCAAGAATGGTTTTAAAGTCAAGCTCGAACCGGCACTAGGCAAACCGATTCGGGCAGGCTCACGTTGAGCTCAGCAGCTAACGGTGACAGAGCCTCATTAATTACTAAGACAGAAGGACTTAAACCAAGCGACGGTGCATTTATTGGGTTTTTGGGAGGGTAAGTTGTAGTATACACATATGATCAAGGTGAATACTACCAAGGACCTAAGCACTCTTTCCGTCGAGCTCCAAACCCGATTGCTTACCTTGGCTTGCCAACGTGGTAGTAATTGATTGCTGGCACCTTTGGACCACCTGCACGGTCGCCGTCAGCGCTGAATCTTCTTCGCTATCACATATAGCGTCGCACCTCGATCAATAAAATGCAATCGCTTCCCCCGAGTGCATACCCGGCCCGTCTGCAAGCGCTAATATAGCACCTGCTTCCCGAAAGACTCACGGCTCCTTGCCAGGTGTTTACCTGGGCTTCACTCGTCGTACCACTCACGAACAGCCGGGCCTGGAATCTGTAACCTTCCGAGGCTAGGTGGAACTGGCCCTGTATACTAATGGGGCGACAGTGCTCACGGAGTGAACAATGTAAATTAGAGGCCGGTACAGAGAGGTCATCGCCGGGCAAAGCTTGGGGGGAGTCTACTGGAGGGAAAACATCGCGTTATTCGAGATCTAGATGGCGGTAGAGGTCTTGTGGAGCTGACGGGATCGAATGCGTCTACGGGCTGGGGAATCATTGGCGACAGATGCGGCGGGCTCGACGGTTGAGAGTCGCGTGTGAAGCGGGAGCATAGCCAGCGTTAAGGCCAGAGGCAGGGGATGAGGAGAACGGGAGGTGAGGTCGGTGTCAGCGGTCGAGGGTAAAGTTTGACTGCAACAGCATACCGCGCGCATGTGCATGAGGCTTCTGGTGCCTCCCTCGACCGTTGTACCCGTGTATATGCCCGGTGTATCCGAATCCCCTCCGATGTGTGTGGAAGTGGAGTTGACCTCAACGAGCTCGACAGGTGTATTGCAAGGAGAGGCCCTGGTTGTGCCGGGGTACACGAGCCGGGCAAGGATGTATGGAGATAAGGCGGTTGAGGTGAGAGGAGGACGGTGCGAGGGAGATTAATGCACACGATGGATAATGTCATTATAGTGCACACATTGACAACGATGGGGGTTTGCGGGTGGGCCGAGAAGTTGCGGGGAAGGAAATCAAGGAGGCTGTATGGCTGAGTGCTGGCTTTGTGTGATGTCGGAGCGAGCTTCCACGTACCGAGCCGCTGCCTTGCGTGATCCATCCAGGGTATATTCGAGGAGGTGCGGAAGCAATAATACAACCCCCCCATCCGCGTCATCCCTCCATACACTCGATACCATGGGCTCTTCATCCTACCCCCTGGGTCGCCTCCTTAACGTATGTTGTCCTCTTGACCTTATCCCTAGTACTTCCACTGACAATACCCTAGGTTCGCCCTCTGTAAACCCGCATACGTATATACTCAGTCTCGCCATCTGCAACGTTGTCAGGGTTTTCGTGCGGGCTCCCTGTGGCAGCTTACCTGAGTCTCTACACTTACGGATTCACTACCAAGGTGGCGCTCAGCTACACGTTGATTGCAGCGCGGGCCAACGTCTGCAAGCCTTTCTGGTCAGTCCAGTTCTCAGCACCTCGACCCGAACTTTCATATACTGATTGATAGAAACAACACTAGGAATATGCGGTACTCGATTTACCGATAAATATCTACTCGCGCCAAATGGCTAGCACCATGGTCTCCCTTGTCATATCCCTGCTCGAGCGTAAACTTCCTTCGCCAACGTTGTCGCTTGCTTCTCCTACACCGCAAGGTTGCGATAGATTTCGCTACCTTCAACGCACCCATGAACGCGTGTTCACCACTACCGTTGCATCCACTCCTTTCTCATTCGCCGGCAGGAAGGCTGCTTTTCATTTACTAAAACGACGAAGTCCGCCAAATGCCAGCCATGGGAAGGATAAAAAATGCAAGAGGAGGGCTCTTCCTAGTACTGTCAGTGTCTACCTGGTGATAACGCTACCGGCGTGATCATCACGTCCTCGTCATACAGCGGCACATATTCCTCTGCCTCAGCGTCGTCTAGAACGGTGCTAGAAGTGGCATTTATGGCTAGCCCACTAGGCCTCGGGTAAGTAAATAATGCGTTCGGCACATATGACTATTGCTTACCTTCCTGCGTGATGATAGCCCAAACTTATCCTATCGTATGGATGCTGCCTGAACGGTCATGGCCCGTCGAAACGATTCATGGGTTCTGTAAGTGTCCAAGGAATGAAGAAACGTCGACTTGAGCTAGGAGAAGGTATTATATGAAATAGACACCTGTTCATAACGGCGATGCCACTGCCTTTGTCAATTTTGTTATGCTACCGAGCTATTTACAAACCTGAGGTCGTTTGCTCTCCATTGTCTGCTGGATGGCAAGATCCTTTCCATAGCTACCTTATTCGCTCCCTTTTTAATATTTACCTGACGACCGTGGACTCATGGACTACTTCCGCGTTCACCGACTTAGCGGACAAGGCACTCAAGATGACTAATGCACGGTCGAGTCTGTTTTTGCTTGGTTTTCGCTCTGTTTCCCCGAAGCTGCTGGAAAGTGCTAGAACTGTAGAACAGCTTGGTTGTAGCAAGCCAAACGGCCACGTGATGTATTCGCCTCCGCGGGCCGGTCTTCCATGAGCTCCATCCCCCTTCTCCCATGTCGCTCTCCTCTCAGACTCCGGTGACATAAGCTACGTCGCCTCGCGTTCTCTCGAATTGGAGCCATGTTGGACGTCAAGCATCGAACACTATAACTGCATGCTGCTTCTCATCAGACATATGTAATGAGGAACGCGCTCGTTGTACAGGCTTGCTCCGTCGCACTTGTGGAACGGCAGGCTCCTGAGGAAATCAGAGTAGAAGGACTAGAATCAATTGGTGCGTTTTTGACCCTCATCCAAGTCTTCTTCCCCCTTGAGTGACTCTACGCTTATACCCCTTTGAACTCGGCAGACCGTTGCAACGATGGTAGTCGATCGAACAAAAGAAACAAACAGCAGAGTCTAAGCGGCCTTATTTGATTTTAACCCCTGAGCTTTTTCCCTTTGACGAGACGTCAAGCAGCATCTAGCCCTGATATTTTCCCTTTCACGAGATGTCAAGGCATCTCAACGGACTGTGAAAGGTAAGCGAATGGAGGCCTTTGTCCTTTCAACCAGGAATTTTCCATATTTCTTTCTAACCCTGCACACTAGCGAGTACTTAAAAGCTCCTCGCAGATGCTCGAGGTTACTGTCTTTTCGTCCGCTCATCCCTCTCCCCTCCATCCTTCTGTATGTCTAATCTACCGTCCAGCAACAGCAGTCCCGAGACTGTCCGTGACCATCATCACATCAGCACCACGATCGCATCGCTCACCGTGTCGCCAAATCTCGCTGCGGAAGAGCTGACGGCTAGCGAGGCCGAGGACGGTTTTGATTTCGAGGTCCTCACGTCTTTAGTAAGTATAATGATACAATGACGTTCGGAATTAAACGTACTAATGAGCCATGCCGCCATGCCTTCTAGAGCATCGAGGACTTGGAAGGCTTTGAAGAAGACTCAGAGCAGCAAGACCATCCTGACACCACTAACGGTGATACCGCCGCCTTTTCCGAGGTGAATCTGTTTTAAAACAACGAAAAAATGGGATGTCTAGCTGATCTACCCACGCTTTCCGTCCTCCAGGTGATTCGTGTGCTGAAAGGCAACCTCACTTGCATGATATGCTCTGAGTGGTTGAGCGACCCGTACATGTAAGCCTCTCAATTTTTGTTAGGTTTTTACTTACATAACGGTGCCGGGATATCTAGATTGCGTAACTGCGGGCATTCTGTTTGCAAACGCTGCTACCTCTCCATGATGTATACCACGACTCGAGACCACGTTGCGGCTCGTACTCGCTTCATCCTCCCTGATCATCACAGAGGCAACTTCAGTAACGAGGTCATTGAGCATATTATGGGCGTCTGTTCAGGGGCGTTGACGGCGGCTGGGTTGCCCCAGCCCGAACTCAAATGCCCTGGGTGTCGCGCACGCGTTACTTTCAAGCCCATTCCTAACATAGCCCTGCGGAATCTGGCAGAAGAGACGTGGAACATCTTGTTGCAAGTCAGGGATAATTAGCGTAGTCGTATAGAAAGACTGTTGATAGATCGCCAGCATGGTGCATAGAATGATAAACTTTAACATCGTAGACTCTCTGGACGTGAAGGAACAGAAGTGCGACCACTTGCACGACGACTCGGCGCTGTACGCCTCGCAGGGCAGGAACACGACCTCGCGGACTTCTTCTCGTCGCAGCAGGGCCTGCCGCTCGTACAGGGCACTCGCGCGCGTTGGTCTATCAAGGAACATCCATCCTCCCTTGCTCGAGATATGCCACAATTGGGATTGTCTCCTTCGCACTGCCAGCACCGGTCAAAGCATCACGCGAAAAGTATATATGAGATCATGTAGCACGGAAAACGGCAGAGTGACTGATGTGAGTGAGTGAGGAGCTGGGGTTGGTGGTCATTCCGATGCATATGTACAGCGGGTCACTACATTTTAAAGACAGTCCTAGATATATCACCTTGGGAGATTCTGGTCGCCTGCCATTGCATCAACCCTCCCCATCAAGCTCCAGCGAATTCGCACCCCTAGCATCACATCGCTATTTTGGTGCGTGGACAGCAACACAGTACCCAGTTTCGATGCTGTGAGGTCTGTTCAGTGCGTCCATAACAAGCATCCCGCCTCCCAGGTAAGAGGTCCACCGAACCAGGAGCTATTTGGCGTCCAAAGTCGCTGATGCTAACCTAGTAGAAACTATCCACGGTTCGGCATTCCGATGAGGATGGAGAGGGGCTCTAGATGGCGAACAAAGGGGTACGCTTGTCATCCGTTGTCTGATCACTGTGGAGGAATAGGATGTGCACACAAAGTGGAGAGGGAATATTGGACGAGTCCGGCCTGGGGTTGAATGAGTAGAGGGGCTGTCGCTTGGGGCTAGGACTAGTACTTACACTACGGCGATTAGCGTCTGCAACAGCTTCGTCCTATCTTCGACCTCCATCTCCATGACGTCGTATACGGATTCGATGCTCTAATCCATACATCGCTTGACGGCGTCCGGCTCGGAATGAGGCATTTGTTTCAACGGCAAACCCGTCTCCTATGTCGCGGCCCGTCGCTCCAAGTGCTTTTAGCCACGCATTGCTATTCATCACATCCACGCACGCGTTGAGATTGAGCACCTTCTCGAGACAATCGCCTGGTCTGTGGCAAGGTCCGGCGGGAGCTGCAGGAGCAAGAAGTGCGCTTGGAGGAGAAGGAAGGGCTTGACTCGATCGAGTTTGACGGGAATGGTTATAATATTTGACGAAGGAGCACGTCCTTGCGATACATAGGGATAGATCCAAATTCAGCGGAGGAAGCGACGACCTCGTGGAGACCCTTCATTGAGCAAAAGAGTATAGGCCCTCGACAGTGACCTCTATTAATGCTTGTGTCAGCCAATGCGATTATGATACACCATACGAACGAGACTCACATACAATGTTACAGTACGCAGAAATCATGTCGAGATTGAGTAAGGACATCCAGTTTCGCCCACTGTAGATACATCTGTCAGAAAACGAAAGCCGATGAACGAATATTAAAGAGACTAACCGATCGAGATACACTTCGAGTTGGCCCAGTCCCGCAACGTGTTCTCGACGAGCTCCGGCCAATGATCGGACAGATGCTGGTGGCTGACGTTGCGCAGGTTGAGAATATCCTAAATAAATACTGTTTAGCACCCAGCCACCTCGACGCCGACAACGCCATAAGGGGGGAAACTCACCATCGCACCCTGTTTATCCTCGATCGTCTTCACTGTGGCCTCTGCCAAGAAATTCGTGCAGCATGTGCGTTGAGAGGTGACTTTGATCAACAGCCCTCCGCCCAATAAATTTTGTAGAATTCTTCCGCGCTTGCTGCAGCATCAGCACTCAGTGGCTCCGGTCATAATTACGCGGGCAATACGCACAGCCCATCATCTGCAGCACGTCCACGACCGGGTAGTCGATGTAGCGGTGCTCCTTGCCCTCGTATTACTGTACACGCATGACGTCCGTGTAACAGGCGACAGGGATCCTCTATGCTGTGTCCTTGGATGCGACGAGCACCTGAATGGTGCCAGACTGGAGAAGCCGCTCGACAATGTACTTGTCCCGCGCATCGAGAGCCTCGTAGTATGTAGCGGAAACCGTGAGCAAGCACGACAAGGTCATTGTCAGTCCAAGCGAGAGATGGAGAGGTACACAGGCCTGGGCATGGCGATCATGAGCGAAGAGAGGTTTGGAATGGAGAAGCTTTGGAGGTGGATATCCATATCTAGCGGGTGCGAACCGTGAAGTGAAATCGTCATGAGCAGCTGTAGCGGGAGAAACATCGAGGGGTTTACATTGGCGAAAAGTTGAAGATAGCATGCGACGGCGCGCCGAAGTCCCCGGCATTGTCCGACACTACACGCGGCAATACATATCTTGACACTGGGGGCAATTACCCATGTTTTCGTAGAAAACATTCAAAATGTTTTGATGGTTACCTTCCTAATTGGGTAGGTTACTTTCCAAATATTGACATGTTTCCCCTGGAAACATCGTCTAATGCCCCCAGTGTGATCTAATCCCGCGTGTGCGAGATAGCGTGCGACGGCGCGGCGTTCCCTTTGTGCAGTCCTTTTACACGTGCTGCGCTCTTTTGAGGTTACACTGGGGGCATTAGTCGATGTTTCCAGGGAAAACATGTCAAAAACATTCAAAATGTTTTGCTCAAAATTCCAAATTTGGAAGGTAACCTTCCCAATTAGGAAGGCGGCCCTCAAAACATTTTGAATGTTTTCTACAAAAACATGGGCAATTGCCCCCAGTGTTATGTGAAGCGACATCACACCCATCCACTCACCCGAGTCCCACCACGCGGCGATACACGTCTTGATCTCCGTCTGCGCACCGACATACCGCGTACGCAAGATGAAGTTGCGGGGCGCAAATGGAGATGAGGACGGCACCAACGGTGTAAGATTAGGTAGGAGTTACACACTGGGATTGTATGCTTCGATTGCAGACACCATAATTCCACATATACCGGTGTAAGAACCCAACTCTGGAGCAAAAGATAAGCCAGTGGGAGTCAGGAGGTATTGGTCCCGACGCTTATGTAATAGCATCCGCTGGCTTGCTCTCCCGCTTAACTGATCCCCAACCATCCCCATCCTCACCCATGCGCTTATACAGCTGTGTTGGCCCATCGCGGTGATTCTTTGAGCATATTAAACGCATGTTTTTCCGTTCTCAAGATCTGCTATCTGTGATTGTACTCTGACTGACGCTTTCGTAGGCCTTCATGACTCCAACTGGCAAATGCTCCAACCATCGCAGTAAGAGTGCACAACCCCTACTTGAAGATCATCACTCAAGCGGCTATATGCTCAAGCACTCTCTGGAGATCCTTTGCGAATAGTTGCTGGCTTGCGACGCGACGGCCTGTGTTAGCTGAATATCCGGGAGACGGTTGAAGTCGGCATAGAAAGCGACCAAGACGATCGGTTGCGTTTGACTTGGGCCGTGAGTAATCCATGACAGGAGGACTTACGAGACCTTGACGAGACCTGTAACAGGAGCTGGCGCTTGGTCGTCTTTTTCGATCGCCCCACACAACCCATGCTCTCGCGTGCCAAGCCTACCCTACTCACAAAGTTATCTCGCTGTTTGCCTGACGCTTTTGCAGTCTTATAGAGACGCGCTCCGCGACCAATTTCACAGATAGATTATCAGGCCTCGGGTCTTCGGACGTCCCGGTGTTCAATGTATTCCTTACTTCCTTACATGTAACTCTACAGAAATTCGATTGTGTCCAAGGCGTATCAGAGGAAGGATCCGAGCTATGAAGTTGCGCTCGCTTGAATGAAAGTAAGCCTGTTAGTGTTTAAGCCACTGGGGCTGACGGTACTCAAAGCGGAGCGAACAGTACAGCACTCAGAGACAATAAACGGGGCGTCGGAAAACCGCTCAGCACTTAAGTTACCCATGAGACGCTCGCTCCTGAAGCCACCTTTGAAGCGCTGTGCTATGATTGCGTTAATATCAGTGCTTCCTCGAGCTTTCAGTCAGCATAACTACTCCGCCATCCTGCCCCTCGATCTGAAGTAACGTTCTCCAACAGCTCCTATCCTCCCTTTCTCTCATCGCCCTTCAAACGTCCCCATTTTTGCTCGCGCTTATGTTCTACGAGTCTCAATACCTTCCGAACGAAATGCATGTCTTCAACTTAATCCTATGAAACTATGAGCCGTGTAATTATATCCTGTATTATGTCGACACTTACCTTGTCCAATGGCATAACATAAATCACCTCACCCAGTGCCCGCCCTTTGCACTTAGCGTGTGCAAAATGGCATAGGATATCCGAAGCAGCTAATAGATGCAGTGTTTTCTCTCGGGTTGGCAAGACAAAATGACATCCCAAGCCTGGCAGCGTTCTGTAGTAATCTGCAGCAACCAAGCTGTCCGGTAAAGGCTGGTACTGCTGAGCAACGAAGAAGGTTTGCGTGACTGTTAGACCATCCCTTAGCTCACGAGTATGGGAGAATATATTTTGAATGACTCCAGCTACGGTTGCTCCTTGATGGTTTCGAAACATGATTCGGCTGTCACGGCTTGAGCTTCCTTCGGTTGAATATTGTTCTCCCAGCCTGCGGATATGCTTCCGACGATATGCTGTGGGTCGCACCCTCTTGCACGCAGGTGTCTGCTGGGATAGCCAATCAGTAAGAAGAGCGTATTCTGATGACGTGAGAGGTGTAAGATCTTTCTCCTGCCACGTCTCCTGTTCCTCTTCTGCTTCAAAATATTCTGTGTATGCGAGCATATCGTTGAGAAGGGTGCCACGGATGTCTGAGTTAAACACCCGCTCATATTCGGGGATCAACTCGGCGAGTTCCTCGGGTAACATTGCACTAGAGAATATTGCTCGTAAATTCTGCGCCATGCAAAAGCGCTCCGTCATAGTCTGCTCCAATTGACCTGCAAGGCGTAGAATTAGTTGTATGGTAGCATAGCCAGCAGTGCTAGAGAGGGCTCGAAGCACGTACCGAACTTATAGTTAGTTGGTATATTTTGTAGGAGGTAGTTATATCGCTCAAAAGGGAAACACCTCCAGGAATGGACGGGTCCAAAGTTTTCCAATAAGTCGGCTAGATGGAGGCAAAGGTGATGAGTCGGAGCGAAAACTATCCCAGGATATAGGTGTGGATCTAGTAAGCCGTTTAGATACGACTTCATGTGAAAGCGGTAACGCTCGATGTAAGCTGGAGTCATCGTCCTTTTCATTGCAAATTTCCCGGCAGCAACGAGGTGAGCAAAGTTCTGTAACATCTCGACCTTCTTGGCCACGTTCTGCGAAGTGCCATCTACCTCGCTATCTGGTGTTTCAAGATCCGCCCAAAGACGCCCTAGCGTGAACGGGAGATTGATGGTGCAGAAACTGCGATATTGATCAGCGCTGAGTTTACCATGGCGAGTGCTACCAGCGCGACCAGGCGCTGCTGCAACCCAAGATGGCAGAGCAAGACGCGGCATATCATCCCAGATAGCTGTCAACGTCTGTTTCCCCAAGACTCGCGTTTGCGCTTTTCTCCCCTTGCCGGCCCGTATACCCTTCTTTGCTATGTAGCCCGGCAGAAGCTGCCCATCTTCGTTGGTCATGCCATGGCGAACACGCTGGGAAGTGGATACATGGATGAGTACGCAGACGTAAATATAATGAAAAGCGAGCATTATCTTGGACTTACCCAATTGTGAAGTTGTGATATCAATTCGTCCTTGGTCATCGTATCGAAATCAGCAATCAGTTCCTCCCCAGTTAGCTTGATACGGCATATAGCTACAAGTGTAGCCCAACGCGTAGTTTTCTTCAGCTTGGATAAACTTTTAGTTTCCAGGGCGGTGATAGCAGCTTGAATTTCTTCAGGGTTGGGAGTGTCTTGCTTTCTTCTTCTCTTTCTACGACTACCAATCAATACGGATGCGGACGCGGTGGATGCGGACGCGGTGGATGTGGACACGGTGGATGCGGACGCGGTGGTTTGAACGGACAAGGATAAAACCCCGGCAGAGTCAAGAACGGTGCTCATTGCGATACTGGGTGACGTTGACTGCTGGGTAGCGGTCGTGGACTTCGGGGATATCCAAGTACCGCCTGAGACGTCTGCAAGCTTCCCACCACGCTATACATAATCGAGTGAGTTATGTCTCGAGCCCACCACTGCGTCTTCACGTACCAAAGCTATCAGTTTGTCAACTATACCCTGCTTTGATTCGTTCCTTTGAATGGCCTTGACTTTTTCGTGTAGTAACTGTGAATCCAGCGCGAGACCTGAAGGAGCCTCGGTTTTGATGACATACAGCACTGCCAAGGGAAATTTACGAATATGTTTTGTAAGCTGAGTGAGATAGAACTTTTGACGGAATGCTAGGAGCGCGTTGGTGATTTCACTTTGTTTGATATCGCGCGGCACCCAGCTACAGTTCTGTATGAGATTTGCCATTTCTTCCTCACGTTGTTCGAGTTCGCTGGTATTCGGTGGTAGAGGATCCGAACGGATAGCTTGACGGCCTTCGACGGGTTCGCCTCGGGTGGTGTTTAACGCTGTACTGGTACGTGCATCTTGAGGTCGAGTAGTGACCGTGGGCTGATCAGAAAGATTTTCGGAAGATTGAAGAGGGCGACCTTGGTGGTCGAACCATCCGCGTTCAATACGCTAGGAAAAAAACACAATTGGTCGACATCCGTTGATGAATGTGATGGTGACGAGATTGAAACTCACGTATTTGATTAACTGCTTCAGAAGCTTGCCTTTTCTGCCTCCATAGCGTAGCTGCAGCTCGTGGCAGAGGAAACGTAGGGTATTTTCGGGAAGGCGTTCAAGGTCCTTTTGTACTCCTTTCCTAAGGATATCGTTTGCGTGATACACTTCTTCGTCGGTCGGAGCTTGGTTGCCCACAACTTTATCGAACAATACGCCCGGTCCATCCGACATTTGGACATCCATCCCCCATATGTCGCGACAGTGTTTTTTGAAAAGGACAAGGAGGAGGGAATGCATGGAGTCAAGTACAGTATACCTGGTTGGATCCCAGTAAGGCAAGCGAAGGAGTTCCGTCCAGCGAACGCCATGCTCTTGGTATAGCTTATCACGGACTTTCTCGGACTCTGCATCGCGCCATAGCTTCGCGATCTCGTAGTGTTCCTCCCTGGTGCGCCTTGTCCAAGAGTCGCTGTCTAGGTTTTCTAGCTCGTGTGACTTGATGAGGCAGAAGGAGCAAGTGTTCTTAGAATTGTGATACGCGTACCCAGCCATTTGTCGCGCTGCTAGAAGGTCACAAACGAGGGGTACAACAGCGCAACGTGCCAATCTCCCCTCCGGATAAAGCCATGTCTTCGAGAGGAATATCCCCTTTTCCCAGCAGATACACAAGTCGTCCACGATAGGCTTCAAAACATAGTTTATCTGGTGAAGAGACGGTTCCCCAGGTCCAGGTATGACTCCAACCAGATAGACATTTTCAGCCTTGTACCGTATTGCAGGAGGTAGGTTAAGGCAAACCATGTATATCGCGCCGCATGTTACCTTTTTGCCTCCTGCTCTCATTCGATAGGGATTGAAGTTGTCCATGTTTAGACTGAACACAAGCCGGCTCTCTGCAGTATCTCCGCGCACAAAAGGTCGACCATCGGGACCTTGAAAGTGGCGTAATATTGGTGCGTCCCAGATATCGCGATGAACTCCGATGTGTTCTTGCCCAGCGTCGACATTTCTCCTCATCAAGGTCTCCATCTCCTTTCTGCTATGCAACCGGGCAACCCAATCTTTGAAGTCCTGATACAAGAAGACTCTCGCTGGCCCATCCTTGCTTTCGGGTTCAGGAAAAGCAGAACCATCCTCATCTAGGACATGGGATGGATCGTTGGCTGAAGTACTATCACAGGGCTTTTCCTTGCGTAGCAAACGCCCGCAGACATCACTTGAGGGCGTCTCTTGATGGGTACAATGGATGGGATAGCTGTCAGGTTCATAGCAGAAATAGCATTTTGGGCAGCAGACGTAGGGTTTTGTCACAGGCTGAACCGGTAGAGCGCGGATAACAGATCGCACGTCTCTTGGAATCTCTTCATCGATGGTCTTCGCCCGCCCTCCTTGCTGCTGATTGATTGGATAGGATAGTTTCAGGATGGTTCGAATGGTGGTGAGAATGATCGAAGCTTGCATGAGGGATACATGGCATAGGAGATGAAGGACGGCGACAAGTACGTAAACTCCAAGATAAACAGGATTATATGACTTGAAATTATTCATATAGCGTTCTACGGCACATGTCAAAGGAAATCAAGTAGGGCATTTGGATCAGACATACCTGTAGATATCTGAGGGATGGCCGGCGACTTGGCCAGCTTCCGGCGTTGGCGAATCCAACCTTGATATTTCATCGAAGTTACTATCCCTAACTCCTTGCGCAACATTCTATGAAGAACGACTGCTCGAAGACGGACCCGTACATTCAGATGTTTCATAGCGTCTTCTGCGATCATTATTGCCTGGAAGAGCCACTCTTCATAACCTAAAATGATGAAATTTGCTTCACTCCTATGACAAAGAGCGAACGGCCCTGAGTTGACGGTAGAAGGACAGGTGCTACCCTCCAGTGGCTCGTTATCAGGAATAGGCTGAGAGAGCGATGGCGGGCATAGAAATATAAGACTACTTTGATTGATGCTTGACAGACGAGCACGCTCTCGATTGAGCTGCTGCTGCATAAGAGCAAGAGTACGAAGAAGGGATTGCTCTGGCAGGACAACTGGCTCTGGATCAGAGTCCAGAGACTCGTTTGCCTGTACGGGAGGGGTAGTAGACGGAGTGGTGGGTGGCGGGTTTATAATGTGAGGTATCGCTTTGAATGGTATATTCCCTGGACCATGAGACAAGTGAAGAGGAGGCGCCGGGGGGCCGGAAGGAGCAGGGACCTCATAGAAATTCGCCGCAGCTGCACGGATGTTATCGCGACCCCGATGATCCTCGAGCTCTTTCTGCCCGACATACCGCCCGATCACCGGTGTGCCGTCAGGATCAAAGACAGTGCAGCGACAGCATTCGCTGCATTTGCATAAACGGATTCCGTTCGGGATGACATACTTCTGACCACCGGCTGGCTCTTGTTTGAGATGTTTTGGACGTGATAACGGTGGCATGAGTAAAGTCCGTGTTTGATAGGAAAGTCTGGCGGCCGCGATGCCTCTTGCGATGGCCTTGTCTGTTTATTTGGGACTCCGATCTCCCTTTACAAACCTCGGGTTTGGGCCAGGTAATGTGTGACGAAGAAGCGGCTAGTTTATAGCCACCAAGCAAATCATCTCATCGGAAAGATAGATGTATATATGTATTGACACGCCAGGTTACAGTGGTCGTTCTACCCTATTGTTCACTAGCACTTCCATCCGTACTGAGGATTTTTGATGTGCTCTACGAGTGACAACAGTCAGCGCTACCGGTACGGTGTTAGGGATAAGTGCTTACGGGCACCGAGGTCTGATAGACCAGGTAAAAGACCCGCAGGACTATGAAGGTAATTCAGTAGACATTGAGTGCTTCGAACATACGCGATCAGGCGCCCAGACAAATATGCTAAAAATGGAATTAGCCTTCGCCGAGTCCGGGAGTTGACACCGATGCAAGGGAGGAACCTACCTGGTGGGTTGATAGACGACTGTGATTTGTGGCTAACACCAATATGCTGAGAATTTGTAGGATGGTAGAGATTTCACGTGAGATCAAACAGAGTAGACAGGGCATTTCGTAGGGGGTTTTGCTTCGGGCGTCGGCAGTCGCTGCATCTACTTCTGGAGGTCACCGGTCGAACAGAATTGATCTTCGCCTGAGGGTAATATGCGTTGTACGACGCCTAAAGGAGTATCAGATAGATGACCGGAAGCGTCTTCTATGCTAACGATCAGGCGCGAAGATTCGAAGCCAGTATGGGACGCACCAAAGCCCGGGCCTTGAAGAGGCAGAAACATGTGATTCGCTCATGTCAATTACGATAGGGTCCCCGCAAGCCACACGCGACGCGTTGCTGCACTAATCGTTCAATAGAGGAGAGAGGAACAGACACTAATACCGAAAAACAGTATCTGGGGAACTATCAGTCCTCAACACGAAGGTACATTCCACGAAACTTACCTACATATGAGTGCACCTGAGAGATATTGAGCACGTAGCTGGGATTTTGCTGGTAGCCAGAAAGCTGGCTGCTTAGTGAGATCAGTCTTTGAAGAGCAAAGTCGAAGAAAAGTCTACTCTCATTCGATGGATGGCTCTCGTACTCTGCAGACGTTGTCAATCATGAATGCCTCGTGCATATTCAGATATCACTTGACCCAAAAGTGCTACCGCAACGTGAAATGCCGAGGTCGCGCGAAAACATTTGGACTTGCTAGTATCAATTGTCAATTGTGGTCAAAGCGGTGCGCCGCACATTTGCCTTTATTAACGAAGCTTCGCGTCTAATTTAGCTTATGTCAATATTCGATTAGATAAACAGGAAGTAGGTTATACCACACCTAGTCGGTGATAACAAATTATAAGACGTCTGGTGCCGATCGAAGTTTAGTGAGTATCTTGAGGTTCCGCGCTGCCGCGTCAAGGATAAACTCGCGCCCTATGCACGCGAGACTTCGGTTGCGGTAGATCTTGAATGCAAGTAACTGTGTCCGCTGCATGGAGACTTCGGCGATTTAGAAAAGGCTGACATCTATGCTTACATCAAACTGGGCGGTTTGACTACGTTAAAAAAGACGTGCGGAGGACCGGACGATAGTGCATACCTCGTCAGGCGACAACTTCATCTTTAAGTTTTGAGTACTTCTTAAACTCGGATCGAGGTGAGACCTCGCGCCAGTGTCCGGATACCTCTTACGATAAAGCTTGTTCACGATTCCCTATAGCTAGAAATTTATCAAAAACAGAGCTCAATAAATACGATAAGACCTCACTCTAGTAACCTCGCCCAGTGTTGCTTCCTGATATTGGAGTCCGCGAGATCGGACAAGTCCTTGCGGTGGGCCCAATACCTCACGGCCAATTGGCATGCTATGCACTTAAGATGAACATGATTTGCCTCTTTCGCTCCGTTGCTTGCCTTTGTAAACCCAGTCAGCAAAATCCCATTTCTCATGCATGCTTCCGAGGAAGGAGACCCACCAATCCCCGGTTACCAAACACTCGGCCCATCTAATCACTGCCGCCGGCGCCCGCAGTCCACCCAAAGCAGATCCGTGTTCTTGCTCTTCTACGCGACCCCTTTCGGTAGCTTGCGTCCGTTCGCCTTGAATGGCCCTTGCAATGTTTCGACATATACGAAGACTCCGTCGTTGCATGTAGACTACTACCCTTCCAAACGCGGTTGATGAGCCTGAGTCGTAAATAAGTCATTTAAGAAGCGCAAAGCTGCGCGCCATACATGACAATTGTATTCGGGATAGACGGGGCTGATTGGTTCGCGTGAAATTCCAGCCTATTCGCATGTCATAACTGTTAGTTCTTCCTGAATGGAAAGCGAAGGGAGAAGACGTACAGAGCCTTTAGCGAGGCTTTTAGGTTGAATTGGTTGTAGCGCGAGGGGACTTATGCAGTTTAATTGTTTTCGGGGGCTTGAGTGTGTACCTGATGTTCCCGACCAATTTTCAATATCGGTGGGGGTGAGAAAGGTGGAAAAAGACGGACGTCGACGCTCTGCGTGATGTAGGGAAATAGCTGGTTGAGTTGATTTTTATTCTCGTCAATACCGCCACCTAGATAGGTTCGCATCAGAAAAAGGGATTGAAAAGTGAACGAGAGAAACATACGTCACTTTCAAAAGGTCAACCGCCTGCCATCGGATCAGATAACAAGTAATGTAACAATATGATTGAGCGCACTCACTTGACCGCACCCCACTTTTACTCATCGGAAGCTTATACACGATGTTAGGTAGTCGGTCTGTCCCCTCTGCTTCGCTCGAATTTCCGGAGACAAGGCGTGAACATGGTTTCCAAGGGTAGCTTCATCTGTTCCTCTACTTTTGGGATGAGCTTCGAAACCGTAGCCGCGAAAATGGAAAGAAAAGACTGACTTGGCTTAGTCGGGCAACGCAAGACTCTGGGTTGGAACGTTCACTACAGTGAACCAACCCGCCATCTTTAAAGTTTTGTTATTAGAAGAGGTCAAGCCAAAACAGGATGATTGCGCTCACAGCTCTGGACAGGCGATGTCATAAAGTTTGCCAAGTGTTCACATATTCCTGGCGAACAGATAATTGAGACACTCTGCATGAAGGCCTTGGATATCCGGGTAGCAAAGACTCACCTATGCGTCTACACCCCGATGGCCTGGAGTTTGCCATGATGGTAGATCGTATGATAGTTTGCGCCGTTGGCACCTCGTAAAGATGAAAAAGCTCGAAGGAATTTGAGCGCAGCGGTTTTCTGATGACGACGTCAGCGTCAAAAGCTAAACTCGAGAAGGAGTTCGGGAAGCTTACCACACCTTGGCAGAAATTTACAGAAAATTCGAATACCCGAATTCGGCGAGAGGCTATCTTAGTTGACTCAATAAGAAGCCTGAGTATATTCCGCCCGCTCTCCCGTTTATCGGTTGGGGTGTACACAAATATCAAGACGGCTGGAGCGCGTTGCCAGAATTGCCGCTGTCGTACTTCACTTACTTGTCGATGGTGGCCTTGCCCATTGCTGGCACGGCAGTAATCTGCAGGGTACGACGTGAGATTTTCTAACCATAATCCCTGTGTAACAGGACGCACTGAAGCAATTAGTCGAGTAGGTAATCTTTGCATTTGAGTGAAGCGGCGGATACCGCGAGTTCATCCCTTAAGATGTCTTAGGGGTAGCGCGCTAGGGTTGGCCGTCCTGCCGATATTCCAGCGCAGATGCGCCCCATTGGTGGATGGAATACCAGGTTCGGCGCAGTCCGCAATGATGTAGTGAACCCTACGGGACGGGAACATGAGGATGAGCATGCGACGCCATCATACTCTGAAATCGACAAGCATACCTACAGCTGCATCGCGGTGTTCAAAGTTCGACCCTATTCATCCCTTAAGCCAGCCGAATCTAGTTCAATAACAAAACATGGGCTACAGTAAGAAAGACGGAACAGCACTTTTGAAATGTCGACGTACTTCTGAAGCATTGGCTTGTGCTAATGTTACTGAGTCCCTCGTAAACCCGACTTAGTTGTTCTGCTTGTCTTTAATACGATCTCTGAGAAATGATACGAGCGACTGAATACATACCGTAAAATCGAGATAATTGCATCCGAGACCCGTACGGCTCGTCTTTGCTCTTACCTGCGCACCCCATGCTGTGTCATCCTTGGAAATCCGTAACGAATAAAATAGAACGCGAAGTTTCTAGAATTTGTGTGACATGAGTTTTGGATGATTTACGAGGCGCAAACAAACGCACATACTGGTAGGAGAGTATATTAATTATATAGGCGAGATGACGATCATTTATTCAGAACCTACCCTGGCCCATCTCAGAGCCGACTCAAGGCACGAGCGTCTCCTATCGAACTATTTGGCGCTGAGGTTGGCCGTATGTTCAAAACTCCCTAAAGTGGGTATGATAAGCAGAACACCTCACCAACCGTCCGGAAAAACTCGTACCGTTGTAGCCAATCAAACATCCAATTTGTGCTTCATTAACGGACATCTACCGTTGATGATAGGACGAGGAGAATCGAGCGCTCGATGGTCAGATTGCAAGGCCAATGGAGCAAGGGGTGGCTCCTGGCCCTCGAGCGGGGAACGCCCAACGTAATGCGAAGGTCGTGATGACGCTGTTTGAATTTGGCATTGTTTGCAACGGCAGACCGATCGCATCGCAGGTCAACGCATCACCCTCTCGCAGACCGAGCGTAGACTTGCATGAGCAACGATACGGTCATGCCAAAGGACGACAGTGCCAGGTCGCCTGACCTGCTGATGTGGTCGTACAAGAAATTGAGCAATGTTCCTATAAATAGATCTTCCTCAGCCTGAGATGACCTCAGCAACGTCCACTAGCACGTACCCGGCACCTCCTCCTTCAAGCCCACAATCCTCCTCCCCGGCGATGTGTGCTTCCTGACGAACGGGCGGAGATGCTCGTGCGGCTTACGTCGCACGCGTCACAGCCTTGATATGTTGGCCTGCCTGATGTCCGAGTGCACCGCGCTCAGTGTGCGCGGGAACGCGAAGAGCGACGGTAAAGCCAGCCAAGAAGCGAAGGGCGTGTCGCAGCCCATTCACGTCATGATCATGGGGGAGCAAGGAACGGCATTATCCATGGCAGCTGCAGCTCGTAGGACAGTTCCGGGTGCCAGACGACCGTGGACACGCCCTCATCGATCTCGAAGTCGGGTTGGCATCTTGGTGTTCACCTCGTAAGTAGATTTGCGGTCATTTCGTAGGGCTGACGACGAGGAAATGATTTGTTCTAAATAAGAGAATCAGTTTAAAACTTAAGAATTTTTCGAACATCGAGCTAGACTGCTTCTCGGTAGAGGCGAGGATCGTCAAATAGTTTATCTCAGCCAGCGTCGCTCTCAAGACGCTAGTAGGATCCGCTGCTCTATGCCCAGACGGAGAGGAGGAAAGAAAGGCTAAGCTTACCGCTGAAAGCGAGTTTCTCTCTATCATCCTGAGTCATCTTCAATAGAGCGCGAGCCGTAGGAAGGTCCTTCAAAGCGCAAAGAGCGTCGAACGAAACTCTTGAGGATCTTGCCCGGGCTAGATCTTGGTGCTCTGCGAACACGACTGGTTTTGCCAATGTTGAGTGGAGTAGAGAAGGTAGTTGGAGATTCGAAGGGGCAAATGGTAGCTGAAGCTTGCGAGTGAAAGCGATGTATGCGGTGTGTTGATAGTGTGTGGGTCAAGGTAGGCGTGAACTCACAGCAACACTGGCCCGCCGTCACCTCGGAGCCGGGCACACCACCGCCTTCCTAAATAGGACAACCGGCCGATTCGAGATGGTCACTCAAGCTCAGCGCTCAAGACTCAAGCTCAAGTGCGCACGAATCCAACTGAACACGAAACACGTTGAAGCTAGAGAGAGGGATCACGGTGTATAACCTGACCATTTCATCTAATCGAACACGATGCATGTTCCGTCAAGCTGACCATGGGCTTTTTGTAAGGTGTAAGTTGGGTGTAAGTATATTTTGCCATCACGTACACCGTGACACGAGTCTCTTAGCGCTACGCTCGAAGCTCGCTTTCAACGAACCTGCTCACGCGCGGTTGTATGTTACACCTGGAGGACGATCCGTTACCGCGAAGCTTTTCCCCTCCACGAGCTCCTCCATGCGTCATCCCTGGTCCACGCGACTTGAAATCGTCCAGGTCTTATGATCCTCTGGCGATCAACGAAAAAAGCAATATTCGAGTAGAGTCAGACGGGCTCGTGTATTGATGGCATCGTCAGCGCGGATGGACTTCTATGCCAGGGCAGCGAACCCTCGGCCCTCGAGCGAGTACATTGTCTATAATGCTGAGAGCCCGCGGTGCTCATCTGAGCCGATTTCTCGCGCTGCAATGGTGAGGCAAGAACAAGCAGGGAAGGCTGGCTATTGATAATATCGCCCCAGTGCTACATAGTATCACCTTTTCCGTTTCGTCTAACTGCACTCGCATGTAGTCGCCGCCGGTTTCTTAGGACGTTCATCGCTTATCAAACGTTAAGTAGCCTCGTTCCCTGTACTCTGGTCAATAAATATCTCCTAAAGCTCTCAATAGAACTCACTGGGGTACCTCTTTTCGGCAGTTGATCTTGCCACCCATTGTGGTTTGCCTTCGCTGGTGAAAACGAGCAGCCGTGGTATTGACTGCGGAGTTGGCACCGGATACTGAGGGTCCCCGAATTTAATGAGTTCCCACCGTTTATTTCCCTCCCCTTTCCAGATCCAAGAACGAGCGACAGCCTTTGCAGTTGGGTAGCGATAAAGAAATAGGCATCCATCAGTTATAAGAAAGCCTTCTTCGTGGGGCGGCGGCATGTCGATGGAAGGTTCATGCCCTGCCATTTCAAACCAACAGATGCTGATGTTGGTGGCGCTGGTTTTATCAGTGTGCAGACGACAATAAGGGGACGCAGTTGTCTATGCGAGTTATTTGATAAGGTTAGTACATCAGATATGCGGGGACACGCATGCGAGGACACGTTACTTCACTAGTACTGCCAGCTGGTACAGTTGCACCACGTCTTGTTTCGAGTTCTAGACGAGGCGGGTGACTGATGCTCTCGTAAACGGATGGCTATATGAAGTATAATAGAAAGGGGATTACTTACTAGGAAGTTCTCGAGAGACTTCGAGGTAAACTTGGATATGGCATATTGGTTATCCACGCCCTCAATGGGGCATCGGACGGTAGAGGTATGGACATGCCCGTGGCCCCTCCATCGCTGCTAAAAGGGATTGCAACCTCGAACACCAATCTTTCATTACTGTAAAACGTGGAGACTGAGGTGTTTGCATCGGAGTGATCCATCGTTGATTTCTCGTCTGAGCCAGTGCGATGAGGTGATACCGATGGATATAAGCAAAAGGAGACATAATAGGACATAGTACAGCTAGGCACCGAGCCGCGGTCTGACTTTGCCTGGCACTAAGTACTCGAATTTACTCAAAGTCATTAATATTGCTGTCTACATAGGTACCTTGTGATCGCTGGTGACGGGACTGTATCGACTGATTATGTTATTTTGACTTAGCAAGAGGCTAATTCCGTACTCAAGGCGTACACTAGTGTTGAGCTACGGATAACTTCTCATGAAGAAAGTAGGGTTTGGTGGATCCTTGTGTCTATTGGCCGGTGTCGTCGCGAAATGCGTCGATGAATACCCTCTGCAGTCTCTCTTCTCCACCATCTCTGCCTAGTATCTCCATACGATGCGCCAAAAATTGTAAGTGGGCCTGAGGAATGGGTGAATGAGCGATCTCAAGTAGCGCGCCTCTGATCTCATCCACAGCCATAATGAAAATTGCATGTTCTTCTTCGGCTTGAATAGATAGTCGGAGTAGCTTCATGATTTCTTGGTTCGCTCGCGAAAGAACTTTAAGTACTTGACCCAAACCGAAGCGAGCTGAGCCGTTGAAGATGGAGGAAAGGAGGTTGGTTGAGTATTTATGACGATGCGCATTGGCGAGCTCCTCCGAAACTTCCTTGTGCAGATGAGAGAGATGGGCGACGAGGTAACGGCGGGCTGCGGCGAGAGAAGAAGAATGCTTTTGCAATTCAATGACACTGGCGCCAACCCGATCGGCAAAGTCGGCGAGCGAGCGGTTAGCGGAAAGCGTTAGTGTAGCGCAGTCCTCTGCAGTGGAACATCGAGAATTCCCAGCTTTGAGAGCTTTGGGGAGTAGAGACGATGCTGTCAGAACGCTATTTGACGTCAAACAACGTAATGGTACGTGGGCATTCGGACTGACCTATGGGCAAAGTGGCTTTTCTTTGCCTCAAGAGAGTTTGAAAGCCTGGCGACGCTTTGTAACTTGACGTCGGCATCCTCGAGTTCCTTGATCAACGCTCGACTAAAGGGCACATGTAGAGCGGAAACTTGAGGTAGAAGCTCATGTAACATGACGCGTGCTTGAGCCGGAATTGGGGAAGCTGCGTCTCTGACAGGATAGCCAATTCGGCGAGTCTGAGCCGTGTTAATATCCATGATAGAAGCAAATGGTGAGAGGGTTTGGTAGTGAGTGCCCATGTTATCGAACCAACGGCATACTGGTGTGGAAGCGGTGAAGGTAAGACCGCACAGCGGGCGAGCACCCGTGGCCAAGAGAACGAATGTCACATGGAACGCGGCAAGAAGCACATAGACCCGAATGATCAGCCTGGCGGGAAACCACGTCAGGAGGCTCAGGAGTATGGTCAGAGGGTTGAGCATGACTGGGGTGGGCAGTGCGTCAGGAACTTCTTCCCGTGTTGCTCCCGTAGAAATATGCGGGGAAAACAACGCACTCCGATGACAAGTACAACGACCTGGCGGTAAGCAAAGGAGAACAATAGCGAGACTGTCATTCCAGGGTCGCACGTAGGCATCAAATTTGAAGTTTCTCGTGTAGGCTATTCAAGGGTTGAGCGCAGACTGTAAGCGGCGTGGCTCAGGAGCAGGAGGGCGGCTTTCGGCTCGAGCAAGTCTCCAGGCAAAGTTGTCATGCCGACAATATCACGATCACGATCTGGTTCTCCGAACTCAGTTGCAGGTAGCAAACTGTCGGACCAGGGTTGTACAAGACTCGGTCAGTCAGGGCGCTGACAGGCTCCAAGGTCAGGGTTCTGGCAGGCAAAGTAGGGTCAAGTAGGTTCAAGTGCGTACAGCCGGCAACACTAGCGACTACCTCAATTCAGTGCTGTGCGGAAAAGCCAACAAGCTAGCACCATGACGCAGTTAATGTTCACCTGCAAAACTCGGCCAGGGCTCCACTAAAAAAAAAAGCAAAACTCGGCCGGGACGGTGGTCCGCCGATAGCCGCTCACAGGGGCCGAATTCCGGATATCAGTTCCGGGTAGCGTGTGCCGAGGGCAACTTCCGGTAATCATTAATCATTAATCAAGTTCAAACGTTCAAATCACCGTGCGCAGGCGCGCGGTAACGCCCGTTACCCTCAATGTTCATCAAGTGCATAAAGTAAACACTGAGATCACGCAGAGACTGACTTGAGAGAGGAGCATACAGGATGAAAGGAGTCGACACAAACCGCTTTAAGCAGGTGTGATAGTAAAGGCTGGACCTTCTCTCTTTAACAGACGGCGCTTTAAGGAGGATGCCATGACCTTTACATAGCACCGAGGGCGTAAATGTCACATATCGACTAAGTTCACAGCATCGGGTGCTTATGTCCTTGAACAAGCCAGAATGAATGGCATCATTCAGCGGCGGTCAACCTCAACCTCAACCTCAACCGTCTCCCAAATACTGAATCCACATAGGCCATCGCCTCGTAAACCAACGGCGACGCGCAGTAGATCTCCGGATAGAGTTTGAGCCTGTAACACCTTGAGTTATGACCATGAAGGAATAGGGAGCACTCTTACTGCGATTGCTGGTGCATTCGCCAGTTGCGTAACGTGGGCTATGCGAGAAAGTTTCTCAGCGCCAGAAACCTACAAGAAAAACCTTTGTCTGCGTCTCTTACCATCCAACCTTAAACATTGAACCTCAGTTCCTGTGAAAACATGCCAGATGGATGCCACTCCGTTGGAATTGCTGGCAAGAAGGGAGGTATCATCATGGATGAAAGACACTGGACTTCGTTCTTTCCGGCTACTGATTATGAATGATTTCACAATGAAGCCAGTGTCCATATCGTAGATATCCACCCCTCCTCGGAAATCTGACACAGCAAGATACTGGGCGCTCGAGGACAACGCAGTCGTAGATCTATTTTCAGGTTAGTGAATGGAGAAAATAGATGTTGATAGATATTCGCAACATACACATATCCCGACATGCTGACATACCACCGAGCAGAGCAAGAATTGACGTCCCAGCAGCTAAAACATAGCAATGCTCAATAAGGAAGCAATGCAAGCGAAAGGATCTTTACGTACACAACGCCGTGCGTCAGATAGGAAACTAAGACGTCCCCAACATCGGAGAAAGACGCCGTAGGGTTGGTGTCCGAGCCAAAGGATTTAAACGCATTAGGCGGTAGCCAATGAACGGAGGTCACTATGACCTCATGTTTCTCAGTAACAGCAGTCTTTTGCGGCTCCCTGAGCGCCGCGTAAGCTTTCCAATGACCTTCCTCACCAAGTGTCACTGGTTATTAATCTATCGACGATGAGGGAAAGAGAGCGCACCTCGTTTGCTCTTCCGAGTCCATAATCTAACCTCTGCTCGCGCTGCTGTAGCCAAAATCCTTCCGTCAGGATGTGCAGTCATGCTCTCCAACGGTAGCGAAGCGTGGCACAAGACGCCCTTGACTCTGAGCATCTAAACGATATGGGTATATTATCAGGAGATCTTTGGCACGAAGGTTGATCCGCAGTGACGCAATGAGCATTACCTGATCTGCCTCATCCGCGGTTACTGACATAAGATATCCGTCTTGAAATCCACAATGAAGCTCTTCATCCCATGAAGTCCACAATAGACTTCGCGCAGGACTCCGGCCTTCGGCGTAGTACTTGACTTCCCCAGAATTCGTGTCCCACATGATTACTTTCGTGTCCTCTCCAGCGGAAGCAACGACATCTCTGTTGGGATGAAAAGCTAGGCATCGTATGGGTTTTGAGTGTACAGTAGGGAACGTCAGGCGGTGCGCATAACGAAGCACCATCGCGTCAATCGCAAACCCATGCTCAGGCCCAGGACGCACACTAGCATAGGCCCACTCACGTGCGTCTTGACTCACCTAATTATAGCCATCATCCCATTGATTATCAACGACGTTCAGAATCCCATCTCATCACCAAGGACATGATATTGGACTCTGTGAACACGAGTACGGTTCGCCTCTAGTAAGCTTTCTAACTCTGATTGATATTTTGTGCACATCACGCCGCAAACGATTCAAAGCTGAGCGTTGGGCATGAGTGAGGGTCATGGACACCCGTAACACCCGTAGTACCGGCGCTATCGCGGACAAACCTTTATGTCCGAGTGTCTCAATCGCACGCTAGGGGCTAAATTCGGACAAAGAATCCTTCCTAATAAAAGGAAGCCCTAAGGAAGATAGGGTATGCTGACCAGTCATCGGGCTAAAGGCTGCTAAAGGTAGCCGCGTTACGCGCCGACCTCGGAGGCCCCGTGCGGCGCGGAGCTGGAAAAGGCGCGCATGCTGTCGAGAACCTGTGAATTTCGACTCTGCCTTCCGGACCTCCCCATGTCGGTTCGGATATGGGCCCGCCAAACCATGCTCCCCTCCCGCGTGCACGCCACCATTCACAGAACTTGGATACTTACGTCGACTCTCTCGCACAGCAAATTGCGGACTTTAAGGAAGATATTGATAACGAATTCATTGGGACCAAACGACAGGTTCAACTGGTAACCAAGGAGCAGGTCCATAATTTGAGGTTTTGTCGACTACTAAGTCTAATCAGCTTCTCAGACCCAACAGGACAAGAGGCTCCATGCCGCTGAAGAAAACACTGAAACTAGGTTCGAAGTTACTGACGCTCGCATAACGCAATGCACACAGAACTTCTTGGCCCTACGGCAAGATTTTCAGAGTCTGCGTCAGGAGCTATGTACGTCATGACATGCCAACTCGACGTCCACATTGAATCGTACTTACCACAGAACCAGCTAATTGGCCTCGCCATGATGTTCTGGATGATAAGCTCGGCAAAGTTTCCGGCGAGCTTCAAAACTCCACGCAAAAGCTACGGCGTTTAGAGACCCTCGTCCTCAACATGCAGAAGCAGTTAAATGCGCCGAAGCATTCTCTGTTCCAGGTGGACTCTACGAACGAGACGCCTTCTACTTCTTGCCTTTCTCATCGGATCGGGGACAATGGTGTCGACGATTCATGCGACGATCCAGATGCGGACCTGTGCTCACACTTCGCGAATTTGTCGATCGAATATCCAGAGACGTGCACTCTTGACATAGAGATACAAGAATGGAAGATGCATGAAACCACAATCGACGAGGCTTTATCTTCATCTCTGTTCATGGAGACCGTTCAGGAGGAGAGTTGGGTTTTACAGCTGGTATACTCTTTAACCGCACATTTTCTGACTTTCCCTGACTTTCTGTCCGGCTCACAGGCAGCAAACGAGGACCACGTTCAGCATGAAGACGATCCACCCCCGATGGAAAGTCTTCTCATAAAGTTCTTCTGGTTTTAAAACTAGACTCACGTTCACATTACAGTTGCCGCCGCCTCCCGTATCTCCATTGTTGGAGCCGTCAAAACCGGAGAGCGCTTCTGTCAATAGTGACATCGAAGACGTACCTGATATCTCAGAGAACACGACTGTAGGCCAAACGATCATTTGGGCGGGGGAACTAGCTGGTACCCCCGGATCGCATATCCATACTGCACAGTTGGACTTTCAAGGTATCATCTTGAGTCAGGCTTTCAAGGTCAGCGAAGGGGCCGCGTTTGTAGCCACGTCAGGTGAAGTTTCTAGCTATGCAGCAAACATCATTGACAATATATTCAGGATCTTCGCCTACATCAGCGCCTTCTGGACACTACGAGCTGATGATCGGTCAGCGACAATACTCCCTGGACCTCGCGATCGTGGACCACGCAAGTTTCCTTATGCCATCATGCTGATATTCGCCGCTCTAGTCTCAATTTGGCTGCAATTGCCGGCTAGACCTGGCACGTATTCTGTAGGCGCAGGTTACGAGCTACTTCAGGAACCCGCTGGGAGCGCTCGCGCTCTGACACGTTACATTCAGCATAGCAGCACCTTTAATTATTGATATACTTACATGCATTTGCGCTCATAATATACTGTTCTTGCACTTCGAGGTATACTCTCGTATGATCCCTTAACTAGGACTTATGAAACCGTTTCTACCCAAACGCTCAAAGGCACTTCATGGCTGCGCGCTGAGGACACTGCGTATCCTTTTTCAAAAGACACATGCCTCCTAGGGGGAGACTTGGGCCAACTCGTCCACGTCCAGACGTCACGCGTCAAGGTCGTTCGCCACGTGCCGCAGTCGGAAAGAATACTCCGGAACCTGCTCCGGCATTGTTCTTTTGACGGGGTGGCTATCATGTATGCGGCAGGGTTGCTCTAGGTTGCTCTTGTCTCCCTTTGTTCTTCGCTACGGTGGCACCTATGGCACTTAAACTTCACCCGAGTCAACTCCTTGGTGGTGGCCTTTCAGAGCCCTTCCTCCTCCCACTTCCTCTCGGACACCTTTGACTCGAAGAACCTCTCGGGATACGTACGGCAAAGCAGCCTCAAGCGCTCCCACTCAACATTCTCTCCCATATATCCACAGGCTCTCATCCTCTTGAATCAAGCTTGGTAAGCTGTTCCCGAAAGCGGGCTGGACTGCGCTAAACCAAACCCAGACCCGCAAGGACCTACGCGCTTCCTCAGTAAGCGCCATCTGACCGCGTATACCTTGACCTTTTTCTGACGCTCAACAGTGCCGATCCAGGTGTTCGGCACTCGAGGTCTTCAAATCGATAATACGTTGATTATTGATGAAGAAGAGCCTACCACTCCCCAAAGATTTGACACGCTTAGTGACGGATTCCGCTCTCGAGTTCGCGTTTCAGTCGAGACGCTCGACAGACCCCATGCTAACGCGCAAGGGAATCACGCTGGTAATGATGTGGTCATGACAGACACTGCGGAGCACAACGCTCACGATGCCGATGTATGTTCTTCGCGTTTTCAACACACGCTGTTCCTTACTAATCGAGTTTACAGGCGGAAGGGAATATGCGCATCAACATGAGCCCGAATCCTCTGTCGTCAGCTGAAGCTCAAGTTCACAATTTACAATGTATTGTCGCTTCCATCCTTTGCACATATGTTCGCCCCTCTGACCTTAACCCCCCGCAGACGATTCTCCTCTGCCAAACCCTACACCGCCGGCTGTCGTGCCTATTGGATCTGTCGGCACTTCTGCTGCGTTTCCCATCCCCGCTGTACCTAGTACTCCTACTCCTGGCACTACTGATGTTAAACGCTCTGATCAGCCCGCCTTCGTCCCTACAGCCAATGGTACGGCCACGAACGCCAATGGCACGGCCTGGTTTAGATCTGATGCTCTCCCCCCGTTTGGCATCGCCTCCGCTGCTGTCCCAGCAAAAACTTCGTCACACACCGAGAAGGCGCGTCTTGGCCATCCTGATATCACACATAAAGATGAAAAGAATGAGGAGGATAATGTTGATGTTGTGATGACAAGTTTTGACGAGAAAGGTCCCGAGGAGCTGGAGAAGGACCCTAACTACAATTTCCAAGTCGTAAGCTACCTCCTTATATTGTTCGAATTGGCTTCTTCTAACATAACTCTATAGGATGCAGCTTTAGCACATTTAGTAAACGGGCCAATGGTTCGTCTTTCTTTGATCTTTGGGTGCCCTATTTTGAAGGCATTAACGCATCGTGATGGATGCTTCTAGAATGTTGGGGCGACCAAAGGTGACATAGCCGTGCTAGTCAACATAATTCAAGATCTTTGCGACAAGTGGGCCACACAACGGCCTTCTATCCGGGTCACCCGTCAGAACCAGCATCAGATTTCAAACGTGGATTCGGTTCTGTCGGCGACGGCCGGACCCGGAGGAAAATCAATTTACCCCCGGAGTGGAGTGCCCACACATCGATGCAAAGAAACTCTGACACTTCAGGTACGTAGGAAAAGTGGTATTTGTTAGGTGCGCCGAATCTAACTGTAAGGGCAGGTACAGGTCCGCGTTCATGCCCTCACTCTGCTAGGCCGCCATTCAAAGTCGGACCCGTTTCCCGATCCGCCAACGCAACAAGAACTCACTGTATTTGAAAAGTTCAAGCGTAACGGACCGTCCGCCACCAACTTTCGCGTAGAGCTGCCAGGGCAACCACTGTCCACATGGAATAGAGAAGCTGCCGCTGTCTTTGCCGACGATTTTATCACGAAGGAGATGTTTGAGTGCAAGGAAGTTGAAGACGTGAAGAAAGCTTTCACAGCTCACTTCGTGACGTTGCGGAGCCAATTCCTATCTCTGCAGGAAGAGAACGAAGAGGTCGACGAATCCAAGGCTCAACGCCTCTTAGACGAGGAAAAGGATAGGGCTCGGGATGCCCGCCGCCGTTGGGTCGGTCCTTTCTCCTATCCATGTGATCAACGCAGCTGACAATGTTCACAATTGACAGCTTCGCAATCGGCGCGCTAGAGCCTGTTTGGCTCATCCAGACCTCAAACGTTATATCAAAATATGGAAGAAGTTACCTATGCGTGCCATGAGCGGCGATGAAACCGACCACAATGGAGAGGTTCGCTATGCTATCCTAGGCCACACCTGGCGATCCTCGTTGGCAACGGAGTGGCTGAGGGTGTTTGACTGCGTCCATCTCTCCACGCGCTTCCATGCTGATGGACGCCCGAAGAGGGGAAAGCTCCCCCATTATCGAGTTCCATCCCGTCGCGTAGAGCACCCTGACCAGCCAGAACCCAGGTTACCCATCAATTTTTACGATGAGCACTGGTATGCTTCGCTGTCAGAGCTTGAGAAGAAGCGTCTGCATGCCCTCCCACCTCTAGATATGACTCACACAGAGGATGTTTTAGCGTACGCTCTTCCCGTCCATACATGTTTTACTGCCTTTACTGACATACCTCCTCTAGCCTCGCTCAAAAGTATCGCCATGTCAAGAATAGGAGGATTATCGTGACGAACGAAAATATACAACATCGCGTATAGTTTCGTTGCCCCAACTCGAACGAGCAAGAGTTTATACACACAGCAGCAATATGTTAAGGCTGATGAATGATAATAGAATCACTAATATAGTTCCTGTGGTCATGTCTGAATCTTCCTAGTACCAGCCTGAGCGTAGTTGGAATCCATACGTCGGCGCTGGCCCTCTACGGGGCCGATAGCTGCGTTGGACTTATCTCCACCCTCTCGCCCAAGGCGGTATCTTCCTCGCGCCCTCCCATGCACCTGATATCCCCGCCGTTCTGCTCCATGACCTCGAACGGCTCTGTCTACACTTGCAATGACAGCAGATTGCCACTCCATCTTCCATCGATCAAACACTTGCCAGCTCAGCACAGGCCACTGTCAGACCATCGCTCCGCCGTGCTATCGAGGAAAATGGCCCTCCCCTGCGACTGCTCGTTGCACAAAGATGCACCAAGGACGGGGACGAGTGGTGGCTACAAGCGAACACTAGGGTGCGTGTACTACGTTCCTATCGGAAAGCGTTATGCTTATACATCCCTGGCGACACTTCCAGATCCAAAGTCTCCATCGTCCGCTCTGAGGAACACCCACTACACGAACACGAGTTGACGACCAACGCTTTCTGCGTCGACGGCTCGAGCTCGATAGAGGGCTCGGGAGGCAACCATCCTCTGCCGGGGCGACTTGCTAGTCGCTTCGCTGCGTTTCCACATCGACGGCTCGACGAACACACAGTCTACGACGCCGAACTCGTCGGCCTGATCTTCGCCGCCCACCTTCTGACCGAGCTTTTCCAACCAGATGGGCCTGTTCCCTTCAACAGTCAACCAAGCACCAATCCTCTCATTTGTCAACACCTATCCTAACCAAGACGTGCTCGATGCCGCCGTTGCCTTGACTGAAGGCATCCCTCGTACCGTCGCCCAGTATACATACGTTGGACGCCAGTCCATCCAGGGATCGCCAGAAACGAGGCAGCGGACGAGCGAGCAAAGCGAGTTGCCCCTGTCGTCTATGCGAGAGGGCGGCCATGGCCGCATCTCTCAGTCGGCGCGTCGTCCGAGAGGCAGAGCGGCGCATAGAGAACCAAAAAATGAGACGCTCAGTACCCTCAAAGCCTCGCCCTGTTGGACGCTCATAGCAGTTCCAAAGCCCGGCTTCCCGTCCAGCCGCTTCATGGTCATTGAGACACGCTCCCTCGCCGACATGCCATCATCGTTTCTCGGCCTCGTCTGACTAGAAACGAATATATCGAGAACTAACACCACAACTTCACCTACATGTCCAGCGAGCCGCTCCGCCTCGGAGCCCGGTTATCACTACCTCGCGAACGTCTGCAGCTGGCCAGAACGTCTGGGCTTGACCTCGAGTCAACCGCAAACCCAGGACCCAAAACTCGTTTACCTCCTTCTCGGCCACGTTCACGGAGCCAACCACGTCGCCATAGGAAGCCTCCAGTCCTTTCCCTGCAGCACCCCCCACTTTTTCTTTCTTGGTATCTTCCCCTTCGCATAGGCACGCTCCTCTCTTTTTCTTTTTTATTATTATCCACATTATGGACGAATAATTTAATAACATGCCTCACATGAGCCATCCATTTGACCGATAACACCACACTTTGAGCACATCATCTTCATGTCGAACATACTCGGACAACTCCCTTTTGGCGAACCCCTTTCAGACTTATCGTCCCTCACCATCCTATCTCTCTTGTTATTCTCCCGCCACGCATATACCATCCCCGCTTGTTTACAGTCTGTACTTCTCGCAGTCTACACTGCGTGCTCGTTACTGTCTACTACAAGCCCACGCCCCAGAGGGTATGAAACTAGTATCGACAATAATAATCAAGTTAGTACTACGCAGTAGCTAGTAACCTTGAATTGAGCATCATGGACAAGTCTTGCTTCAGCTGATTACGTGGGGATCATCCACACTCTGGCAAAGAATGTGAACGTGTGTATTGGCTCTAGGCATGAATACGGACACGGTACAGACACGTTGTATCAGAGCCCCAGTTGGTCAACAACTCCACAACGACTATCTGTGTAGCGAACTTGGGCACCAGTAGCTCATCTGGTACAGCAAAAGTCTGAACATGAGATGGGGCGTCTTTCTGATAAGTAAAACGGGTCAATGCCACAAAAACATCGTTCTTGTGGTAGGGTTTACTCGGGGTATCTGTTAGGAAGTGAGTACTCCTGCAAAACTCGAGCTCGCCTATATGCCAACATAAACTGCCGCTTCCAGCGTCGGCGACCATTTCTTCCACATAAGAGGGGTCCAGCAACGCCCAGATTTTGATACTTCGGGGAGCACTTTGCTGTTGTTGAGTGGAGAGAAGGTCTGGTGGTGCGTGATCGATGGTGATGTTTGTGACGACAATACGTTCTTGAAGATAAATCCCGACATGACCCGAAGAACCTGAGAGCGACCAGCATTCACCGACGCTAATGTCTGGCTCCAATATGACTGAGGTGGGTTTGATATGTCGCCATGCATCGTTGTAGCCCTTCCACCAGCCAGAGATTGATCCCAAGATGGACTCCGGAGGCTTCAAGTGCGTGTCAGTTGTGAGCGTCTTTATGACCCTGGCTCCGCCCCCAAACAGAGCATAATCACGTCTTGCAATCATGTCTTTGGACTGAGTGCTGATTGCTGATCGGAGAGTTTCAGCGTGAAGAGTGGACTGCCGCTGAAGCTGAGTTTCCATAGCGGAAAGTCGTTCCACCAGGTCACCTAGTAAGGTGCCTTGCTTTTCCAGATCTCCTGGCGAGACAAAACGCTCCGCCAAGTCGATTAAAGCGGTGACTTGTTCTTCTATGGCTGATTGGCGATCTCTTTGAAGCATCTGGCCGTAGATAATCTTCTCAAAGTCATGGTGCTGCGCAGGTGTGTAGCCGTAGGCGTCGTGGTGTGAAAGTACGGACTTTGAACCGATATATACCAACAATAACGCAATGGAGAAACTTAAGATCATTGCAAAGAAGCAGCTACAGGATAACTTTTGATGTCCAAGTAGGACGTTATTCCTATGGCTTTGACTGATGCGGTCGAACTCAGACGAAAAAGCTTCTTGTTCCGACAGGCCGGAAGGACGGTCAGATTTTCTCTGTTAGCTAGTTCAGAATGTTCTTTCCACCTAAGGAGACTTAGATTACACCTACCTGGCTGACAGGCATGTTAGACACGGTTTGACCATGCAGGATGAAACGGCTCAAAGGATAACGCGTGGCACTGTCTTGCTTCAACGTTTCTGCACGAGTCTTTGCCAGCGGGTCAACGTCTCGGCGGCGGGGTCGGAGGAGGCTGTCATGGGCGTAGGGCATAGACGGATGGCAAATTTGCCGTTGTGGTGATGATAGGCCACTTGGGGGAAAAGTTGTGTTACAAAGACCAAGACAAGCTATCAACAACGCGCGGTCGCGCCGAACTAGCCGGAGTTAATTGCGTCAACATGTGTAGTAAGCTTAAGCAGTGAATTCATATCCTTGATCAATAGCTCCACGAGCGTATTGCGTTATTACTCTGACAAGCCCGATACCTAGTATACAGCGGATCTTTGAGCTCAGAAACAGCGCTCTGGCGTGTGTCGAAAGCGAGAACAGGTTTTAGGGGCTTCATGTATTGTACTGGTGTGTTTGTACCAAGGCACTACGTGAACGTACCCAGACCAAGGCAGGCCCGCCTCCTAACATAAACCAGTCATAAACCCTCCTCTGGTTTTCCCATTTTATGACGCCCTTTTGATTTTCAGCAGCAGTGAGCGAATACGGACTGCTTTCTCATTCCTCGCTATATGCCAGTGCACTAATGCCCTTACACTACTCAAAGTCCTCGTGGTAATGCATCATCCAAGGCACCGGCGTGTAGTCGTCGCTGGGGACGGGTAGAGATCGGGACTGGATATCCACTAGTGAGTGATCTGCCTGAATCCCCCAGATGGATTCTGAGCGTCTCCGCTATAAGGCTACAGTTGTGTAGTTCAAGTTTACGAACAGTGAGAGCATCTCTCGTACACCAAACGACTCGCACGAGGACCAAGCCTGCTAGAGCGAGGTACGTACTGAACGACATTTGTACACAAAGTGAGCTCATGAAACATGATCCTCAGTCCTCATAGACCAAGAGCTTAGGCAGCGAGGCTGATTAGTCTGCTTCGCTACGGCATACTCGTCCCAAGACACCAAACATCTCCTTGCATACCCGGTCTATTTGACTTGCCGGTCACTACTCATCGCTCATTCACTGACTGAACGCAATCACATCTACGCTGAATGGTGTCGCCTTTACACAACGGCCAACTCGAGCAACTCCGATCCAGGAGAGGGCGAAGGTGTTGACTCAGACAAACACAGACGGCGTATCTGCTCTCATCCTCAGTCGCCGAGCCTGCATCCAATCTTGATATCCTAATCTTACGGACTTAATGAGAGTCTCAGGCGCGTAGACGGTGACGGGGTGCTAGCCACAATCTTCATGGATGGCTCAAAACTCAACGGAGAGGTAGCCACGCTAAAAGTGCGTACTCTTCAAGGAGTTCTTGGACTTCTACTAGGTGAGGTCTAATTGCCTCCTCGCTGGTTCGAGCTCTGACGAACGCGAACACTGTAGCCTGAAGGACCCAAGCCTGATTAATGTACGGATTTTGTCGAGGCGACGCTCGAAGGTGCCCAGGCGCGTGCTATCTTTCTATCTCTCACTCCACCTTTTTCTTCCTTTTTATAACCTGTTGATCTGAATGATTTCCTGAGCAGTCTGATATCTCGATGAAGAAGACCGCTTAAGTCCAGAACACTGCCCAGCGAAGGGCTGGCCCTGCCGATGGTCGTGTTCAAATGAGCTCGTTTCCGTTGTACCGTTGTCATCTAAGAATATGTATGGAAACGCACTCATAGCCAGCAAGACTCATTACCATACCCGAAACTCGCACCGGCTTCTTCTTGGCTCCTTCGTCTGCTAGACGAAGCCCCGAGCTTCTCTTGGATACTTCTGCAGCTCTGCGGAGTCTCACTATTGTAAGGCACATGCAGCGCATACGCTTCTATCAGAGCTAATCGTTATAGAATTTAGAATGTCTACATCTGCCGACTCTTCCCGTCCACCATTGCAGGCCACTTCTACGTGCAGGCGGCGTCACTGCCCTCGCTGAAGACGGCGTCCTGTTCGAGCAAATCCAGGCGATGGGACGTTGGTCATCCGATGCCTTCAAGATCTATATTCGCAAGCATCCCGCGCTCCTCGCGTCGACCATGCTCACTCGCTAGCTTCTCTTCCTGCCTCGACTCTTCCTCCACATCACGCGCTCCGCGCCCTATCTATGCTTTCAAACAAGAAGCCTAACATGCCATAGCAAGGCCGGAGGTTTCGAGCCGAGCCCCATAGCTACGTCACACATTCCGAGCATTCTTTCCGAGCATTTTTCTTCCCTTTCCCTGACTGTATACCGTTTCTCCATAATTTCTACGATACACTAGCCTATGCGCTCAATACACTCGGGCCCTCGGATCAACCTGCGGGCCGCGTTGGCTTTTGAACTTTACGGATGCAACAGGACCGGAGACTCAGGCCAGATTAATAAAATGATACCGGGATGAGGTCTTCAGATGCGTCTCATTCTGCTGAACATGATCACTGTGATATATGCGATAGACAACCTCCTAACTGAATTTAGTCTTAGGTATAAACTCTGCACATAGTCGCCAGCAAGCCCAAGCGCTCAGATTATCCTAGCAGTTTCCTCATTCACATTGACGTGACCCCTCAGCACCTCGCGTTCTTGCCATAAGGGGAGGAGCCAGGTGTGGGTTGGAATTTGGGAAACAGAAACGCGCTCGGCAGGATTAGGTCGAAGGATGTACACGATCAAATCCTTTACTGTAATGCTGTGAGCTTCGCGCACTTATATAATGATAGAAAAAGAAAACACACCACACTCGCTCGCATACGCGCGCAAAATACTCCACTTAATTTGATAACGGTTTTCCCCTCCATCAGCCATGAAAGGCAATTCGCCAGTCAACCTGCGCGTATAATCAAATTAGTTTATCTAGTGGACGCACGTGTAGCCATAAACAGCAGACGCACATGAGGAACAGCGTCACACCAAGACTCCAGCTGTCGACCTTTTCATCGTAGCTGCGCCTAAACGGTAATCCGGCTATTCCCTTGACTTCGGGAGCCATGTATGCAACTGTACCGCAATAAGACTTTAAAAGGACTCAACCGATCAATAAGCTCTTTACCAAGGTTAGAGAACAGCGACGCACATGCAAGAAAGCACCATCTGGGACAGCTTTAGCCAGACCAAAGTCTGCTAACTTTGCCACTAGCGGCTGCATAGAAGCGATGAGGATATTCTTGATAGACCAGGGTTATCTTCATGACATGTATTTTAACCAGCGACGTAGCAAGACTCACCGCTGGTTTGATATCGCGGTGCACAATGTTGCGACTGTGTAGGAATCGTATGGCATCGCACATATCAATCATGACCGCTTGGGCATCTTCTTCCTCTATTGATATCACGATAAGGATATGTTCGACATTAAGCAACTGAAGAACGTACTGAGTCGTTTACGCTCGTGCAGAAGTTTATTGAGGTCTCCATAGGACACATATTCCATTACAACATCTGCCCAACGGTGGCCACGTCTTTTGTTGAGCAAGGTACTGGCCAGCCAAACCCACTTACAATAGCAGCGCTCGCTATTTGAGTTCCAAAGGGCGATGAATTCCACTATGTTCGGCTATAACTCACAATCAGAAGCCGGGTTCACTCTTAATAAATATGACTTACGTGTTGTAGATCGCTCAGCAGGCGAGCTTCCCTCACATCATTCTCGCCTTGGAAGGTCAAAGAGCCCGGTTCCTTTGGAATGATCTTTATAGCGACTATCTTGTTGGTCCGACAATGGCGTGCCAATTTAACAACGCCAAAACCTCCTTTTCCAATTCTTGAAGAACATCATGGATGTGAATCTGGCCGGAGACATGACTCATAAGCAGGAAACCTACGAATCGAGGAGGTTATATGTGCGACTAAACTTTATCCTAGTTTAGTGAATGCATGAGATCTAGAGCATAGTCAACTACTCACTGAGTCACCATCTATTTCGGTGAATAGAAAAACTGTCTTCTGCTAAGAATAGTACTGCGTCGATGTTGACATTAATGCTCACCAAGGGGCGGCTCAGCTCTTGCCAACATGACCATGTCACCGCTCTTGATCTCTCGTCTCTTGCCACGCTTGATCCTGTCTTCATCGACCTGACGTTGATTAGCAACAAGCGCTACTAAATGCCACCTTGTGTTTACTTACGAATGCTCCGTTACTGCTCACGAACGTCCCGTTGCTGGATTTGTCATGAATCATGATGTAAATGCTTCCATCCGGTCGTGCCTTGCGTTGGATGGACAGATGCTCGTGGCCTAGCAAAACCAAAACGTCATACCGCAAACATGATCAAGAAGTCACGATAGCATACTGATGATATCGAGTAGGATGGCGTAGTCGTTGGCATCCTCATCCCGGCCAATTAGATAGCAGCTCTTTTTAATATCAAAGAACATCTCGACGTCCCCTCCTAGCCTGGGATCTGTGCAGGTCAGTTTCCCCCATGACTGCGTAAAAGGCGACGGAGACATGAGTAGTAACAGCGTATTGGGGATTGACAGAAGCTTTGGGGGATGAAACGGTGGGTGAACAATGAAGGTCATCCTCAAAAGGAACGTCGACCTTTATGATGCTACCTTGCTCGGAGTCAAAATCTTGCTTTGTTCCTTGAAATGAGGCGTTTCATGCGTGACCATGAGGGCCCTCCTACCCAAAAGATGAAAGCAAAGTCAGCGCGTATATGGGAAATTGGCTCTGGTCAGTTGGCTCACGTCAGTCTCGGATCATGTCGGGCGCTAACTTGACCCTCGCCTATCAGATGTGCTGTATCACGTTCACAATCACTGATATGATCCTAATCAGGCCACTCGTGGGGCATAGAGACACCCGAAAGTGAAGCGTAAGATGTCGTAGAGGCCGGCCAGTCCGGAGACCGAGTGACCGTAAAATTGGTAGTCACGTAACTGTACATGCTACAGAGCGAAGTATGCAACATGGCTACGGAAAAAACTGTGAGTACCGACAATGTAATTCAATGGGGAAAGGTTAGCAAGATATCTAGATGAGTAAACGATCCTCTGACTTGCTAAAATCCCGGCAAAGAATGCATTAAGACTGAATAACGTGTTTTATCTTGATGTGGATGGGGGTGCAAGAGCAGGGAGGTAATGGCGCTGGCTTCTCACTGAGATGCAGCGCTCCAAGAGATATAGGAGGGCGGCTGGGGGGGTAGCGCAGCAAGAGGGGCAGAAGAAGCACAGCGGGGAAAGACGAAACGAGAGATGCCGAAGGGGATAGGGATCGGGTGTATGAGCGCCCCAGATGAGGGCTGTGCTGACGTTGGGAGGATATGAACAGTAGGGTGGTGCGAGCGCGCCATGGAGAGGCGAACGCGGACAAAGAGCGTGATGGATATCTGTTGCTCCATTGCCTTCTCCCGGCGCTCGACATCTCTCGTGCAATTTTCGGACCTCTTGCCAACGCCGACATACATAAAATCCGCCGCATTGACTTCTAGACCTGATGGGCAGAGATTAGCCGTCCCTCATGTTGTCGTCCGCCCCCAGCACCCTGAACATGGAGAGAGGGGAAGCTGCTGCTCCGCTTGAGGGCCCATGTCAATACGGTTTATTGACGCCCAACGGGGAGTCCCCAAAGGCGAGAGGTAGCGCTAAGGATCCCATAGAAAACCGATTCGTGGTATGGTGATCACCACCGAAAGCGAATTTTGCATGACGGGCCTTTTTGCTTGTGCCGAGCTTCATGTCGCTGTCCTTGAATGCTAGAGCGCGCGAAGACGCAGCGGGCGCAAGCGAGGCAGAGCGCGACGTATACTTCGGGAGCTTCGAAGCGCGGAGTGGGCGAGTAGCCCGAGACGCCGAGGTAGGACGAGCCGCCAATGGAGCCCAAGACAAAGGCGGCGCGTTCTTACTGTTCCCATGGTTGGATCTCGAGCGCCGGGCCCGCCATTTGAGTGCATTTTTTGCTTCTGCTTGGTCCACCATCAGGTCTCCGCGCACATAAGAGAGCAGAGCAGACTACGCACTTGGGCAACAATATCCTGGAATTTCTCCTCATAACTCTCCATCTCCAGCCTAGTCCGCTCCTGACCTGCATCAGGTTGACCCGCTCCGTGCACCTCGGACTGACGATCTTGTTTGGAAGCGCCCAAAAACTCAAATGCGCTGTGGTGGATCTCGCGCGGCAGAGTGACACATCAACGACACAGGCAAAGAGATAGAGGGTGTGGATGTCTTGAGGGGTACTGGAAGACTTGCTGATGGTAAGGAGGATGTAGAGCTCCTCGAGTCGCTGGTACATGTAGCGGACCTGGCCCATGTCGATGGAGATGAGCCGCGAGTTGGTTGGGATGAGCTTAGGGAGAGAGGTGAGCAGCGACTCGATGCGCATTCATGGTATCCGATATCTTTGGTGGGAGAGAACGGCTTTTGAAGATGTGAGGGCTTGATTCAAGGGAATGAGCATTGGAAGCGCACCTCCGTCGCCTTCCGTACATACCGAGGCTGGTAGGACGACCTGCGATTGTTGAGCGGACATCCCTTATGGAAGGGTGGAGAGCCACCATTTTAGTCAGATTGGTTGAAGGTTTGCCTCCGAATCCCTCTTGTAGCCGGATGAAATCTGAGGATGGTCGGCGGAACGAGCATGGACAAATGCAGATATAAGTATGCATGGGTGAATTGCTCACTGCCCGCGTACAAACAGGGTCCGGTGGCTGGGCGTTCTTCAAAGCTTCAGGTTAGGGTTTCCTGAACTCAGTGCTTCGCGTGTTTCCTGTACATGCGTGCCCCCCATCCTCGATGCGGTTGTTTGCCATCGGCCCTCCCTCCAGTCATCTTATTAAGATATTCATATACTTCTCGATGCTTTGTGTGTTAGCTGGCGGGCATACGCGCGCCAAGTTCTGCTCCGTGTTTTGCGGGTCCTCCCTTGTTGGTAAAAAGCACCCATATACCTTGCGTATACGCCGATCGCAAGATATCCACTAGCCTGGCCAATACCCCATCTTTCCCTCTTTCGCATCTCACACGCATAGCCCTCAGTCTCTGCTGCTCGTCTGCGTCCCAAAGAATTCGCGAACTCCCGCACAGGCGTCACATGCAACATAACTCAAACAGAGGCATTGGATCATCGGTCTGGCGATAAACTTCGGTCTCGCCCTCAGGCTCTCTCCGATGAAGGAGGCACAGCGGAAGGTCGTTCCGGCCCTTGTATTTGATGTCATGAGCTGGTGATACTGCTGCGTTCACCACGCGTATGCCCTTCTTCCTCGGACTGGCCAGTTGTTTGATGTCGATGTGCAGCCCAACTGCGAGGAGTCTCAGAAGGCGCTCGAGATTGAAGCGAATCACAGAGATTAAAGGAGTCGGTGTCTCAGCGTTTCCGCGAGCATCTATTAATGGTGATGGTGAATGCATTTTTAGTGATAACAAGGAACGCTCGACAAGTAGGGAGACATTGAAGTAAGTCAGAATATCCCTCATCCTTTTCGCAACCTCCGTTTTTAAAGCGTGATGTACGTGTGAGTTATGTCAGGCCAATCATGCCTCCTTAAGGTCCTGCCCGTCATTAACAGACCATCTTCACCAATGGGAACGTTCGGGGAACGAAATCCAAGGTTGGAAACTACAGCGAGTTGGACAAGGCGAGCAAGCGATCACGAACAGTGTGCGCGGCTTCCGAATTGGTTCTGGGACTCGATCTGAAGAAACATGCTATAGCTCACCGCTTTGCGGACCACCAGAGTGTTGCTTGGTTCGAGTTGAATCCTTCGAAGGTGTGGGCTTTTGGGCAGCAGGGGTGTTGAGAACAAAGGTCATACACGTAGGCATATCCAGTCATTTAAACGATGAGAGTAGTATCTGGATGTCAGGCGTCGAAGGTCAACTACGGCCGGCTGTCTCTGGACGCAAGGAAGAAACTAGTATATGTCCAGTACTACCTACCGCGTAAGACAAGTTGCATGTCGTACTTGGATTTCCACGTTGTATACAGACTTCTTGAGCAAGCCAAGGGTATACAGCCAGGTCACCGGGCTAAAGCAACGTACCATTTTGTTCCTTTTCACTGTAATCTTCTTGGCCTCCCTTCACTCAGGTACAAGCTGTCATCTACAAGAAGCGCAAAACATATATACTAGAAGCTGAAGCGCTTTCTTTAGTCTAACTTTGCAGCAGTTTATGCTAAAAATAGAGAATCTCGTATCCGAAAGCCAAGCTGCAGTCGTAATTTTAAGGATAAAACCCGCTGCAGAACCGCGGGGATTAGGGCTGTATTGTCGTAACATAGTACATAGAGTATTATGTACAGCAATATGGGTCAACCACGTAAAAAAGAGAAGGAAAAAACACGGGAGTGTGACCTTACACGAGACGCGCCTCCTTTTCAAGCCAGGGATGACTCTTGGCTCTGGCAAGAGACATGCGTCTGGCGGGATCATACTGAAGAAGGCGGTGAATCAAATTGGTAGCTGTGGGGCAGTCCAGCTTTATATGAGGCGAATGTGACTGAGCATTTACTAGAAACTTACCGGAATTGCTTGCTTTTGCCCCCTTGAGGAGCTTCCAGCGAATCTTTCTCTCTGCGATGCGGATCCTAACATCAGGCGACGCGATATGGGTGAATGGCAACATCAGGAAAACGGCACTTCGATTATTAGCCGAAATGAAACTTAATTGTTACTTTTTTGGTTCTCGGCCCGATTTTCGGCTTAGGAGAGATTTCGTCTAAGTTGACCCCGCGTTCATAAGCATGCAAGAAGAAATAAGCACCATAAGACAGGCCGTAGCAAAGAACTGAAGGTAGCTTCGTACGGGTCCCACTGAAGGACAATAATTCACGGTCATTAGAATAATAGTAAAATAAGTACAGACACTATGCTACACTATCTCGAACGCATGATGGTCGGCAAATCGATTTACATAGAAACCTTGATAGTTATCGTAAGAGCTGTAGCACGTCGTTCCGGGTATCACAAACCCAGGCCCAAACATTGGTAGTAGATGAGCTGCGCGAAGGATAGTATCAACATGTATTACCTCTACATGGGGCGCGCCATTGTCATAGAAAGACGGGCGGACCATGTACATTCCCGTATTCTCATTACGAGAGTCTCCGTCATAATTGAACCAATGGACGACAGCGCAGGGATACG